TGTAAATAACCGTTTGTAACACAACACCGCTCGCAAGCAAGAGTCACGTCGGCGTTCATGTAATAAGCTTGGGCTGCCCGGCAGCCGGTGAACCACCGGACGAGTTTTAAAGGAAATGACTTTACCAGGTTCACTAAGATCTTTGAAATTTCAATATTTACAACTTTTCTAAGATAAAACTGTATACACTTTACGTCATATATCGTATGTCAAACAAACATGAAGCGACTTTCAGGCTCAAGAAGAACAACGATGGCAGATTTGTTAGACTGTTCACAGTCCCCTATTTTTTCGTGAGATCGTTTAGATATACCGCGTCTTACCGTCACGGCTACATCTTGATTTTCAAATGTACCGAGGGGGGGTGGGGATTATAGCTCTCGCTTCCTCCCAAACCGTCCCCGCCCCCTAAGTAGTTTGACACTCATCTAAGATGGCAGCCCGTAACGCAAAGCGCTCGATCTCGACGATCTTACGGAAAAATAGAGGACTGTGAACAGTCTACAGATTTGTAGGCGGAAAAGAATTTTTTCATCAAGTCGATACAGTATTTTTTAAAAAGAGATAGGTGTACCAGACTGAAAATAGAGATCATAAATTTTCTCTATTTCTATTTTGAATGTACCTTTAACATTTTCAGTTTGATTTAGATCTAGATCAGTCGGCGTGGAGCACATTGTAATTATTAGCTGCGGATAAGATGGGATGAGCATTAAAACCATCCCATTCTGCCGAATATCAAACAAAAAAGTGAAACATTCTGTATAGAAAGTTTATTGATTACCGGCGACCATTTCTGAAAAACGAAAAAGTAATTAAAATTTCTGTACATCCCGTAGCCTGTGTACAGCCTATACATCTCTACACAGGCTATACACAGGCTGTACACAGGCTATACATCCCGGAGCGCATCTTTTTCTGTTGACCCAAAATCTGCCAAGGCAGAGCAAGCTAAAATAGTATTTTAGCAGACGTGTGTTTTTTGTTCTTGTTTACTTGCTATGCCCCACCTGTCTGGTTTTTATCCAAAAGTAAATACACTTAATTAAGTCGATTCGATTCAATCACCGGATGAAACAGTGCTCTTTGGTTCGAGAACTCAAACGAGTGTTTCAGTACTGAATGATTGACGGCTGTCACATACAGTCTAGCAGTGTCGGCTGCATTTTGTTAAACAAATGGTTCCGCATGGACCGTCTCCGTTCAGCATAGCCTGTTCCAGGCTCCGAGATGGTGGTGAAAAGTCGTTCAGTAAAAAGAAATGCGAAAAACGCGCGGGGGCTGGGGAGAGACAGGGCATTTTTCTCGCCGCCACCTCCCCCTTTCCCAAGTTGCGCCCGTCTTATTTTCGCTTTGGTCGTTTTAATACGTCCGCACTATACTATCTGAGAACCTGGCACAGGCTACGTTCAGCACAGCAGCTGTATCAAGTACATAATAGTTTCGTTTTTTAATACCGAGGCGTTTTCCTTGCGAATACAGGAACACAAAATGAAATCAGGATTTCTTTCAAGTAATGGCACTGAACAATCCGACAAGTTTGATTTTAATTGTTAGCTGCGGATAAGATGGATTACCATACCCCATTCTGGCGAAAATCAAACCAAAATGTTGTGCATTGTTATTGATAAATTAACCGGCGATTATTTTTGAAAAACGAAAGAAAAGCAATTAAAATTTCTGTACATTTTTTTTTTTTTTATAAGAATGTTGTTTTTCCGGCCCAGGCTGAATATTCTTATTTTTCTGCCGATTTTAGGCTGAAAATATTCTTGTATTATTCTTAAATAAAGCCTAGTGCTGTTTTTGTTTTCGCTAAGTTTTGTTATTTAAAAAGGAAAGAATTTGTCATAATACTTTTTTGCGGTTTAGTTTATGTCTTTTGTGCTGAATACTTTGCATGTACCGTTCATCGAACTGTCATTAGCGTTGAACATGCTATAGCTAGTGCAGTTTTTTCGTTTTGTTGGCTAGTTTAGCCGTTCAGAGAAAGGAATAATTTTATACGGTTAAGTTAAAAACATAAAATTGTATTGTATTTACAGATGTTTCAACACACAAAATTATATCTATCCTTTTCAAAATCTCAGCCTCGGCTTTATTCTTAAAATATTCTTAAAATTTCGCAAATTTCAGCCTCGATATTCTTATAAAATATATTCTTATAAAAAAAAAGTGTATGAGCCTTAGAAGGGCTGGTATAGCTCGGAGCACATCTTTTTCTGTTGACCCAAAATCTGCCAAGACAAAGCAAGCTAAAATAATATTTCACCAGGCGTACGTTTCTTTATTCTTGTTTACTTACTATGTCGCATCTGTCCGGTTTTTATCCCAAAGTAAATTGTTGAGTTGATTAAATCACCGGATGAATGAGCGCTCTTTGGTTCGAGAACCCCGACAAGTATGTACTTTTGGTACTGAATGATTGACAGCTGTCAGACGCAGTTCAGCAGTGTCGGCTGCATAAATAAATGGCTTCCGCATTTATATTGACCGTCTCTGACTGTATCAAGTACATGATAGTTTCGTCTCTTAACACCGAGGCGTTTTCCTTGCGAATACACGTACTCAAAATGAAATCAGGATTTCTTTCAAGTAATGGCACTGAACAATCCGACAAGTTTGTTTGTGAACACACTGTATCAATGGGTCTTAAAATGGTGCCCTTCGCTCCTTCTGTGATGTTTCGAGTCGTGTCAATTCTCTTGTGTATCATCAATGGTCTACTTTGTCCTATCACAGTCACCGGAAACCTCTTGGTCTTCGCAGCTGTACTTAGGAAAACGGACCTTAGAACTGTAGCAAACACATCGATATTGTGTTTAGCTTTCACAGATTTGCTTGTGGGATTATTCGTTCAACCTTGCTACCTTGTATATCAAGCAAGCAAGCTCGCTGCAGGACCACACGACTTCCCATGCGTCCAGCTACTAATCTACTCGTTTTTAGGGGTAATATGCATATGTATGTCGTTCCTAACGCTTATATTGATTTCACTGGAAAGATATATGGCGGTGTTTCATCCATATCGTTACATTGAGAAGGTCAATACCAAACGAGTTATCGCACTGGCTGTCACTTCGTGGTGTGTATCAATTACAGTATTACTGGTCGTGCGCTTTTTATTCGGCATAAACAGCAATCAAGAGACGGGAGTTATATCGTTGATAATAGTTACCAACTTTGTAGTAACGTCTTTTGTGTACTTCAGGATATTTAGACTTGTTAAACGATGTAACGCACAGGTGAACGTCCAAATGTCACAGATGCAGTCGAATTCGAACGAAGCAAAAGCCTCAAAAACTGTGGCCTTTATCGCTGGAACGTTGTTTCTTTGCTTTGCGCCGACTCTATGTGCTACTATAGTGGATCAAGCAGGTGTCGCCAGGAAAGATCTTTTATATCACGTGATTTATCCAATTGCTGAGACTGTAGTTCTACTGAACAGCTGTATCAATCCGGGAATTTATGTTTGGAGATGTCAGGGAATCAGACAAAGTCTCTTTGAACTAACACAAACTTGTAAGCGGTAACGAATAGGCTTTAGGTATCGTAAATCCTCTATTAAGCCCCCCGAGGGGCGTATTTAATTACTTCAAACACATTTGAGGGGGGGGGGGGGCTTTATAGAGAAGGGGCAGCCTAGTCCCCTAAGCGTTCTCTCTTGACCCGTTGTCCGCCCGAAGTCTGGAAATGAGCGGGCGAGAGAATGAGTCTCGAGTCGGCGAAGTCTCTCTCAGTGACGTCACAGCTAACGGTAGCGTCCAGGATTAACCGCGCCGAGAACGCCTAGGGACTATAATAGGGTTCTTCAATCCCGTAATCCCGACCCAAAATTTCGTTCAACCCCGTAGTCCCAATGGTTGTTTTTCGCAACCCACCTGCCGCGCAAACTTCCAATACCGAATCGATCTTGGCCCGATATTTCTTAAGAATCCCAAATCCCCAGCCCGAGATAAGGGAAATCCTGGATCCCGAAAAATTATTGATGACCCCCTCACAGCGGGAGCCTCTACTGAGGAGAGAACCAGTTCTCCATAAAGAACTAGAATATAAAGTGGAAAAGTCCAGGGACAAGAAGTAGGAGGTCATGCAGCCGAGGATCAATAACAAATCCGAACTTCCAGCACGTGAATAAACCATCCCGGAGCTTAATTAACCCTAAAGCTTTCCCGGATCAGTCCATCGCCCAATCTATTAAAGGGAATCCAGGGCACTCTTGGGTTCTGGATTCCATGCTGTGGATTCTGGATTCTAGGTATTGGATTCCAGTATTTGTTTGTGGAACTTTGATTCTGGATTCCAATCGTTAGCGGGATTTCGGATTCCTTGACCTGTATTCCGGACTCCAAATCCCAAGATTCCGGATTCCATAAGCATAATTATGAAATAAAAATATTACTTACGCCATCCCTTAGGGCTTTCTGATGCTGACAAGTCAGCATACTGTGTACATAGTGTAAACATAAAGACTGAAAGCGAAATCGCCTGACAAAAGTACCAGGAATTTACTGACTTTATTTTCACGAGAGAAATACAAGCCGGCTGTCGCTTCACGCTCGGTTAACATTAAGAATCGTAAACTGATGAGAAAAATAAAAGATATATGTACAATAAAAGATTGAAGTAAAGAAACGTCGCCTCATGAGAATTAATACTTCACCGGGTTCTAACTGGTATCGTTGCTAGATGTGGAAGCCTCGACTTCAACTTGAGCTCTCAAGGTTTTGCCATACACATGGTACAGATAGTCCAAAATATCTACAGAAACAGACGATGAAGAAATAGAAAACGTTTAGATACACTCATCGCCCTAAGTTAACCGCTCCTGAAGGCTTATCTGTTTTTTACTGCTCCTGGACTGGGGAGATTATAGAAGAAAAGCTTATAATCAGAGGAGGAGAGCTCAAGAAATTATCACTTGATTATCATATCAGTTTTAATAGGGTAGAAAGAAACTGAAGGAGCTTTAAACTGAGTTCTAACGTTTGAGTCTGTGGGCAAAATTAAATAAAACCATTTGAGCAGAGCTTTCACATGGTACTATTTATTTAGTATGTAGTTCTAACTGTTGAGTGCCTGGATGAACCTCTTAAGCAGTACTTTCATAAGATACTATCTATTTTTCACAATTTCAGAAAATAAATTTAACATTTTTTCTTCAAGTGTTATCTGCAACCCCTGGTGTTAGAAGGTAAGTAGTAGTAATCACCTATGAGACATCTTGGCAAACCGTTTTATTACAGGAGTTTGGCGGCAAATAGATTCTCACAATCTGCACGAAAACGTACCTTCAAACTCCATCTGGTGATAGTTTGGCGCTTTTCTTTTAACTTCTAACCATTTCTTTCGGAGCCACTGAGGAGGATAATTGCTGAAACAAGTAGTTAACTCACGTTTAAGAACGAATGAAGAAACATAAAACCAGAAATACTTAGAAACAAGGCTAAACAACAGCTTTTCTCAGATCCACATATTAAAGCAGAATACAGATATAGATAATCAGAATACTGAATTCGTTGGTTTTCCTTCCCGTCAGCCCCCTGCGATTTCACTTACTGTCAAGCAAGCAAAGCTCAAAGTTGACCAAAACAGAATGGTAAAATTTTATTTTCAAGGCACTAGACAAGAACGTCGTTTAAAAGCTGAATTTGCTTTCTTCCAGTCCAGTCTTTATCGCGATTCTGGTTCCATTTCCTACCCACTTACTTAGTCGAATGTAGGCGAAACCTCATGTGGTTAAATTCCAAGGGACCACGTCCAAGTTCAGAAAGAAAAGTAGTAGTGCAAAAACGGCAAAGAAATGTTTAAAAAAGCGTGATGCACGTGCGTTGTTGTCGTTTGGCTTATTAAACCTGGCGTGTTTATTTTCTTTGACGCCCTCGTTGCCGTTGCGTCATGGAAGCTTAAAAAAAGTCCCTACTACCGCGATGAAAACGAGTACGGCAAAATAAAAAGTAAAGATTTTCGTCAATTTTCTTATCACTATATCGCTAGCAGAGATTAGAAAACCACTTTGAAGTATCCTCATCAAAATGGTCATTGTTTAGTCCAATAAAAGTTTCAGCTCACCTCTTGAAGTCAGATTTCACCTCCATCCAATCCACATCGCATTCTTGGGTTATACCAGAGTTGTATAATCTACCAAAAATAATGAAATAATCCTAAGGCAGAAAACCAAAACCCCGGGGGGGGGGGGGTACTTTAGGAATTTCTGGGTGGGGATGTGCCGCTGAGACCCCGGAACCCTTAACCTATAAAAGAGCTAGTTCAGCTAAATTTTGCTACCCTATACTAGAGTAAACTCCCCAAATCCCCCCTACCCTGGAGTAGCTGTTTCCCTAGTCTAGATAAAATCTTCAACCAACTGATCAGTTTTCTGAAAAAATGATACCCTATTCTAGACCCAAATGTTCTGATTTATATACCCTATCCTAGAGTAAACTGCTTGAAAACCATACCCTTCACAGCGGCACATACCTATATAGCCCATATATGGCAGTACCCCCCGAACCAAAACCCAACAGAGAACGGCGGCCCAACATTTTCTCTCACACACCAGGGTTGCAGTACACAAACAAGAAATGTTTCCTAACAAACCTTGTGATGAGTCGAAGCTCATTCTGTTTTGTCCACTTTTTCTCCTCTTCATCGTTCATCCAGGAAAGATTTTCTAACCTGAATTAAGGAGAAAAGGCCATTTCTTAGCGTTTTGGAACGTTAAACCTCTTGTTTTGTGGATGAAATCCTATGGTGTGACCATTCAAATCAAACCTATTCAGCAGTACTTGCACATGGTACTATTTATTTAGTATGTAGTTCTAACTTTTGAGTCTGTGGATGAAATTCTATGGTGTGACCATTCAAATGAAACATCTTCAGCAGTACTTTCACATGGTACTATTTATTTAGTATGTAGTTCTAACTTTTGAGTCTGTGGATGAAATCCTATGGTGTGACCATTCAAATGAAACATCTTCAGTAGTACTTTCACATGGTACTATTTATTTAGTATGTAGTTGTAACTTTTGAGTCTGTGGATGAAATCCTATGGTGTGACCATTCAAATCAAACCTATTCAGCAGTGCTTTCACATGATACTATTTGTTTTTCTGCATTTTTAAAAATTACCTTTGGAAACTTTGGTAAACTTTGACTTTGGGCACTTTCGGGTGTGAGAAGGAGAAATATAAATTGTCTAGTAAAGGTGGCACATCTTAGGCTTGATTTTTGCTGCTATCTCGGGTCCGGTCTTGTCCCTGAGCGCGGGATCATTTACCGAAAGCGGCTGGTAATTAAGCCTAAGCACATTCTTGGCGTTCATATATGGTAGCAACCAAAGGTGGGGCGTGATATCAAATAAAGAACTAAAACTTGCTAGAAAAAATATCATGGAAGAAATGGTGCCCACTATATTTTTCTTCCCCCATTTTTCAACTCATTCTGTTCGCTAAAGAACAGATAAAAGCTAGTGTAAACTCACCACTTCCGTCTACACTGTTCAATGTTCCTTGTCTTCACAATTTTTGCCACATCAGGCCAGTATATACCATGGAATGGTACTGGTTGATCTTCAGCTGTTTTGGTGACTTGAAAAACTGCTTCTTTAAGGCATTTTACCTCATCCTCTGTCCAAGTTCCTCTGCCACCTGATAACAATAATAAAATGAAACAAAACGTTTCACTCCTTGTTACATGTATTTGTTTCCCTAAGCTTCAAAACCAATAGAAGGTCTGTTTTCAAAGCCCAATGAAAATAGACTAAAAGAAATTTTTGAGAACATGAGGCTCCAGGGGGTATATGATGGAGTACCACGCCCTCCTGAGGTAATGCCATTATGGGTAGTTCTGTACTAACCTTCAGTGGCTGGCAGCTTTGAGTATTTGCGGTTTACAGACATCCGACTCCTGCCCAATAGCTGGCCAATAGTAACCCAGTCTGCACCATGCGCTGTATGCAACCTTAATAAGAAAAACACTAGTCTAGTATAAATAAGTGTCCTGGCTCCTGTTGTTCAAAGAGTGCAAAGTACTATCCACCAAATTCAAGTACACTCTTTTTTTTCTATAAGAATATATTTTATAAGAATATCAAGGCTGAAATTCGCAAAATTTTAAGAATATTTTAAGAATAAACCCCAGACTGAGATATTGAAAAGGATATATTTTTGTGTTCAAAGGCTGTAAATACAATACAATTATATGTTTTCCACTTATTCAATTCTCTAAAGGGGAAAACTAGGCAACAAAATGAGAAAACCTGCACTAACTATAACTGATACCCCCAATATAGTCTAAAACGGGAAATGTCATGAGCTATAATCTAAGAATAATACAAGAATATTTTCAGCCTAAAATCGGCAGAAAAATAAGAATATTCAGCCTGGGCTGGAAAAACAACATTCTTCTTAAAAAAAAGAGTGTACAGGGGTTGGAAAAGTCATGTCTGGTCAGCCCCGAAAAGCAGACTTTCCTACCAGGGAAAATAACTCTTTCAGATTCACTTGTGGCAAGGATGAGAGTAAACTGTTTTTTTTTCTTTTTTCTTGATGACTTTTTTGCAACTTGTAAACTAACATAGTCTCACCTTTTCAGTTCTCTGACTTCTTCTTCAGAGTATCTGATAAAAATAAATAATAATTATTATTAATACAAAGAGCATCTGTTAGCTCACTAGTGAATCCATAATTTTGTGGGCTGTTGATGGTTATTTAAAAATTTCTTTAACATGTTCTAACGTGAAGGGCAAATTTTGAGGCTGTCAGATGTCAGGTTGAGATGACAGAAACGTCTTTTTTTTTAAAATTAGGGAGTTTAAGAATATTGGTGTTCCTTCAAATTTTAACCTAATGCATTCATCAAATGTATGTGAATTTTCCTGGAGTTGAATTTTTCATCCAAATTCAAAAAGAGACAGGCAGTTTCATGGTCCTGTGTTCACTTCCTCTATAAGTATAAAATGTCACTTCAGGGATTTTTGAGTTGTATTTGCACACCAGAGTACGTATGATACGTATGATATACGCCTACAACGCTCTTGTTTTATGACGTTCCATCATCGTTATAGTTGCTCAGGCCACCTACTCACTAAGACTGTGTCATTACTATTCAGCCTCAGAGAACTGTTGACTAATTCTTCCAGAAAAGCAATATTTTGCGAGGATGTCACTCGAGGGTCATACAAACAAGGTTTTCAGACAGGAAAATCATTGAGTGGTTTTCACCCTTTCATCCCCAGTATCACATACAAATTTTCCAGCCTCATCCCCATACATTTCCGTGAAGAGTTACTCGAGAGAATTTGATGAAAAATTAAAGCATTTTTTCTTTGGTGATCATTTTACTAATTCTCAAAACCTTTTCTCTTGATTATGAATGGATATTGTTGGGAGAAAATTGATTTTGGTCACTCTTGGGGCATAAAAAGTGGGCAAAAAGGAATGTGGTTTTAATAAAATGGTAATTGTATAGAAGCCAGAGTGGCTATGAGATGGGGCTCCATTGTATGACACTCTCAAGAGACCTACACTGCAAGCCATTCTACCATGAAGTGATGACAATGAAAATTATTAACTAATGATTGCACTAACTTTCCAACGTAATTTGATTCATCATAAATTCTCGTTGCACATTTGTAGATAGTGTTCAGTGGTCTCAGTATACCTCTTCCTAGAGTAAAAAAAATTAAAAAAACAATTGTTATTATCACCTTCATGTTCAGGTCTGCCCAAATCAAGATCACCTTATTGAATGTCCACTCTTCAATATTATCAAGAAGTATTTTATAGAGAAAAAAGAGAAAATTGGTTTATTTTGTTGAAGGGGTTCATCTTAGTATCATGTTTTGCTGTATACTTAATCCAGAGAAAAATATTGACATAAACAATATAACATTGCTCATAAAATGTAATAGTATTTTTAGAGTGTTGCATGCATTATTAGTTCTCTGTAAACATTTGACTCACCAAGCTCTTTGTAAAATTCATTTTGACGACCAAAGCGCTTCCAGAATTTTCTATCTTCCCTGTCTGTACCTGAGCGAAGAAGAATTCTAACTGGATCTGGCAGTTCATACGTCTGGCAGAAACAAAAAAAATGGTTGCTACAAGCAAGCAAGGAACAGGTACCAGCATTTCATGCTCTTTTCATTAATTTGCTTTTTACAAGCATCTGAACTGAATATTGCCTTATGACCAATACAAACAGACTCACATAATCTAAAGGATAGCATTCACTGACATTTGCCTGTACATGTATTGTATATACTGTAAAGTTCCCAAAGTAACGACCCCCCAAACGTAGCGACCCTTCGAAAGTAGCGATAAATTTTCCCAGGTGTTAGCAAATGCCAAAAGTAGCGACCAAGCTTTAACCGAGATTTATTTTTTCACGGTTATAATGATCTTTGACATTCCTTTATGTAACTCAAAAGGTACATTACACCTTTTTTTTTTCAAAGTCTTCCTTTCACCTCTGAATGCCCACACTGTAATCAAACAATTCTTTTGAATATTTATTTAAAAAGCAATAACATGAAATAAGTTTCTCCAAATAAAAAGTGTGGATGTTTTCACAATTGTTGCAATATTATTATCATAACTTCGTACGGCCCATGTACTTGTACGATAGGAAGTGGCTGCTAAATCCAAAGGTAATGAGGGTCGTTACTTTCACAACTTTGCGGTATTTATTTTATATTTGTCTATATTTATCTTCAGGGGCTAGAGTAGCACAGTGGTGAGCGCACTCACCTAAAACCAATGTGGCTCGGGTTCAAATCGTGGCATCAACGCCATATGTGGGTTTCAGGGCAGAAAAACATAATGAGCATGCCTGAACTAGCCAAGTTTGAAAAAGTGGCGGATTTCAAATATTTTTTTGCCTAATAACAAAATGCTTCCATCCTTAATAAACAAGCAATTTGACTTCAAAAGTTGCAAGCTGTGGTTATAACATTCTCATGACCTAATTTTCTTGAAGAATACCTCATAGTAAAATGGACTTTAATGACATTAAAACAGCCCGCCTTGAGCCTGCAAGAAGGGATGCACAGAAGCTTCCGCAGAATGTTTTTCTGCCCTGAAAATGTGGGTTGAGTTTGTTGTTGGTTCTCCTCCTTGCTCCAGGAGGTTTTTCTCCAGGTACTGTATGTATACTCCAAAGAACTACTTAGTGGAAATGCTACCTCTAAATTATTATTTTGTAAATTTATTTATTAAATTATTTATTTAAGTAGATTCTTTTTGCATTACCTCCAGAAATTTATCCATATTTGACTGTAGTAATCTGAGTTCCTGCAAAGACCACTTGCCTGTCTTTACCTTGATTCCTACATGTAAGTTAAAAAATGATAATACATACTATACTGATAAAAAACTAATAAATAAATAAACTTAAATTTTTATAACAGCAACACAATCACTGGTGTGGTACTTGCCTTTCTCTTTTAAAACCTTTAGCCGTTCCGTGGGAACAGTCCAAGTTTCATGAATTATCTCCGCATGGGCCATTGCCTCTCTCAACTTTTCATTATCTTGTTGCTTTTCTATGCTTTCGGCCATCACAGCTGTTGAGTTACTGACTTGTTTTTCATCGAGTATATTACTAATATCCAAATCCTGTCCCATTTCCCTTCTCTTTTCTTCCTTTCTTTTTTTCTTCTTTTTCTTCTTCTGCTTTTCTTTAACATTTGGATCCTCTACATTCTCTACTATCTCAGCTCTTGTGTTGATGGCCTCATTTCTATTATTTACACTTGTCATATCCATAAAATTTACATCTTGTTCCCTTTGATTGCTCACTTCTTCCTTTCTCTTCTTCTTTTTCTTCTTCCGCTTTCTATTCATTTTATTTCTTTCCTCCAAATCATTACTTGTGTCAAGAAAAGACCTTTCATCACATGATTTTAACATACCTTGTTCATGGTAACCATGCTTGTTCTTAGCCACTTGATTACAAGAAATGCCCTCTTTATCCTGGTTTCTATGGAATGATTCCACCAATGTTTCTATCTTGTCATTGGTATTTATGTCATCAGTTAAAATCTTTGCTGTTTTGTTCCTCTCTTTTTTCTTGTCCTTCTTTTTCTTCTTCTTCTTTCTACTCTCCCTCTCTTTTTCAGATCTAGACCCTACAAAATTATCCATAAAAGAGTGTTCATTACCTGATTTGTCCAACACTCTTGATTCAGTGTTATCATGTACATTGTCACTTTCTTCTTTCTCATTCTCATTTTGCTGTAACTTACGTTTAGTTGTCAATGGCAAATCAACCTGTGCAGGACTACTATAAGATGCTTTACATTTCCTTTTTTCCTTAAAATCTCCATTTTTTGACACGTTTAATGTATCAACTCTTAATCTTTTGTATTGTTTTCCAGGATTTGAGCCAGCTTTCCCCACATCATCTTCGAGTTGCCTCTTCTTTGCTTTCTTTGAAGTCTTCCGTACTATTTCACTTCCATCAGTTTCATGATCTTCTTTGCCTGATTCAAAGTTATTTTTGTACTTATTCAATGTCTCAGCCACAACATCCCGTGCTTCCCTATTCTCTTTCTTCTCCTTTCTTGATTTATTTCCATCTTTTCTTTCATCATCGCAACCTTTTTCCTTACTCCTTTTCTTCTTCTTTCTGTGATGTTTTTGTAAGCCAAACGCGTCTCCATTGTGCGGATTTTGCGACATTTCCAAGGTCGCCAGATAGTGGTATTGTATCATTAAGATATCAACCCTATGAATTCTAAGTTATTTCAGCATAAGCAGGGCTCCTAAAAAGCTAAAAGATCCAAAACAGCCGCCATGTTGAAAACAAAGACACCAAAGGGTCATGGGATAAATTCTTCTAGTTCCAGGCTCTCTCTAATGCCATCATGGTAATTTATCAAGTAGGAAAAACTGTTTGAATGCAGAGGTCCACGCAACGCGTAAATATAACTGACTGGTTCCTCTTGCCGGATCTCTAATTAAACAGATTCTGTAGCCAGACGTCACTTAAAGTGTAAAATAAAACAAAACTGGATACAGGGAGGGCACTACGGCAAAGGGCTGATTTATTACTGGCCAATATTTCGGCTAACAAAATTAGCCTTACTCAGGGCCAAAACTATACCGAGAGAAAAACAAACAAACAAACAAAACAAGAAAAACAAGATACTGCAAATGATAAAGTTATATATTTACTCGAACAAAATATAAAATCATGCTATGCTAGGCGGCGACGGCAAAGAAAACAGCCAAAAAAATCAGTAGGTCTAAAGACCCGGCTACACGAGACGATTCGCAACGACGATTTTTAGCGCAACACTGGCAACACAGCGTTCCAACTTCGTTGCGACATAGTTTCGAATGGTTGCAACATTGTTCCAACATTGCAACGCTGTGTTGCGCTAAAAATCGTCGTTGCGAATCGTCCCGTGTAACATCATCTCAATACTGAAAAAAACAACTTTTGTACATTTCTTTACCGTTTTTGGCACGACTACAACGTGAAACTTCTAATTCCAGAAACTTCCTATACACATTTTATGGAGGAAATGTTGTATGTGTTCCTGTTCACATTTGGTCTAGTTACAATAAAGGTTCTATTTTCACTTCTGCAACAAATTATCCAAGACATGAACAGAAACAACAAAATTACACGAAAAACGATAGTAATTTATTCATTAGATTTTTGGTTCAAGATCTGTTTTCTTTTTTGAAACATTAGATGTGTATATTCAGTTATATTTGGCTATAATGTAAGAAGTATTGTCATTTTCTACTCTTAGTAAGTATAAAATTCTATCGTTAAGTTGACGAAGTTTGCTTCGTTTTTTGAAATATAAAAATATAGGGAACTTTAGATTCGAGGACGAAACGTGATTTGACTTAAAACTTTTTTCCCGTATGATTCTCAAAAAATAGAAACCCGGGAAAGCTTCATTCTACTGTTGATTTACCACAAAAGTTAGCACTGCTATCGTTATATTAAAAAAGGGGTTATGCCCTCTCCTGATTGAAAAATCTTAAAACTTCTAACATTTGATAACTTGTTCCCGCTACTCACGACTTGCTAAAATTCGTAGTAGAATGAGGACGGCCTCCACGTTTTCGCGATACTTAGTACTGAGAAAATCTCGCACTCGTAGTCGTCCTCGTCTTAGAATCTAATAGAAAGCTCTCCAATGAAGTTTCTGTCTAAGATTATCGCGTCTTCCATACATTGCATTAAAAAGTGTTTTTCGTCTTCTATACCGTTTCTATTGATAAAGTAAAAGAATTGGGCTTTTTTTTTTGGGGGGTACTCGCCTATAAAAATGACCGAAACTTTCAAATGTTTTTACCAGTATCCAGCAATATCTTGTTTTGTTGGCATGGCTAAAATTCATTAGAACTCCCGAACGGTTTGTTTTATTCTTTTGTTTTCTTCTTCACCGCCTTGCAGCAAGGATCAGTTTGCCGTTTCATATTTTTCTACAAGTTTAATTGTACTGATCCAGGTCTACAACTGGAAGATCCGGCACCACTCATTGGTTTGTCGCTGTGGACTTGCTGATAATTTACATATTTTGGCTCATGAGCTTCCCGATACAATGATAAAGAAGCAAGCAATAAATGAGCTACTGATAAAACTCTTAGAGTGTTTTCGTTCACGTGGCCAGTGGCTATTCACATTTATTGGGAAGAAAGATAGTTTTTACATATTAAAGGAAAAAAGGCCTGTGTACAGAGCCCCCCTCCCCTCAGGGAAGAAAATTCCGATTTTTCCTGAGGGGAGGGCTAACGTCCATCGGCAAGGAGCGAGGATTCTTGGGACAGAAAAAAATCAGATCAACACATTTATTTCACTACACTAACCACACAAAACAAAATCTGATTTTCAGGTGGGGCGTAGGCAAACACTTATAACAAACAAATAGAGGCAGTATGGTGTTCACAAAAGTTACAAAATTTCAGAAAATTCATTACGTAAAAATGAAAAACTTCTCAGGTGACAACCTTGTTACACATAATTCCTCACAAATACCTCTTGTATTAGATCGAACTGGAATTTATAAGTGTTGGTGATAAAGGAGAGCAGAAAAACCGCAGTACTCGGTGAAAATCCTCTGGTGAGTGAGAGGTGAATACTTTTTCCACTGCACATGCGCTGACGAGTATACATAGAGCCAAAAAAAAGAGCCAAAAGACAGAGAAAAATCGCGTCAATTTACTGAGTTTATTTTGACTAGACAAATACAGGCCGGCTGTAACCACACGGGTGGTTAAGATATAAAAACCGTAAACTAAACAGAGGAAAATATGCCCAGTTCATACGCGGTGTACCCTGGGTGCCAGAGACTTTTCTAGCGCGGTTTCCGGTTTCTGTCAAGTCTTTATAGCGACCCGCGCGAAAAGCTTCGCCGCTCGTGGCTTCGGCCTACGGCCAACACATAAAATTCCCGCCGCACGCGAGAAAAACCTCTGGTACCCAGGGTATACGTGGTGCTTCTACCGAACGTTACTATAATTCGGTTGTACAGAAGCACAGCAGGCCGCCTCATGAGGCTCATTCTGAAATGGTTTCTAACTGGCATCGTTGCTGGATGTGGAAGCCTCAGCTTCAAGTTGAGCTGTTAGAGTTCTGCCATATACATGGTACAGATAATCCAAAATATCTACAGAAACAGAAGATGAAGAAAACAGAAAAACGTTTAGATATGCCATACTTCCTCTTTTTACCACACCACTAGCGCCCCCCCCCCACCATCACCACCACCACCCCCTAAGGGCTTATCAGTTATTGGTGGGTTATGAAAGCTTAAGACCTTATCAAGCATATTTCTGGGCAGGTGTGGAAAGGTGAATTATGAACTGTTTTCATGCATAACCTTTTTGACTGCTGAGAAAAAAGGTGAAACATTCATGTTTCAAATAACTATATGCAAATCAAAGACGTCTGTAGGCCAAAGAAACTGTATGAGTTTTTATGAACAAACGAACGAACGAACGAACGAATGAATGAATCCGACATTTGTGCACGAAAACCCGGGCCAATCAAATGAAATCTCTTCGGTGATACTGTCATGAACTATTTGGTTTTCATTATTTTACAAAATAAAAGTTAATATTTCTTTTTCTTCAAATTTTTTTTTGTCACCTTGGGTAAAGGGTCATATGGCGAACAGAGACTTCCCACTCGTTATACAACTTGCATCCCTTAGTAGACCGTAGTGTTCCCCCAAAAATTCCTTATTAGAAATCTTAGCAAAAACCAACAGGAGACTGGTGCTACATATAAATAAATATTGCCGAACTCTTGACTTTGACGCACCTTCAAATTCCAGCAAATGATAGTCTGGAACTTTTCTTTTGACTTCTGACCATTTGTTCCGGAGCCACTGTGGTGGGTAATTGCTGAAATTAACAGTTAAGTCGCGAATAAGATTGAGCGAAGGCAGCAAACAAGCAAAATGCTAGAACAAAAACTAAACCAAAACGTTCATTCCTTATGGGTACTGTAGATACAAGGGGCACAATACACTATCCTCTCTTCTTTCGCCGCAATTTAGCCTCCCACGCAGACGTCCTTTTGGGTATCCAGGGATTAAAAATGAAAATGAAAGACATTTCTAAGGAAAGTTTCCAGTTGTGTGCTTGGATTAAATTTGAATTTCATGGCATGGATTGACAAGAACAGAAAATACCAAGGCAATGAACTTGAAATGGGTGCAGCGATACGAAATAAAGATTTTTATCAGAATCTAGGAGGCAAAATCACTAACGTTTTGTGATATTCTCATAAATATGATCACTTTTTAGTCCAATAAAAAAATTCAACTCACCTTTTGAAGTCAGACTTCACTTCCATCCAATCCACATCGCATTCTTGGGTTACGCCAGAGTTGTACAATCTACGAAAAAAAATACAACATAGGCCAATGAGATAAACCTTCCAGAACACACAAAGAAAATCCTTAACTAGCCTGTGTACAGACTAATCCTTAACTAGAATAACAAAAACCATCTATGCAAAATTTCCTGCGCTAGAGATACAGTACGCAAACACCGAAAAATATATTCAGTCAAACCTTGTGATAAGTTGAAGCTCATTCTCTTTTGTCCACTTTTTCTCCTCTTTATCTTTCATCCAGCAGAGACTTCCTAACCTGAGCAAAAAAGGAAGAGGTATTTTGGATGGGATTCAACCCCATTCTTACTGAATCGGTGGACGAAATACTAAGATGGGGAGCAAGGGATGGCGCAGTGGTGAGAGCACTCACCTCCCACCAATGTGGCCCAGGTCGCAACGCCATATGTGGGTTGGGTTTTTTGTTGGTTCTCTCCTTTGCTCCGCGAGAGGTTTTTCTCAGGCTACTCCGGTTTTCCTCTCTCCTCAAAAACCAACATTTCCAAATTCCAATTCGATCAGGAATCGGGTAGACGAAGAACCACTTTGTGGATGTGCTACCTCCAAATCATCATTATTATTATTATTTTTCATTTTTTTTTTTTAATTTTAAAAAACATACATTATCAAATTGAAAATTAAATACAAATTTAGTATAACTATAGTTAGGGGTCGACCATTTAACTCTTGAGGGGGGGTGATTTTGAAAAAAAATTTACTGCAAGCGCTTGTCAGAAGAAAATCAAAGAAAGACTATTGTCAACGCGTGGGTACGTTGTTTAGAAAATAATCAATTAGTTATCACCTCTGGTTTTCCCACAGTGAATTTTAGAAAATGATAGAAATTCATATTACAAATATACTGTCCTTGTTCTGGAAACACAATACTTTTCTTGCTGTTTATTGCACTTTAGTAACAGTTATTTAAGTATATATTTAAAAACAAAACAAAAAAAACAGCAAAACAAATAAGCAAACAAGACAAAAGAAAAAAAAAGGAATAAGGGAAAAAGAAGGTCATTAGCGGGATTTGAACCCAGTACCTTCAGTTTGACCCGACCTCACATAGCCACTACGCCATTGAGGATGGTCACGTGATTTTGCGAAAAGTCTCAAATTTAACGTTTAATGCCTTTTCCATGGAACTTCCGCCGGCAAACGACCGGGCCAAACGATCGAGCCATAAAAACGACTCGAAGCAATGGGATGAAATTAAGGCTAATTGAAACCAGGCTACTGACAAGTAAACGCATTTCATACAAAGCCGACACAACTCCTCCGCGAAGTAGGACGCAAAACATTAGCTTATGTTTTCTTATCTCGATTTCCGCTGTTATTTTAAAAAGGTTATGCTCAAACTCACATCCATTTTCCCCCCGTGATCTTGGGGAGTCCTTTAGAAGAAAATACCATACATTTCACAAGTCCGTATTTTATACCCAGTCCGCAGTCCGTAGTCCGCAGTCCGTGTTTTATACTGACCGCCATAAATTCATTCATACACGTAACCTACTACAGTGCTACAAGGTAGGAGATCAAGCCAGCGTCGCAGTTGAAGGAGTCGAAGAGCAAATGCTCATCTTCTTGTCAAGTTTAACGCTTGGACGGGTCAAAGGCTTTTGAATCGTACTAATTTGAAAGATTCCTGCCTGTCTTAAATTTGGTAAGACCTCTATCCTAACCGTGCTGTAGCGCACGATGCACGCTCGCAGCGAGGAATTTGATGCTACCAAACTTCGGCGAGCGCGTCCTTCTTTGGAAACGATAGATCTTCGCGCTCTCGAGTTCGGACCCGATTAATTACGAAGTGCGTCTACTACGAGTGACTCATTTGCATATCTCAGTCCCTGAAATAACTCGTGGTACGCTCGCGCGTACCCACGAGTTAAAAATTGCATGCAGCACAAATGTAGTAGAAAGCTTATGGGAAAAAAAGGAAAAAAATATCCTGCCCACCAGATTGTTAGAAAAAAAATTCTTGATGACCAGAAATCACCCACCCCTCCCCTCAAGAGTTAAATGGTCGGCCCCTTAAAAAAGACTTGGTGGTCTGGTGGTTTTCAACAGAGCAAATTATTTTTATTATTATTATTATTATTATTATCATTATTATTATTGTTGTTGTTATTATTATTATCATTATTATTATCATTATTATTATTATTAGATGCTACTACTGCTGCTTTTCTTGATTTTTCAAAATGGAACTTTCTGGGAAATTTCGAAGAATGTTGACTTTTGCACTTTTGGGTGTGAAGGGGTCTGTGTATTTAGCAAACGTGGGTTGTTCTCAGTGTTCATAGAGCAACCGAGGGTGAGATGTTACAATTATAAAAGAGCAGAAAAAAAGACATAGGAGAAAATGATAGTGCCCATTTCCTCTCTATATTTTCATCAATCTTAGTTTTATCAGCCGATGAACAGATAAAAGTTAGTGTAAACTCACCACTTCTGTCTACACTGAACAGTGGCCCTTGTCTTAACAATTTTTGCCACGCTGGGCCAGTGTATACCATGGAACGGTACTGGTTGATCTTCAGCTGTATTGGTCACACGATAAACTGCTTTTGTGAGGATATCAACCTCATCATCTGTCCAAGCTCCTCTTCTACCTAATTATATAATTAAAACATCTGTTCACTCCTTGTCATCTATTTATGGTGTTTTCCATTTCTTGGCACATCATATCGAACTGCCTAAAAAAAGTGACATACTGGTATACAAACTGCATTGATGTTATGATTCAGATCTCAGTGATAACAATAATGTAAAAATAAATAATTCAAATACACAAAAAGAAATGAAATGGAACCAAAAACTACGTTCACGATTGTTAACCAACCTGTTATCAAAAAATGCTGGAGTACATGGATTCATAACAGTTCAGAATACTTTTGATCTATGATTGTTTCATAATTCATAGTCTGAACGATTAGAAAAAGCAGTGCACAAGACATATACAAAGAAAAGGGTGATGGGTAACATGCAAACCTTTAAGAACAAGTTGTTTTTAAAACTACGATAATGATTCAATTTTGCACCATCGTTCCAATGAGCCCCCTTTCTCTGATAAATGTGAATAAGCACCTCTATTCTAATAATTAGCCCTAGAGCATAGCACTCTCATTCCAATAAAAGCCTCATTTCCAATAAGCGATAAGAATAGATAAATTACCCAAACAATGTTCTAAACCAAATAGCAGTAGCTAAGGTGTTTTCAAAGGTCAATAAAAATGGCGGTTTAACAGATTCTTGGTGATTCTTGAGAGGTCTAAGACAGCACCATGCCCTCTTGGGCTCAGCTAAACATGGCAGCAAAGATCAGTACTAACCTTTGATGACTGGCAGGTTTAAATATTTGCGGATTACTGACATCGTACTCCTGCCTTACAGCCGGCCAATAGTAACCCAGTTTTTAACATGCACTGCATGCAACCTTAAGAACAGAAACACTAGAGTGTGGCAAGTGTACATATATTTTGTGTGTTTTTGTCACTTTCTAAAACTTCTCCTGCACAAAAATGAAAGAGGTCCATGGATTAAGAAAAACCAAAATTTTTCATTACTTTGACTCCTAACAGGTGAAAAACAAATTATGGACTACTTTATAAAAAGCAATTTTTCTGGTATTAATAGATTGGTTCAATCCTATTATTTCTGATGATGGATTATGAAACCTTAGCCCATTCCCAACACCAGATTGGTACACGTAGGTAGCAGGGAAACTAACAATATTCCATTATTCATGCTTGGAAGTAACAGCAGAAGAAAAAAATGGGGCGCGCAAGAGATACACTTGAGGGGAGAGGGAGCTCCTGCTCGAGAGGCCCATGAAAATAGTTTGCCACCTCTGGTCCAATTACCTGGCAGCAGCTGCATGATTTGTCAAAAATTTTGACAAAAAACGATTGACCTTGCACAAGCAAAGCGTGCCAAAGCGTTGTACATTTATATTCTTGGTCTATCTGTTATAAAGATCAGCTAGGTTATCTGATTATAGAGCGAGGGAGCAACCGACAATAAACACACAGCATTAAATCATTTTTAACCAACTTACTTACTTACTTACTTACTTACTTACTTACTTAACTGCATCTGAGAAAATCGGTGACATAAAAAGGCACGATAAATACGAAAAAACAGAGTCAAAAATGGAAATCATTTAAAGAATGCATGCTGTGTATTATATTAGACAAATCTTTTGTCTGTCGCCTCTTCCACTAATGCGTATTTGATGTCAAATTGTTCCTTTATGAATACTGTTTGAACACTCCAACTTTTCTATTAGATTACAGCCACATAGTTCCATTGAAGTGACCTCCAAGATCTCAACTTCGATTTTACCATTAATCATAACTATAACAAAATTGTCAAATCTGATTGGCTATCAACTGCCCTGATTTCAGCCTTAATTGGACAGTTTAATAGGACAGTACGCGTCATACCTAAGTAATTGGGACAGTACGCGCCATCAAGCGCGCACTGAAATGGCCTTTTTTTTAAGCTAGCAAAACAAAATGTCGAATTTTTTGTGTTTTTATGTAAAAAATAGCCTTTTATATCACAATTTTTGTTAAAGTTATGATTAATTGGTAACAGAACTTCATGTCGTCCAATTCGGTTTGTAATCATACTCGTGATTAAACAAATCGGATTCCCGCTACGCGGTCGTCCTATTTTGTTAATCACTCGTATGATTACAGACCGAATTGGACTCCACTCAGTCCTGTTACCATTACTTAGTAGTGTAATAAAAAACCTTCACTGCCTTGTCCATCCATGTACTACATGTGTTTATACAATGATGTGAATGCTACGCGCGCTGTGATTGGTCGTTGCCCATGATCTAGCTATTAGAGTACAGATACATGGATGACGTCACAGGAAACTTGTTTTCTTTGTTTTGTTCAACATGGCAAGCGGTTTTGAAAATGTTTGTGAGATTATTTCGGATTGAGGCAGTGAAAGCTTCGGAAAAAGTTTAGCAGGAGCTATTTACAAAGAAGAAAAATGGAGAAACGGAGACCAAAAAAGCTATTGACTACTTGACAATGCCTAAACTACAAGAAATCTTCACAACAGTTGCCATCGTGTGTCTTCGCTACGAGAGACACGCTGTTTTGCAAAATGTTTTCGCTATTATTCTTCTTTGAGCAAGAAAAGAAGGTGAAAAACTTTTCGAAGAAACTGTACACAAGAAAGATAAAGAAGAAGCTAAGATGAAAAGTTGGGTTTGGGACTTAAAAAATGCCTAAACTAGCACAAATCCTCAAAAGGTCAAGCGGTTTGAGGCAGGTATGTGTATCGGTCTTTTTCTTTTCTGATCATTGTATAAAACAAATAGATTCCATGTTGCCGTGGGTCTGTTCAGTAATAGATCACAGAAGACGTCAAAATGTGTAAAAACAACAGTGACACATTCTCCTGCGGCTCGTGTGCCACTTCTTTGTTTTTACGACATTTTGACGTCATCTGTGATCTATTACTGAACAGACGCACGGCAACATGGAATCTATTTGTTAAATAAACGATCTCCTGTTTTCTTTGATTGACAGTTTCTTTGCCTTACACGACTACTTGTTTCCCTCGGGAGCCTCTCAACCAATCGGAAATATCCACACTCCCAGAAAGCGAGTTGAAACGATTTTCATGGGCCTCTTGGGCAAAAGCTCCTTCTCCCCTCACGTGTTTCCCTCACACACCCCATTCTTCCTTCAGTGTTCCTTGCACCCATTACTTCCAAGGGCCTACTACACAGTCAGGCTACAGTGATAGTTTTTAGCACAATTTCTTCTAGAGACAAGCCTAGTTCATTTTCAAAATGATCCATCTTGCTGGCCAGGTCTAAGCAGGTCTGGCAGTAGTCATTAGACTTACCTTTCCAGTTCTTTGATTTCTTCATCAGAATATCTAACAAAGTACAAAACACATTTGATTAAGTGAATCCTCAATTTTATGAGTTGGTTATTTGTAAGTTTCTTAACATATTCAAGAATAAATTAAGAGAAATTTTGAGATTGTCAGTTATGATGATGAGATAGCTGGAAAGGTTTTTAAGGCAAACATTCACACGGGCTGTGGTGTATTACTGTTCCACCACGGAAATCTCCCAACTAAATAATGCTTGAAAAAAACATTATCTAGTGTCAACACACCAGGTTTACAAATAGGAAATTCAATGGTGAGGGCCGAGAGAATGTGGTCATAACATGGTAGTTTTATTATTTACATATAGTGATGTAGTTGTTGGGTGGTGGTTGGGGTACTACTGTAAGCCCTTATAAGACACCTAAACTGTTCTACCCGGCATAACATGATTGCAATTATCTGATGATGACACTAACTTTCCCATATGATTTGATTCATCATAAATTCTCAATGCACAATTGTAGATAGCTTTCAGTGGTCTCAGTATACCTCTACCTGGCAAAAGAATAAAACTCATAAAATTGTCACTACTGAATGTGATTGATGATCACTTTATTAAAGCTAACACAATAATTTCCAAATATGAATAAACTATGTCAATTATGTAGTGACTGCATTAGTGTTATAAAGGTGAAGTAATTTTTACATGACATGTATTTAAACAGAGAAAAGAACAAGGAAAATATTTGTATTATGTTGAAGGGTTTCCATCTTATTATTAGCATTACCACTATCACAATACCCACAGTAAGTGTCTTCAGAGTGTTGATACAGTAAAACCTCTTGGTATGGATACGTCTCTAATATGGACACCTCTCTATTACGGACAGTTTTCAATGTCCCGACAAAATTCTCATATATTTTCTTTTAAAGAAACCTCAGTCTATAACATGGACTCCTTCTAAGATGGACAACGGACACTAAATCTCAGCCCCAGAGAGTAAATTCATTAAAACTTAACCTCTTTATTGCGGACGCTGCGGTGATCAGGTGAATCCCGAATCCCGATAAGGTGAATCTGCACCGGGTGAATCCCGTCTAGTCTTGCTGATAAGCTATGCAAGGTGATATAAAGACCGGTTGCTGTATACCAAACAATGATTTGCAAAAGGTGTAGAGACGAACATAACTGACTTTTTGAAGGCTTCAATAACTACAGATAGCATAAAGATCTTTTCTATTACACTGATTTTGTATTCTAGTTACCGTTTACTGCACTTGCAAAAAGGCAAAAGACGCTTTCAGAATTGTGGTTTACGGTACAACTTTCTACATGCAGCATTGCACTGTAGCTCATTTCATTTTAAAAAAGTACTTTGTCTGTAGCTGAGATGTACAATGTTGTATGCTACTGAAAGACAGTGTCTTTACAAGTACTGTGAATTAATACCTTTGAATGCAGTTTAAAGACAAGTGTGAGCCTGGTTTTAGCTACTGAACACTTAAAACTGTAAGTGGAGTCATAAAGGTGACGCCATCATAGTGACCTTCTTTATACGGACACCTCTCTAATACGGACACTTTGCTCTGTCCCTTAGGTGTCCGTATTAGAGAGGCTCGACTGTACATACATTTTATTTATAAATTTAAAAAAATAGTGAACCTGGTGTTAAAAAGTTTAGAAAATCAAGATATAGGTTTTCACTCACCAAGCTCTCTGTAAAAGTCATTTTCACGAGCAAAACGCTTCCATGATTTCCCTTCCTTCCTGTCTGTACTTGAACGAAGAAGAATTCTGACTGGATCTGGCAATGCATGAGTCTGGCAGAAACAACAAAAAGGTTACTACAAGTAATCAAGGAACATGTACATGAATTCCAATCCAAACATCAAAGAATCTGTATTGACCTGGACCAACAGTAAAAGATTAATACAGGTAACACCGTCTAATAACATACCTCCAGAAACCTATGCACATTTGCCTTTAATAATTTGAGCTCCTGAAAAGACCACTTGCCTTTCTTTATCTTGAATCCTGAGTTTAAAAAATTAATAATAATATATTATATACAAGGACAAACTAATAAAAAACTAATTTACAAATTTACAGATTAACTTAAAGTTTATAGATGTAACACAATCACTGACGACCCAGCAGTTTCCATTACAAAGGCCCACATTAAACAAGGACAGAAAGTTTGAAAACACTTCTTAACCTGTTCTCCACTGAACTGGCCAGACAGTGACCAGAAAACAGCTTAACTACACTGTACCTTCAAAAAAGGAGTTTTTCAAAAGAATTCCAAGGGTGAATTGGTTATCTTTCTAGATCATGATACATTGTGTTGTGTTTACACGTATGTTAATATGTATGTCAATGATAGAATATATTATTCTGAATTAAAGGGATAATTTCTGGTGTACATGCACACCTTGGGTGGTATTTTTCTAGTTCAATAAAAACAAATAATAGTGTACCTACAATTTCTTTTAGAGTGTAACTACAAAAAAGCAAAATCTTTCAGCATTTCTTTCTGTTTCCCGGAGTAGTCAATATATAAATATTGAAATCAATAAAAATCGTTAGCGATCAAGTGATTTTATCAAGTAATAACAGAAAACAGTGAAAAGCTATCTAGGGAAATCCTTTAGCCTGAATTTTAGGCTTCCCTTTGCCTCTTAAGGATGTCTGAAATTCAGGCTGGGAAATCTTTTATCTAAGGTTGTATTTCTCGTAGTACTTGCCTGCAAGAACTTAAACCAAACCATTTCTGTTATTATGTACAAAAGGGTCATGGTTTTAGAGAGAATCTTGTGTCTGTAATAGTTTCCACATTTCTTATTTTCATGTTTGTTGATCAGTTGTTACTCGTGGATGAGTTCTCTGAGCTGTACAATTTAACTTACCATTATAAATTGTTAAAATCATGAAAAATGGATAATATTGATTTGACACAGCAACTTAGTTTATCAATTTTCACCGATTTCCGTTATCAATCAATAAAAATCACTTGATTGCTATCGATTTTTATCGACACCTATTTTTATCGATTGACTACTCCGGACTGTTTGTAACATTAATATTATTTTTCTTTATTTTAATAATTATAGTAGCACGTTTATTGTCTTTGTCTTGTCCTGCCTAGATTAGCTTCAAGTAGCTACATGTATTTGCAGGAAACCCAATATTGTAAAATTGATTTTGATTCTTGTTAATAAATACAGTCGACTCCCGATAATTCGAACCTTGAAGGGAAATAGAAAAAAGTTCAAGATGTTTGGAGTTCGTGTTATCAAAAGTAAAATTACATGGAAAATGATCTGAAGGGAATTGAAAATTACTTTGAGTTAACGGGAGGTTCAAGTTATAGAGAGTTCGAGTTACCGAGATTCGACTGTACACTCTTTATATTGTTGTTGTTAAAAATCAATACTGTGAACCTGCACATGAATGAGGAGTTGAGCTCAGAGCTCCTGTCACAGCAACCTTAGCTTGTGTTAGAGCATGTGACTGTGTCGAAATCCACCACAATTCATACGAATGGCATTGACTTCTAGCCCTTAACTAACATTTTACAGCTCTGAAATAGTGATACAAAAGTAAACTGGGTGGGTTGATTTATAGAATCTTTTAAGTTAACAAACATAAACGCCAACAGTTATTACTCAGTCAGATTCATTGTGCCCAAAATGAGACCAAGTTGAAATCCAGTAACATCTGACTATACTCTTAAGCAATCAGCAACACTGCCTCATATAACTGGTTACAAACATCTTTTGGGCAGACTCATTTATGGAATGCTTCTTCTAGTTGGTGAACTTACACTCACTTAGAAACTATTTTTTACTGGGTTCTTCTGATAAAAACATAATCACACACCTTTCTCTTTTAACAACTCAAGCTGTTCCTCAGAAGGTATCCAAGTTTGATGAATTATGTCAGCATGGAGCATTGCTTCTCTCAGCTTTTCATCATCCTTTTGTTTCTCTGTGCTTTCTGCCATCACAGCTGTTGAGTTACATGTACATGTACCAGCTTCTTCTCCATCAAGTCTATTGTCATTAATAGAATTTTTTACCTCTCCCATAACCAATTCCTGGCCCCTTTTCCTTCTATCTTCTTTTTTTCTTTTCTTCTTTTTCTTCTTCTTTTCCTTAATGTTTGGCTCCTCCACATTCTCTGCCATCTCAGCTCTTGAGTTAACGACCTCTTTTTTATCATTTACACATGTTAAATCCATAATCATTATGTCTTTTACCCATTTCTTTCTCTCTTCTTCCTTTTTCTTCTTCTTTTCCTTATTCTTCTTCCACTTTCCATTCAATTTATTTTGTACCTCCAAATCATTACTAGTTTCAGGAAAAGCCTTGGCATCACCTGTTAATTCTAACATGCCTTGGCTAAGGTAAGTACATTTGTTTTTAGCAACTTGAGTACAAGATATAGTCTCCTTATCCTGGTTTCTGTGAAAGAATTTCACTCTGCCTTTGTGAATATGAGTTGGCAATGTTTCTATTTCCCCACTGCTATCTACAGCTTTAGTTAAAATATGTGCTCTCCCCCTTTTCCCTTCTCTTTCCTTTTCTTTTTCTTCTTCTTCTTTCTGCTCTCCCTTAAATTTTCAGTTCTTGACCTTAAAAAATAATCCACAAAGGAGCATTTACTACTAGCTGTGTCTGACACACTTGGGTCAAGGTAATCATGTACGTTGTCACCCTCTGCTTCCTCATCCTTCTCACAGAACTTGTTTTTGCTATAATGATTTTGCTGCAACTTATCTTTAGTTGTCGTCCGTAAACCAATCTGTTCAGGAACAACAGAAGGGGATTTATATTTCCTTTTCTTCATACACCCTCTACATGTATTTGTGGATAAAACCAATGTATTAGGCTTCATTCTTTTGCATTGTTTTTTAGGATCTGAGCCAGCTTGCTCCACATCATCTTCATGATGCCTCTTCTTTGCTTTCTTTAAAGTCTTTCCTTCACTTTTGTCAGTTTTATGATCTCCTTTGCCTGATTTAAAATTATTTTTAGACTTATTCAATGTCTCAGCTACATCATCCTGTGCTTCCTTATACTCTATCTTTTTCATTCTTAGTTCATTTCCATCTTTCCTTTCATCATCGTGACATCTTTCCTTTTGCATCAGTCAATTCCACCTGCGCCCAGCCCCCCCCCCCCGGGCTACTGCGGGGCATTTGCCCGCCTTGTCAGTCCCGGGGGCCGGGCATTTGCCAACCCCCGGGCCATTCCCGAGCTTTTGACACGCACGCGGTTTCCTATCAGAATATAACCACACAGAAGGTTTTACTGGAAAAAAAGCAGATTGGCTCATCTGTCAAGGACATGAATAAATTGTAGAGGGTTGTAAAGGCATGTTCTCGATTTTACATGTATGTATGCATTTCTTCATTGCTTATCAAGCCAGAATTACATAGCGAAATTGGCGCTATCGATGTGAATCAATGTTTTTTGGTTATTGAATCAAATTTCCGTTGATATTATTTGAAGAACACCCTTTCATATTTGTAAAACTATTCATAACATATAACTTTACAGCGCTCTATTAATTTTAATATCAATAATTTTATATCAATACTACAACCATAAAATGGTGCATGTCGTCGCGGCTTGAAGTCTTAATTAGAATCCTAGGGCTATTACAAAGGAATTAAGACGTTAATTGAAACAAAAAATTGCACTTTAAAATGGCACTATTGGACTGTGCGATCAATAAAAAATGTTGCACTGTTGACGGAGGACGGGGCATTTGCCCTCGTTTTTCTTCCCCACCCCGGGGGATTTGCCAGCTCAAGAATCCCCACCCCCGGGAATTTGCCATCCATGGCAAAAAAAATGCTAATTCCCGGGGGTCAGCCCGGGGGGGGGCTGGGCGCAGGTGGAATTGACTGATGCATTTCTCACTTTCTTTTTCCTGAGATGTTTCCTATTTTTCTTGTTTTCTCCATTTTTTGATAAGACTAATGGATCAAGTCTCACTCTTTTGCGCTGTTTTTCAGTAGCTGAGCCAGCTTCTTCCACATAATCCTCGAGATGCCTCTTCTTTAAAGCTTTCTTCAAAGTCTTGAGCCACATTACTTTCTTAGCTTTACTTCCATCAATTTCATGATCTCCTTTGCTTGACGCAAACTGATAACTTAACTTAACTTCCTGTGCTTTTGGTCCTTCGTTTATATTCTCTATCTTTTTCTTTCTTAATTCATTTCCATCACGACATCTTTTCCCACTGCTTTTAATTTTTTTTCTTCTTTCTGTGACGTTTTTGTTCCACTTGTACGTAAAACGCGTCTTCATGCGGCTTACCACGCGCCTAAGGCATTTCCAAGGTTTCTGCATAGTGTTATTAAATTTTAAATATCTCGCTAGACCGCACGAATTGGTTATTTCAGTGTAAGCTCACTGTAGCGCCAAATAAGTTCCAAAACAGTCCGCCATGTTGAAAACATGGACACCAAAGGATCATAGGATAAATTACTCTAGTTCCAGGCTCTTTCTTACGGGTACGGGGACGACCCTCTGGCGGGTGACAGCGGTCATGGAAAACTTTGTTTACTCACGTTAATTAGACAAACAAAATTTTACAAAACGTGGAAGTGTTTATTAGAGGAAATAAAACGGTCACTGCATCTTAAAAGCCAAAAGAAGGCAAAGAATTCCAATTTACACCCAAAAATGCAAAGATGTTCCTGTAATCCTTTGTTCTTGTTTGTGGAAGTTCAATATTAATCTAGACTCCTCTTTCTTCAACTGCCTACAACTTTTCTCCGTAAGGGTTTCCTAGCACGAGTTAATTTTTAGGCGCCAAGGCGGCGACAGTTTAAAAATTCGAAGGAGCCGAGTACAATCGCATGAAAGTCAGAAGGAGCCAACAATCCCCAATTACACAGGGGCACCCAACGAGAATATAGTTCAAAACCACTTAAACATAGAATTGTTAAACGTATTTTAGTATTTAAACGGTAGATATAGGCATATTTTTCTCCCCTAAAAATTTTTCATCTGTTATGATTTCCTAGCTGAAAGTCAAGTGATCCAAAAATTATAGGGATCAAAACTTTCCTTTTCGAAAATTTCAGCCAAAAAAAAGGCTCCCGAAAATTCTAGGTGACCTTTTTAGGGTAAAAATCCGTTAAAAATAGGCAATTATACCATTTTTTAGATGTTCGAGAATCGTAGTAGAGGCAGGCAAGCAAGAAATTTTACAACAAATGTTCCGAAAATTCTAGATCTCAAATCGTCTTCCGAACAGATATTTTTCCGAAAATTGTCGTCGAGTTAGAGGACAGCGCTGCGACTCGTCATAAATATCCTGGTATTTTTAGACGACTACAATATTTAATAACAACATGATAATTTATTTGAGATGTGCCGAAACACTAACATGGGTCTTCTCTCCTTTCAAAGTTCGTGTTGGAACCTATGGAATTGGGGTACAGCCCTTGACGCAGTTCAAACAACCAGACAAACTCGTTTACAACAGATGATAATATTATTGGATTCACGCTGTCACGCTGTCACGAAACCAAAGAGTGATTGTGTATACGACTGTAAAAAGTCTGTGAAAACTGTACAGAAACATTTTAAGTTTACACCCCATATAGATGCACAATCAACCTTGTAATTCTGTAGGGTTTTTAAAACAATTTTGGTCGGTTGAATTACAAGACCAAACTGGATGTGTCCACATTATTTCCTGTTTTCCTATTGAAAGACAACTCCAGCTTGTTCAGTTGCCAGTAATTATTCCGAGAAAGGAAGGAGAACTTAAAATCTCCCATTTCTGAGAATATGTCTCCTAATCTGTCGTGTCTTACTTATGTTTCAAGAAACAGCGGATGGTAGAGTTGTATTAGTTCGATTTCCGTGATTTTGCGCAAGACAATAGATCCAGAACTGCAACGCACAAAAACGAAAAGTTCTTTTTCGCGATCATGTCGGACATTGTGGAGAACTTTGAAGAAAAGGCTAACTTTATAGACGAAAGCGAAGCCGAACTGATTCGAGAGAAACTCGAAATACTCGTAAGCAACATTCTAACCCAAGTGAAAAAGCACGACAGCCGATTTCAGAGTTCATTGGTCAAAAGCGGAAGTGTTTACGAAGGAACGAAGGTTTGTGAGCCAGATGAGTTCGACTTCATGATCCGATTGAATTCTCTCACGAACACGCCGTTTCTTCATCCCTGTGACAAAGGCGATGGATATGTGAAGCTCTCCCTTGAAAGCCGTGAATGGGAAGACTTCAAAGATGCCGACGGCTTTTTCAGTCCAAATCTGCTATCCCGCTTCTTCAAGAGGCTTGTGAGTAAATCTCTTGACGATATCAAAGTACCTGAAGGTTTGGCCGTGTTTAGAACGAGACCATCATTATCTAAATCAACTTGGTGGCCTGTGTATGCAGATCTACTAGGAAACAGTGGTGAAGAAAGCCAATCTGGTGCTATGTACTCGGAAAATCATGGCCCGGCTACGACACTTTATGTGCAGTGGCAAGGAGGAAGTAGTTACCAGGATTTAAAGATAAGTGTTGATCTGACTCTGTCCATAGATTACCCCATTTCCAAACTGCCTGCTCCCTTGGCAGAAATCCCTTTGGCTGAAGCGAATAGCATTCTTCGGAGGTGCGGATTTCACGTCGTCCCCGCGGGCTTCGATAGTTGGCGCATTTCGTTTTCTATGGTCGAGAAAGAAGTTCTGGCCACTTCTCCTGACGGCTTCAAACAATGCTACCGAGTAATGAAAATCGTGAGAGATGTTGTGTCGAAGAAACTTGGATGGGATCCATCCCTGGTTCCATCGTACGTGTTCAAGTCAGTTCTTCTGTCTCAGCTGTTCACGAATGGTCATCGTTGGGAAAAGGAACTTCGCTCCCAAACGATAATTGAACTTTTGGATCACGTTATGCAAGGTGTCAAAGCGGAAAAGATTCAGAGTTTCTTCCTACGAAGGTATAACCTGCTCTCTCCGTTCGATCATGAGAACAAGCTGCGCCAGTGTCTCCTGGAGGAAATGCTTTGCTTGATAAGAGGGATGGAAATGGTCTTTTCCGAGGAAAAAGCCAGAGAAAGAAGAAAGCAGATAAGGGTCTTGCAAATGATTGATGTCCTCGACTACATGATCTCGTGTATTCTCCGTGGAACGAATCCTTCTGTTGTCTGGAATAAAGTGTTTGTCAACATCAGCAACGTTCCAAACTCTAGGAAGCATGGTTGGTTCATGAACGAGCTTACCGACCTCAATTGCACAGAGCTTAGTGAGGAAGCTTATTCCAAGTTGGTTCAGATATGGAATTTTACGGAAGATTTTTTCACGAAATTATTGATCAAACTTAAAGGGGAACTGAACTTGTTGGCTCAGAAGTTTAAGATCTTCCTCTTTAAAAAGAAAGAGAACTTCGAGCGTCAACACATGCGTCTAACAGAAAATGACGTTAAGAAAGTGTCTCTTCATCAATTTGCCTTTGATTGGATGGATGATTTTGTTGACTATTACATCGAGGACGACAACTCAACTTTGCCAAACCTTCATAAAGCAATCCGTCCTGAATTTACATCATCAGGTTTCTACCAGGGTGTTGCTGAAGTGGCAACGATAGAGGGCAGTAGCAAAGGCCTTGCTCTGCTGAAACAGCGATTAAAGGGGGGCCTATTCATGGTCCCTGAGGAGTTCCTTATGGACGGTGTTGTCGACTACGTCATCCACATAATTGTCCGTGCCAAGGGAGTATTAAAACTTAAACTTGGGCACATCTCAATTCCAGAGTTGGATCTGGATTAGGCGCATTGAACGTCTATTTGCAGCCTTGCTTCGCAATTAGATTTACAATTAATTGTCGAAATGCTTCGTATCAATTACTGAAAATTTTCTTTTACTGTATATGGTTGGGTTTTAATATCAATATATTACAATATCGTAGCGTATGTACAGACGTCCCCCCCTACCTCAGAAAAATTCGGGAATTCTCTTCTCCCGATTTTTTCTGAAGGAGGGGGGACGTCTGTACACAGGCTAAATATCGATGTCAAATAAAACAATTGATCATCCATGTTTGAGGTCTTTGAGCGCTGACAAAGGCATGGCACGCAACGTTGACGCGAGCAGCGTTGTCTGTACTCTTGTCAACAAGGGCAAATTGGCCAATTAGATTGCGACATTACTGCCAATTGTGGTAAAACATATTATACCTACTATAGAATATTTGAAGTATTTTACAAGGCAAATAATGCTTAAAAGGTAAAAACCTACAGTTTAAGCTTAAGCGAACTTTATAGAGTAGAATATTTATTTTTGCCCAAGTCCTAGCTGTGTGATTTTCCTTTGATGAGGAAATGCTTTACTGTTTATTTTTCCCCTTTCCACAAAGGTGAATACCTTTCCCTTTCACGGTATTTACGGAATCTCCCTACCAGTGTGTGTCGGTAATTAATTACCTCAGTTGTAAATATTCGTGTGAATTAAGAATTTTATTGACTTCACTTGACTTGACTTGTTGTTTGGCATATGTTTTTAAATATGGTCCACGGGTGTAGTCTGTAGAACCAGCGTAATTTGGGCGGGCGAGTGCTCAGTTTTCTCTTGGTGAAAATTGTAGCAGCCATCTTTTCTTTTTACTGCAGCGGAAGGCTGGGGAGAGAAAAGAAATTCGTACCGAGGGGGTGCGCTACAGTCAAAAGGAAGGAGAGGGGAGGGGTGGGGCAATGAATATTATTATTAGATAATCAATTAAATGTTTTACATGCCCGCCGTTATGCTGCCCCGATTCTTTGTTAGAAATTAATCACGGTCTATGATACAATTCGAGGATTCTATAAAGAGAAGTCAAAATTGATTGTGCCCTTTCGATGAGCACAGATTCGATGGCCCAGCAGTAATGGAAACATGTTGAGACCAGTTTCGCTAGGGATGGCCGAATTTTCACGGAAACATATATTTCTCATGCATTGAGTGCTCTGATTCCATATTTTCGTACATCTGTTAAGAAATAGATCACAGATGGTACCTAACCTGAGAACAAAAAAGTGGCACACTCGGCAAGTGTATCACTGATGTTCTTACCACATTTTGACGTCATCTGTGATCTTTTACTGAAGAGACACACGGAGACAAGGAATTTATCCATGGAAGTAAACGTTGCATATAATGACGTCATCTATAAGTCTTTAGTGTGACCCCAGTCGCTCAGAGCTTGCCACGTTATAACGTTGTGTTGTAAACGTGTCTCTACGAAAAAGGCTAGAGCACTGATCATGTCTGAAATTTTAGAAAATTTCGAGGCGAAAGCCAAGTTTCAAGACGAAAGCGAAGCCGAATTGATACGAGACAAACTGGAAACACTCATCAACAACATCTTGGCAGATGTAGGAAAGCGTGATCCAAGATTTCAGAACACATTGGTCAAAAGCGGAAGTGTCTACGAAGAAACGAAAGTTTGCCAGCCGAATGAATTCGACTTCATGGTAAAGATAACCCCTCTTACAGACAAACCATTAATCTTGCAGAGCTCCTGTGCGAAGAATGACGGCTACGTGCAGCTATTTCTTGAGAAAGATCACTGGAAAGACTTCAGAGATAGAAAAGGTTACTTCAGCCCTTACTTGCTTTCCCGACACTTCAAAAAACTCATCATGGAATCAATAGATAAAGTGGAAACTCCTGAAGGCTTGAGCATCTACAGAGCTCCCCAGGACGAGTCGGAGGGACGTTTGTGGCTCCTTTTTCGTGGAATACTATGTGACAGTGGCAAGGAAAACTCATCTGGTGTCACATACTCCGAAACGCATGGGCCATCGACGACGCTTGATATTCACTGGAAAGGGGGTACAACTTATAACAACTTGAAAGTGAATGTCGACTTGACACCGGCTCTGGACTTTCCCATATCCAAGCTTCCCGTTCAGCTCTTAACTGATCTACGCCTCGAAGTGCAGCAAAAGGTACAAGGGATTCTCCAGAAGACCGGATTCCATGTCGTTCCTGCTGGGTTTGACGAGTGGCGCATCTCGTTTTCTGTGGCCGAGAAAGAAATTCTGGCCACTTCTCCTGACGGTTTCAAAGCATGTTACAAAGTCCTGAAAGTCTTACGAGATGATGTGTCTATGAAGCTGGGATTGAGAGACTCCTTGGTACCATCGTACATGTTTAAGACTGTCCTTCTGTCCCAGTTGTTTACCAAAGATGACCATGCCTGGGCGAAGGAGTTTCGATCTCAAACGATCATCGATGTTTTAGAGCTTATTTTGCAAGGAATAAAGCAAGAAAACCTTCGAAATTTCTTCATGCCCTCATCTCTGCTACTATCCAAGGCACATGATAACGAATTGCGGAGATGTCTCTTAGAAGACATGCTGAACGAAGTGAAGGGTTCCAAATTGGCCCACTCACTGATGGACGTTGAAGAGAAAAAACAACAGGTGAAGATTTTGCAACTAATTGAGCTGCTGGAGTACATATTTTCTTGCCTTAAAGGCGGAAAGAATCCAACTGATGCTTGGAAAATGATGTTTGCCAATATTGGCAGCGTTCCTGGATACCGCACCTCTTCAGAAAAATTCGACGTCAGTTGGATCGATATTATTGACGTGACCGTCACAGAACTTCGCCCAGCCGCCTACAGGAATTTAAAGAAGATATCGTACATTTTGGAAGTCTTTGTGCCGCTTTTCCTTGCCACTCTTCAAGGTGAGGAAAAGCAATTAGCTCAAAAATACCATTTCTTTGTCTTAGAGAAAAAGAAGAAATTCGAAGCTGAGCAGCCACACCTGTCTAAAGAGGAAGTCCGACAGATAGGCATATGTGAATTTGTAAGCGACTGGATTTTTGTACACATCGTTGAAAAATACTTGGAGGAAGATAATACGACTTTGTCAAATACACACAAAATACTTCCTCCTGAATTCTGTCTGTCAGAAGACAGTCCTTTCCGTGCAATTGCAGACATAACCATGGAAAAAGGCAGCAAGGAAGGCCTGGCTCTCTTCGAGAAAGTTCTCAACAAGTACCTATCAGGGATTCAAGAAATCGTAATAATGATGGCCGCTGTTTATTTTATCAAGGACATGTTCTTACATGCAAAGGTAGCACTGAAACTCAAACTTGATCATATCACTATTCCAGAGCAAAAGCCTATCACCTGTCCAGAGCTAGATTTGGACTAAGCTGATGTTATTAAAATATCTCTTCCCTCGGCAAGGGGCAAGGTAGTGCTGAAGAAAAATCCGAGTGTTCTAATTGGTTCTTACTTGGTCCGTATTTTTCCATACGGGCCGTTTCCACGGAAACGGCCATAAGCCGTGCGCGGTTAGTCCGCCTACTACACTCTATATATTTAGGCAAATTTATAATCTTTTAATCGTAATTTTCTGATTACGGCCCAAATATTTCCAAACAATTTACAATGCTTTGTCTCACTACCTCGAGACTTAAAGTAGTTGTCTTTAGGCTATACGCAAGCATTTTTCCCTCCAGGCGTGAGGATGCAACAAACTTGCTGCAGTCGTAGATAAATTGTAATATGTTTTTGGAAAATGAGCACTTTTAATAGCCTTTTTTGAAGGTTTACTATTGTTCATCTGTTGTCACGACACGCTGCATCATGGACTAAGCTGACCACACGTTTGTTTGTTTGTGGTGATTAGACTTTTGATTTTGTTTTTGTTTTCTGCTTGATAAAGGGAGGAGGATCCAGCAAACCTGGAAAGAGTTTAAAGAGTGTGTCAAAAAAGAACATTTTTGTCCCCCCAGAATCAGTGCTCATTTGTTTAGGAAAGGGTTAAGGCTCTGAGGCAGAGGACAGTGCTGCGACTTGTCATAGATATCCTGGTTCACTGAGACCTTTGAAATTTCAATATTTACAAGTTTTGTATCTAAGGACTGCATATATGCCATATGAGGGGGCCGTTGGGATTTTCGGTTTTGGTGTCCGTTGCCGTTTCCGGGTTTTCAGTTTTTTAACATCCGTTTTTCGGTTTTTCGCAAAAATACAAGTTTTTTTTTTTACAAAGTTTGTCGGTTTCGGGTAATTTTTTGAGCGGTTTATCGGTTTTTCATAGACCCCAACACCCCCTCATCTATAATACGTGAAACAAAGATGACGTGACTTTCCGTGTCGTGATAGTCTCAAGAAGGACAACGATGGTATCACAAATTCCTCATGCATTGAGTGCTCAGAGACACACGACAATTAAAATTACCATGTTTTCCATGCGCGGCAGCAGGAGCCGATTACTAATCGGCTCCTGGCGACAGCTTCCAAGGTCACGATTTGGGATTGTTATGCCGTCAATTGCAAACCAAAATTTAACAAATAGATTCCATGTTTTCGTACATCTGTTCAGAAATAGATCACAGATGGTACATCTGTTTGCTTGCGTTTTGCCTGTCTACATGCCCATAAGCCAGCGGTCTTGTGTGTGTGAATTGAGGGTTTGGGGGGGGGTTGCTTTATACTGGAACAGCCTGCTTGCTTTATACTGGAACAGCCGGCGCCTTATGAGCCAAGCGAGGCGAACGCGCCATTTTGTGCGAAGCGCGAGACGAGGGGAGGGACCCCTCGCCTCGTCTCGAGCTTCGCAGTCGTTTCGCGCCTCGCCTAAAATACCACGTTCGCCTCGCTTGGCTCAGTAAATGCCTGTTATGCAGGCTATACTGGAATGTTTCAGTAAGCGAGTGGTGGTCGGTTTCGGCCAAGTCTTCATAATTTACATCTAATCAAAGATCAAAGTTCGAAGGGAACAGCAATGAAATCGCTCTGAACCAGCTTCTGCGAAGACCCGACGCATCCCGCAACTCAAGAGAAAAACTTCTGGTACTCGGGCTAACTACACCATATTCGGCTCTGAATCTCTTACTTCGATTCAAGAGGAAGAATTAAAAAACCGGCTGTGTTTATAACTCGTTAAACACTTTATAAACTTAATTAAACTTACCATTTTATCCGTAATTCTTATACTGCTGTTTGTATTTTAACAGTTGCACTAACGTGCGACGCTAACTGTTTAGTCCAGTAACAAATAACTAACCCTCTGTGTCTAAGTGCTCAAAGATGCGCTCGATGTCCTTGAGTCGATAACAAAATTGTGTTGTCAGGACTAAGGCCGTAAAAAGGGAAAGTCCAAGAGCAGCGGTAGGTCTAGGGGAAGTGGCCCGGGACCCCGAACCTTCTTTATGAAAAGTATTTTCGAGGCCGAGGTTTCCTCTTATTTTATGACCTACGTAACAAGCGTTTCTGCGCGAGTTCGTCGAGAGAGTTGAGCACGGCAAAAATTGACTGTACACTGAATACACCCATCCGGGTATTACCCTACTATCTGTCTCTAACATACCTACTCCTTAAACATGATTAGCACACCTCGCTCGCAATCGTCAATAACTGGCCAAGGCTTCATGAAAGGCGATATTCTCGAAGCTCCGCCTCTTTTTTCCCATCCCCTCCCTCCAGAGGATGGGAAGAAAAGATAATTTGGGTACGAGACTGAGAGCGTCGACGATTGTCATTAGTGAGCTTACGTAACAGGAGGGAAGAGGAAAGAGACGACGAACCTTGTGCGACAAGTGTAACAATAATTTTGTTTGAAAAACTCTTCCGCCGAACTTCACCCACCTTAAAACAGGTCTTTTTGTAAAAGACCAGAAAACATTAACTTAAGTGAAGATCATGACAAAACACGCAAGTAGTAGCCTTGTCACGTTTGTCACACACAAGCGTTTTGTCGTCTTCAATGTTGTCCTCTCCTTTCTGCGGTCCTGTTGAGTAAACTCACCATTTATAGGGACCTCACGTGACGACGACGGCGGCGGCGGCGGCGGCGGCCACGGCAACGAGAACGGCAAAAACGCAATTGGTTTAGATTAGCTAAAACTTGGCACGTGCAACACACTTTTTTGTACATATCCGGAAGACAGTTTTTTACCGTCGTGCTACAAGTTGCCTCAGAAAACAACCGACGTCACCTCCTTTATCTGGGGTGCTTACCATTTGACGGAAAATTTCGGAAATTCCGGACGGAAGGTAAATAGTAAGGTCACTTTTCGGAAATTCCAACCGAAAATTGAGGAGTACGTTTTGAGGTAGTCCTTTCATTCCGGTTGGTACGAACCAAACGGAATGTTGCTTACCATTAACCAATTTCTCAGTTCCTTCTCGGTTCCAGACTCACGCGACACAAATTCGCCCTTTTTTTGGATTCAAACCGTAACGGATGTGGCATTTCTACGGTAAACTGGCAAATTGCTTACCATTATGCTTTTGCTACCCCAACCGGATTTTTCTGTCAAATGGTAAGCACCCCTGGGGCGCGATCCATTCAACCAAAATTCCAACCGGTCCGACCGGGAGAAGTGGTCCACCTCAAAAGGTGGACCCGTTTTTCCGAAACTTTTCCGGTTGGACCGAACCGATCCATTGAGTTTTGGACCGAAATTTCCGGAAATTTAGGTTGAATGGATCGCGCCCCTGGTTTGTGCTTTTGTTTGGTAAAATTTTTTTCAACCAATCAAAGGCACTACCCAGATCTGGGTAGTGACACGTCATCAGTATGGAATCTCTGTGTTTGTTCTTCAGATGTCATTTCGCAGGAAAATCGGTGGTTGCGTCGCGAAATGTCTGGCTGTTTTCTCAGGCTAAACTAGAATGTTAAACTTCTTATTTTCACGTTTTATGGAGACCGTGCACATTGCACAAGACATTGTTTTTCTGCCCTTTAGAATTCAACCTCCAAAAAATATTGGCAACATTTGTCAAATTGAATTAGATGAAATAATGGTTGTCTTCACACTAGGCTGTTAAGTAACACTTAAGAGCTGCTAAGTTTTACTTAACCAAAAATTCGTGTGTGAAGGCCTATAAAGTAAAATCTCAAGAAACTTTGCTTTGCATCTCATTAAAGTCGGAAAGTTGAAACGATTCAAGGAAGTTTCAAGCGACTTGAAAACCATCCTTATGACCGACTTAGCTGACCTGCGGTTTTGCGGTTTCTTGAGCTTTGAGAAAGGCGAGACATGTCAATCAATCTTAATTTTGTTGCGTGGGAAAATAACCTGAAGTAAAAAAGAATCTGTTGTGTGTGAAGCTTTATTTTACTTGAAGTAATTAAAATTTACTTGTCTTGAAATATTTCTTAGCTTATTTAGGCTCTAGTGTAAAGACTAGCATTGAAAAAAGGGCAAATTCACTTTTAAGTAACGTCATTTGGCCCCGCGCGGTTGCTTTCGTACTCAGTAAGCTCCCTATTTTTAAACACTTTTTAAACTTTCGAAACCAAAGCAACTGACTAAGTTTTTAATGTTAATCCTGCAAGGAAGCCCTCTACTTAAGAATCGCGACGGAAACTGGAAGACCCACCCAAATCTTTCGTCTGAACTCTCACAAGTTTAGCTATCTCAAAATGATGGGCTTGCTAGAAGTTGTGTAAGTTCTTCTTTCATATATTATTATTCTAATATAATTGTGATATTTAAGTCTCCTTTGGGTCTTTACAGTTGAGACACGTAACGACCTGTCGGAACGTTGGAATTATATGCTTAATAAGAGTGATCAGAAGAACGCGGAAAGTTCTTCTTTCCACTCTGAAACCTCTGGGCTTTTTCCATGACCTTTCGATGCAACCGGCGAAGAGCCTCGTCTAAATCTTCCTTTGTGATGAGCGTTTGGATAACTTAGTCTGACGTGGGACAAAGATTCGAGTAGGCGTGCGTTTGCATTTCGAAGATTGTCGATTTCTTGCTTTTGAGCTTCCATTTTCTTTTCAAGCTTAATCAATTTGTCGTCTTTGTCAGGTTGCGATTGCAAAGATCCCACTTTCCTGCGAAGTGATTTGATAAGGTTGTTTTTCGTGGATACCTCGTTGTTTAACGACTCGATGGTCGCGTCCTTAGCTGTCATAAGTCTTGTGATCTCCTTTTTCTCTTTAAGAAAATCCGCCTCCAAAAGGGTGAGTTTCGATATAACTTCCTTCATCTCTTGGTCATAATCACACTGATATTGCTCTAGTTCCCGCTCCTTTTCTTGCAAAGCGTACGTCACATCCAACGCCCTCGTTCGCTCGAGCTGCAACTCTGTTTTCACTTGGTGAAGCTCTTCATGGAGCCTTCGAATTTCATCTTTTAAAATGCTTACACTGCCTTCGAGCTAAAAGTGGGCAAACTCAGTTAACATCTTGTAGTAAGAGAGAAGCAGATAGGTTACACCTACGATCTATTTATGGCTCTGAATAAGTAATTATCGTAACGCTTCATTTCATGGGGGTCTAGGTTCAAACCGCCTTGTTCACATTGCCCATAATGCGTAATACATCTTGTTCACCACCCCCCTCCCCAAATTGTGCAAAATAATTTCCTCATTTTTGGTGGCATATCGTCCCAAGAAAAGTGAAAGTGAAAACAATGCTTACGCATGGGGGGGGGGCGGTAGATAGGGGTTTTTATGGGGGAGAGAGAGTGGCGAATGCCATTGATTTCCTTTCTTTAAGTAGACAATACAAAGAGTAGAAACTTTCGTTGATGCCTCCTACAGCTGAGGTGTACAAAAAAGCAAAGAGTAGGACCAGTGTTAGCAGCCTGTGTACAGACGCCCCCTTTTTAGGGGGAGGGGGTCTCTAAACAGGCTAGACCACCGAGGGGTGACATTTAGATTAACTTTCATTCCCTGTAGGGGAGGGTGTAACACTCCTTGGTACTCTATGCTACTGAGACTGGCACAAAATCTGGTCAAATGGGCCTCCTATTGGGTGTTGTCTTCATCTGGGTTGGTGTCGAAAGTAATACAGTGGAACATAATTACTCGATATAACAAACCTCTATTTAACGAAGTTACGCTAGTTCTGGGTATAACGAACTATTTTTTAAACCCCTGTAATAGTAAAATCTATGTAAAAGAACCTCGAAATAACAAAACCTCGTTATAGCTAACATATTGCCAGTCCCTTGGCCCTTCGTCGTATCAAGGTTAAACTGTAACACGCTTCGTTTCTAGTCGGATGCATTCTAAATACATCATCTTCAATAACGATGTTCAATAATCAGGCTAAATTTTTCTAAGGGAGTTTTGACTTTTGTCCGGCGATGCTTTACAAAGTAAGGGGCCACCAACCGACTCCTTCATCATCACCATCATCATTAGTCTTGATTGTATTACTAAACGAATTTACAGACTACAGCATAGTGTTAGGAGAGGATACCTCAGTCAAGAAACCACCAGGCTGATAGGGGAGGCCACCTCAACATCACAATATGATAAGAAATAAGGGCTGCGAAGGAGTAAGGCAAGGCTAATTCAGTAACTATTTTAAGAAAAATTCTAGCACTTTGTTCTGAAAGAAAGGAAAGCTTGACAAGACTGTTATAGATACAGGAAGGCAATTCCAGATTTTTGGTCCTAATGGTAAAGAATTGTGAATTTCTTGATGTTAGTACGATAGGAATAGTTTTTTCCTTTCCTCGGCTACTTAAAAATATTTTCGTTGAACTATCCAGAAAAGAACTTTTTCGCCGAATCAGCAACACAAGCACCCACAGATGGCCAAACTAAAACGAGAGTTCATGGATTGTCACGAAATATTACGTGACAGGCGTTTTACTGATAATGATTTACTTTCACCGAAACATCAGTTAAAGAACAAAGCTGCAATTCATGGATAATCTGATAATAAGTGATCAGTTTCAGAACAAAGAATACAGATTTCCAATAATTACAGTGACGAACATTTGGCGGGGGCACCCAACGAGAGTATAGTTCAAAACTACATAAACATAGCATTGTTGAGCGTACTTTAGTATTTAAACGGTAGATAAAGGCTTATTTTTATCCCCTAAAAATTTTTCATCTGTTCGGATTTCCTAGCTGAAATTATGGTGATCAGAAAATGATAGGGATCAAAAATTACCTTTTCGAAAATTTCAGCCAGAAAAAAGGCTCCCGAAAATTCTAGGTGACCTTTTTAGGGTAAAAATCTGTTAAAAATGGGCAATTATACGATTTTTTTGAAGTTCGAAAATCCTAGGAGAGGCAGGCAAGCAAGAAATTTGTCAGAAAATGATCCGAAAATTCTAGACCTCAAATCGTCTTCCGAACAGATAATTTTCCGAAAATTGTCGTTGGGTGCCCCTGATTTGGTCGGAAATATTTTTGCTCAGTGTAAAAGTGCAGGCTGCAGACCACGTCTACTCGGCGTATGTATTAAAGCCATGAAGCAATATAGGAAAACGGAACATATTACAGGACATACACGAAAGAGAGATAAATTAAAACTTTTTTGTATTGAACCTAGAATTTTAATTAGTGATGGTATATTTAAAAAAAAACAGCAACAAAAGGGTTATCCTAACAGATTACATTTAAGAAATGTGCACAGTAGTTGTGTCTACTTTTAAAATTAAAAGTAGTTGCGATTAAAATATGCTTAACTATTAAATATCGGTATGATACTAAGATCATGTTACACTGACACGTTCTAAAATATTTTCAGGAAGACAGACCACTCTTTCCCGTTAGAAATAAAGCGAATCACGGTAAAAGTTATAACATACGCATTTTCCGACAAGCTGTCAAACACACTTACAGTATGTGTCGATTGTTTGCTCGCCAAATCAAATATGTAAACGCTACATTTAAGAATGAAATCTCGCAATCTCTTCGCTATATTTGAGTGTGTCTCTGACGTAATGTTTGAAACGTGTCGTTCAATGCCACGACACTAGATAAATAAGCATGAAGCTTAACCGAGTATAAAAGCATTTTTCGACGTACTAAAATAATAAATGTCCGACAACTTAGTTGTCTGCGTCGTCTTTAGTTTACAAACGCGCGAATTGGTCGAGGGTTAACAATGTTAGCCACCTCAACGCAATATTATGATAATGTTGTCGTCTCGGGATAATTTCTCTCAAGATGTCATCTACTTACCTGTTGTCTGGACAGTTTGGGGCTTTTCGAGGACATTTTAAGGTCTATACTATGACTAGACAGACTCCAAAACACATGAGGAGAGACCTCGTACTTCACAACTTTACCGCACGGCTTGCAAACAGTGTTGAAACATGTGACCCAACCACTTGAGGTTTCTGCGAAGAAATGCGAGCAATGTGAAATCCGTTTGATATCAATTAAATGCAGTTAACTATTAACAAATATAACATACCTCAGATATTATGAGCACTTCAGTACAGTCAACTCAAGATATCCTCTCTCGGCATAGAGTACGTCAATAGTTGCTCCAGCTGAGATGAATCAATTATTTGAAGAACGTGGAAAAAAAAAACTCTACAATTCGACCGTGTGGGGCTTTTTAGAGACTGTACTTTGTATAGCTTTGCATGGAGCGTGAAAACCATATGATCTTTATAGCACCTTATGAAATCTTTTGTCTTGTTAGATTTGATCACGTCTAGAGTATTTCAAACAACTAGCCAGACTAGCAAACAACTTCACACTTCACAGGTTATTACCTAATTTACAGAGAGATGAATACATTTGTTTAATTAATATTTGCATTATGAGGTTCTTTTCGTCACAAAAGAGTGCGGGATGCAGAAAGAATTTGTTTTTCACCGAGTTTAAACAAATTAAAATGAGAGCCTGTCTCATAAGATCCCTATGGCACTGTCTTTAAGCCCTTTGTCACGTAAACTGAAGTTAAGTTCCTTGTCACATTTAATAAAAAATAATAGACTAGGAAATTGCAACAAGCCCAACTGATTTGTTTCTCAGTAAAAGTTTTTAGTCAAAGGCTGCGGTGCCCTTTCTCTCAGTACTACAGTCAGCAGACAGTTTATTAGTAATTAACCTGAGATCAGGCTCTATTTTCGTTTCGCTTTGAAAATTATATTCCGGCGGGCATGGCGAAACGAAAAGAGATTTTTAGAGCAGGCCGTTAGAGAGAATGTATGAGAACCGCTAAAATTGGGCCTGATCTCAGGTTAATTAGTAATGAATGTCTTGTGCTTTACTTAATACAATGAAAAATCCCGCCATTCTGCAAGAACAGTGAATTTTGTTTCGCTTTTCAAATTTAGTTATTACTACCATCGTACAGCAACACCGGTATTTTTTAAGTCGCCGAAACCATTCTCACTAACATGGTTAGCGCGCGTGTTGCCTACTGGTACAATTAGGAGTTTGCTCCGTCCAAAATTACGCGCGCTTTATTTCAATTTTTCCCGCTTTTATAGACCAAATTGACCAAAACATTTTACTTTATTTCTCCCCGTTGTATCTCGGTATCGTTTCACATGCAGTCTCTCTTCAGATTTAAGCACTTAAAAAAAATCACAGAATCCACGAATCCACGACAATGGATGCTCAATCACGCTGAGGCAATTGATACAACGAACACTCCCAGGTCGATCAGCTGCGTTACGTCACACTTACTCCACCATTTTGTGAAAACCTATCGAAGCGTTATGAGATCACGCACCACTATTCAAGTGCACAAGTGCTCTTTTTTCCTTTTTTTTTTTTAATTCCACTTTACATATTTCTGTTGCACTAATATCTTTCATTTGACCACAGGCATACCACCCTCTGTTTGGGGGCCGTTGTTGATTGAAATTTATAGAAGAAATACATATGAACAGTACAGTGGCTATAATTTGTTCCAAAATGCAGAATTTACAGCAAATATTTCAATAAAAGTTTGAAGAAAATGTTGACTGAGTCATGTGTCATGTTTTTTTCGCCGTCCCGTGCTGTAAGCGCTATTTTGCGAGATGAATATTTGACCTCGGCGGTTACCAACCCGCGGCTGTGGCGTACCTACCTCATGAGGAACGCAAGTAAGCATGTGCACACAAGGAAGTGAACAGAAGAAGGTCCCAGTGTCTCCCGCATTAAGGTGGCTGGATGGGGTTTTTCTGGGACAATAGCGGCCAAGTTTGAGCATTAGCTACGTCGCCATTAACAAAGATTTGGCAAAAATTACCACCACGGCTGTACTAGATAAAGATGAAAATTTGTTATGATCAGCGTTGCAATGGCATTGGAGTCGTCATGGCAGCGAAATGACGGCATTACCTAGTTTACTTGCAGGCGTATATCTCGGCACCGGGAACTTTTTTTTCAAAATCGTTCACAAGAGCTTCATACTCCAATAGCTGCTTCGACGTTCGCAGAGTTTGAGCGAAATCTATGAGAGTGTTTTAGAGGTAATTTGGGATGAGGCCAGGATGAATGCTTTACCTTGTGTGGAGGAGGGCCAGCAAAAGGCTTAAATAGGTAATTTGGGGAACCTTTATGTAACGGGGATTGTTGATTTTTTTTTTGAAGGCCCTGTAAAGTAGGAGAAAGTGAGAGAAGTTAAGGGATGGGTTGTGACTGTTTTTTTTGCTCGAAGAGTTAATTGTGGTAAGTTCTGTGACAAATATTTTTCAGACACTTCCACGAATTACTGTACTGCACAGCAAAGAGAAAAAGTAAACTGCCATACAGGGCATTTTAATGAGAAATTTCTGTGAATGTTTAAACACCCGGCCATTTAAAGAAAACAACGGCGCTCACTTTTTCTACTCGCAATAACCCAACCTTAATAAAAAAAAAAATAATAATAATAAGATGCATCAAGATTATAAAAACGCTGAAATAATTTACAATTAATGAATGAGGCTGAGTATCTTAAGAAGAATTATGGAGATCGAGGAGGGTGTTATCCGTTGAGGCCTTAGGCCGAGGCGGATAACACCCTCCGAGATCTCCATAGTTCTTCACATGCTACGAAAGCCGAATTCAATAATTGTTTTATCATTCATTCAAAATAATTCCTACTTTAAAAACATAGCTAAAACATGCTTACCTTCATCGATGTTAAGCTCATCTTCCAAAATATTCTCCAAATAGCAAATGTCGCCTTTCGAGTTGTCTTCTTGCTGTTCTTGCCATGTTTTTAGCTATTATTTCGCCTAGTTCTTACTCTTGAAACCAGTGAAATGAACGCCATTTTTGTTTTCGCAACCAAATCAACTCAACCTCGTCCCCAGGTCTTCTCGGTTAACAGTACATTAACCTGCAAGGAAGCTGCACTTTTGAGTCATCGGTTGATTAATCGCAAAATTCTTCCAAATTTGGTCATCAGTAGCTGGTTATGGTGAATTATGCCTGTGCTTTTAGCCAATCAGAATCGCGAAAATATTTTGAATGAATAATAAGAGGTAATATAAGGTCACAAAATTATTTATTCAAAGAAAAGTAAAACAGTAATAAACTGCCCTTGCTTTTTACATGTCTCGTGAGCTCTTAAATCAATTCAATTCTTTAAGGAAATTTTTCTGTTTGTGTCCTAAGTTCTATTTTACTTTGATTTCTTTTTCTTTTTTCATAAAACAAGTCATGTAGTCAGGTAGTAGAAACAAAAACAAACATACTATAAGTGAGATAAAGTAACTTTGACGGCGCAGGTTTAATTGATGTCATTCGTTAACAAGACAACTACGACATGTTTCTTGCAAATAAGAACCACGTGAGGCAGCCGACTTTTGATCAATGTAAATAATCTCACAGAATTTTAAGACAAACAAACTGCAATTAAAAATGTAAAGCCGCTTTCAGAAGCTTTCAAATCTTCAAAGAGCTGAGATAAAGACTTTGTGTTTTGAAGCTGTTACTTTAATTTTATGTTTAAATAAAGAATCTAAAAAACCACTTTAGAAATCGTCGACAATTTTTTACTATTTTTTTAGCAATTCGACAAGCTACCATTCCAAGTAGTTTTAGTTTTCCCTCTCGTTATTCAATACTTTTGATATTATTCATTGCTCCATAGTCTGGCCTTTTTCAGTATTGTAAATATATAATGTTTTTAATTTTATTGCCGGTTTGTTAATTGGGCTGGTGTTAATTCATGCATTGGTTTAACACAAGCAATATTTCTCTGCCTGAAGCTTGTATTAACGGTAACATTTTATTAAAAGGTTATAGTTTTTAAGCCAACAAACAAACAAACCCAAATTACTGGTTGTTTAAAAGGACTCGGAATTTTATTGCTTAGCTTTTAAACCCATTATGGTTTTGCTAAGTTTTGACTGGTTTCAGTAATCCAGACCACGTCACCAAAAAGAACGCCAGTATGCTTCATTTATACTTGTTTCAGTACACCCGGCTTATATATTTTCACAAGTTTGTTTCCTCGTTCGTTACTGAAAGTACCATTGAGTTATTTTCGGCTCTAGATCGAACTGTGACCGTCGAAACGACGGATTGTCTTTCTCGGACAGTCTTGGTATTCTGGCATCGGAAGCAACCATACAAGGCAGCTTTCATTTCTACACGAAAATTTTCGTTCACCACACAGTAAACAAGCGGGTCCGCCGCTGCATTGACGGCAACTGATATGTTGACCAACGTGAAAAAAACGTAAAAATAACTTTGACGGTTAAATAGTGTCCAATATGATGCGACCAGCGAGAACAGCTGGAGAGGCAGCATTGTGGCTGCGAACACAATGACCAGCGGCTTGAGAATCCGCTGGGTTTTTCTGGTTTGGATCAGAATGGCCCTGGTATTCGAACAACTTGCTTCGCGAGAAAAGCTTGGCGTCCCAGCTAGGAGGGCCTCAGATCTTTTAGCCACTCTTTTGCTTATGCTTTGGTAGCTTAAAGCTATAAGGCCTAGAGGAAGGACGTACAGTATTATGGCTTTGACTGTCACAAAAATGCGATTAAAAGTAAGCGAAGCTGTGCTTCGGCATCTACTGTGAGAGCTGTTATTAGAATGGTACTCCATGTCGATAAACGCAGGGATAGTTGTAACGCCGAACGATATAATCCATATCGCGGTTATGATGAAGCAGGCCCGTTTCTTCAATGATTTCCTTTGTCCAAGACGTATCTTTTTGGTCTTCCTAGAAGTGTTTAAGTAACGCTCAGCAGCAATCGCTGTTATAGTCCAAATGGAAGCACTGAAGAACGTCTCTTTGAAGGTATTAACGTACAAACATATTACTTTGCCGAGGATCCAGCGACTTCGAAGTTGAATTCGCAAGATCACTATAGGATGATTGAACAACAAAATTCCAAGATCCGCGCATGCCAGACTCAGTAGATACGGACTCAAAGCAGATAGTTTGCTTGTTCTTCTCACAACAGTCACACAGACCAGGATATTTCCGACCACACCTAATACACCAAGGGCGGCCTGGATGCTAAGCAGGAAGATGTTCACCCCCAATGGTATTTGCAAATATTGCGAGCCCTCGGTAGTGATGTTTGCTTCACTCGTGTTTCCAAGCGATGTATTACTTAGCATTTTAGCAATATGACCTGAAATTAAAATGGCCATGCATGACCGTGTTAAAGTGAACCGGTTAATGGTACGGTCCTTAATGTAACTAATAACCGCCTTAAAATACAATAGAGCTATTTACCGATGTGACGCGCAAAATTGCAATCTTTAAAACTTTTCATTGAACCAAAAATACGTCTTTATAGATCAATTCATCATACGAATAAGTGAACTTTGAAATTCAGGGAAAATGGAGAGCCCAAAGTGGCCAAATTTTTTATACTAAGGAGTATCTACCCTTAACGTTTAATGTTAAATATAAGGACGATTTTTGCCAAACTTTGTAGGTTTGCCCTGAGAAATGTTAGCCGAAATATTGGCATATAATATATTAGCCCTTTGCCGAAGTGCCAGCCGTGTATTCAGTTTTGTTTAAAATTCATAGTATATCAGCTTGGGATGTTTGCAATATAGTATTTTCATAATAAAAACTGTTGGGCTGATCTTCAGTGGCCAAAAGAGAAAGTGCTTACCTCACGATGTTTCTCGGCAGAGATATGAACGATTTTCATCGTTCCGCCTTTTCTTGTAAAATTGCAGTATTAAAACAATGCCAGCACCTGCATGGACAACCGCTGAGTTTGCGGTTTGGGATGCTTGCAATATAGTATTTTCATAATAGAAACTGTTGGGCTGATCTTCAGTGGCCGAAACAGAGAGGGCTTACCTCACGATGTTTCTCGGCAAAGATATGAACGATTTTCAGTGCTCCGTCTTTTCTTGTTAGCTTACAGTATTAAAAATAATGCCTGCAGCTGCGTGGACAACTGCTGAGTGACCGCTGAATTTGCGTGTTTAAAGGTTGTGTTAATGAATTATTTACAGTACAGGCGACTGAACAATTTGAATGCTGTTAAATTCCAAGCACTTTGCAAAATATTAAGGCTTTAAAAACTTTTATAAACATTTGCTTTCCTTAGAAAAATAAAAGTACAAATTAGAATCCACAACGACAAAATAATGTTTTTCATGCTATTTCTGTTGAGAGCAAGAATTACCTTTAATGTCGTGGGTCAGTCACGTGACGTTTCGTTCGAAAAAAACTTAATGATTATCTAGCTAAAAGAAAAAATATGCATATAATTTATTTCATCAAGAATCTTCATTGTGATCATAATTAACAGAGGGCAAAAAAACAACTATTCATAGTTTCTCTCGAAAATTTCAGCATGAACACAACAAAAAAAAGCACAAAAAATTTGTAAACTTAGCAATACAATGTACTATTTACGAATTGTAATAAGAATACCGAATATCGCTTATAAAATATGATGTTGCAACGTACAGATATTATTTCACGGGGGCGCCACCTTGGATACTAGATGGTAGATAGGCAACAAAGTGGGGGGAACGTCAAATGAGCTTTAATCATCTCATATCCATCAAAAAGACAAATGAATTCGGCGCTTCTCACATGTCAGACGCCTATCAAATTGCCACATTTGAGTAAAACCAAATGTATTGTTTCCAAGTAACGCTTCTCGACAACTGGCTAACTGCGTGCCAAGAAAAAAATCCACCGATGATGCATGTGGTTGAGCTGTTAACTAAAAAGATTTAATTTTAAGGCGGGTTACATGAAAACCGTACAACCTTGTTTCCAGGGTCGAGAGGGGAACCCTCGGAACGAGATCGGTGAACCGTAGAGGCAAATGATTCCGGGGGGTACTCCTAGGAATTCTTAGTTGGGATGTACCGCCTGGTTTCCCAAATCCTGACTCCATTTCAGGTCAAAAAATCATTTTCTACATCCGTTTTTAGACTTGGCAGCTAAGATCCATACTCGTTTTCAGGCGTGGAGGAGGTCACAAAACGCGGAATACATGTTAACATAGAGAGGAATTATGTCATCATTACTTAGATTAGAACGCCGACTAAAAGGTTTCTTAGGGCGCTTTCCAAGGTCGGCCGGACCAGACGTTTTGACAATGAAATAGACTTTTTCCAAGAGGTTTTGTTGAAAAATTATCTCCTTTGCGCATAACATTTAGGATTTGACTGATCTGGATGGTTAGTTTTGATTAAAAGTGAAAATGTCGTTACGATGGGAATGGGCTGGCCGGTCAGTTCTGACAAATGAAAAGCGCCCTTAAAATCGATTTCGAATTCACATGTTACTCTCTCTTTCTTTTTTATTTGGAATTAAATCGAGGGATACTTTTATACACTCCCGTATAGCCCCCTCATAAACCATATCCGATTCCAGATTAAAATGGGCAAAGTCTGTACCCATTTTCAGACGGAAACGACGCAAAAACCACGGATACCCTCTGTGGCTTAAACAATATATAAGAGAGTTGCCCCCGGAAACGAATGCGGTAAAACGAGAAAAATTTGCATGAGCTAAACCGAACTGAAGAAACATTGGCTCCTTTTGCTAACAGATAATTCTGCTCGGTTGATAGGCGTTGTCAATGATAAAAGTCAATTATATGAAAAAATGTAAAGGTAGTTACTTTAGCTATATCATACATCTTTGCTCAAAGCATTTTTTTTGGTAGTCCTTGAATATTTTTGTTAGGTATACATACCAGATCACCATCACGCTTTTTTTTAAAATAGGGGGCATAAGCTGATCTTTAAGTCTATCATAAAGGACAAAATGGCGAAGAAAAAATCGTTTCGAGGCCAAACAAATTGAGGCAGATTTAACGCCCTCCTCGATCATATCTATAATTCACGATAACACAGTTCAATAATTGCTCGTAACATCCACTACCTCTATTCGTTGGATTCACTTCAAAAGATCTGCTAATATCTCGGCATTTCTCGAGATAGGCAGGAACTGTGACTGGCCACAGCAATGCCTGAACCTGGCTTTTGAGCTTCAGGGAAGAATCTTTTATCGCTGTTCTATTTTGCATAAAAAAGCCACTGGCATTAAAAGGGCTATGTTTTTAACTTCGTTTGTCAGCTAGTCTGAGGGGTATTTTACATTAAGTTCATTAAGTAGCGCACGTTTTAGTCGAAATAAACCAACTTTATCTCAAACTGCACTTATTGTAATTCCTTGTTCTCGCCGCAATATTTAAGACACCTGCATCTTTATTTGCCAAAATTGCGCCGCTCACAACCATTAAGTATCTTGGGTTTGAGAAACAGGGCATTTGCAAAATTCAAAAGAAATTTCATCTTTCATTCTCCCTCACCAAGTTCGTCTGAATAAAAAATATTTTCTTTCTTCTTGCTCTGAGCAACATTAAGGTGGCTCCGTCATTGATACACTGGAACATTTAGCTGTGACAAATTTTCCGTCATGACTTATTCGTTTTTAATGCGATGGATGCGAAACTTTGCAAAGAACAACATATCATTCGACAATAGTAGGAAATATTCTGATATTTATTGATGGTATACTAAATACTTCTTGAGAAATTAGCGCTTAAGGTGACTCGACCCAGTTTTTTTGGGGGGGTACCATCCTGCTTTGAAGCTCTCTGGTATCCCCACCTTTACTTTTATCGTAAGTCTAACACATAGAATGGATAACATATAGATCAATCTACAATATAACATAAAATTTTTGGCGATCGGAGTAAATGTCACGTGGTTATAATGCCACGCCCCTTTGAGGTCTGAGTCGAAAATCTGCTGTTGCCGGCATTTTTTCGTGGAAATCTCTCGGCTACACATAGTGCGCATTAGTGCCTTGCGCTGAACAGAGTTTCACCAAAATCGCAAAGACCCAATTCGAGAAATTCAGCGGTTTCCAAATTTAGGTCATAATTTATGCGAAAATGATAAGCAAACTTTACACGGATTATATCTAATAAACTATGAGATTCATCTCTGTATTTTGGGCATCGTTATAACAGATGGGTCCTTGCAAGTCAGCAAAACGCTTTAGGGCCTTGTAAATGCGCGCGATTTCGAGCAAAGCAAACATATAGAAATTATAGTTTTCGCTATTTGTTGACGTTTGTCAGCGTTTAAGAGTCCTTCTCACGAAAAAAGCATTTTCTTAAAAATTCGTAGTTTTTTTTCCTTCAAATTATTTCAGGGCCACAATTGATTAACTAACTACCCGGACTCTGAATCTCATGGTCATTGAAAAACTGTGACATTATCTTCTATAAGCTCAAACTTGAGTAAACATTGAAGATTTATAGCGTTTTGGCTGAGTTTGTGCTTTGGTAGGCTCGATTTCTGCCGTCTCCCGGGTCCGGTCTTTGATCCTCCCCGAAGAGAGACTCTTTCGGGGGACGAGTGCGGGCTCATTTTCCCGAACAGCGGCTGGTAATCGAGCCTAGTGCTTTGGGAGTTGTCTATTGTTTCTAGTCTGTCATTATACAACATTCTTGTTCAGCACGCGTGCAATGACCACGCTTGGCTGACTTCCGAATGTTCACAGAGATATTCCCGTCACGAGTTGGTTTAATTATTGGCTTGCATTAAACCTATGAAAAAATGATATTTTTTAATAGTAAGTAGATTTAGTGTCTAGCACTTCTTGATTTTTTTGCAAAGGCACAAGAAGCACGAGAATTGATTAAAAATTGTGAGTTAAACCTCTATGTATCACGCGATGGCCTGTCTCACTGTACCAAAATTATGAGCATTCGGAAGTCAGCCAAGCGCGGTCATTGCACGCGTGCTGAACAAGAATGCTGTATCATGACAGACTAGAAACAATAGACAACTCCCAAAGCACAAACTCAGCCAAAACGCTATAAATCTTCAATGTTTACTCAAGTTTGGGCTTATAGAAGATAATGTCACAGTTTTTCAATGACCATGAGATTCAGAGTCCGGGTAGTTAGTTAATCAATTGTGGCCCTGAAATAATTTGAAGGAAAAAAAACTACGAATTTTTAAGAAAATGCTTTTTTCGTGAGAAGGACTCTTAAACGCTGACAAACGTCAACAAATAGCGAAAACTATAATTTCTATATGTTTGCTTTGCTCGAAATCGCGCGCATTTACAAGGCCCTAAAGCGTTTTGCTGACTTGCAAGGACCCATCTGTTATAACGATGCCCAAAATACAGAGATGAATCTCATAGTTTATTAGATATAATCCGTGTAAAGTTTGCTTATCATTTTCGCATAAATTATGACCTAAATTTGGAAACCGCTGAATTTCTCGAATTGGGTCTTTGCGATTTTGGTGAAACTCTGTTCAGTGCTAGGCACTAATGCGCACTATTTGTAGCCGAGAGATTTCCACGAAAAAATGCCGGCAACAGCAGATTTTCGACTCAGACCTCAAAGGGGCGTGGCATTATAACCACGTGACATTTACTTCGATCGCCAAAAGTTTTATGTTATATTGTAGATTGATCTATATGTTATCCATTCTATGTGTTAGACTTACGATAAAAATAAAGGTGGGGATACCAGAGAGCTTCAAAGCAGGATGGTACCCCCCCCCCCCCCCAAAAAAAAAAAAAAAAAAAAAAAAAAACTGGGTCGAGTCACCTTAAAAGGACCCTAAAAAGAAAATCGCGTCTAGTAAAAAATTTGCTGATATTTTTTACTGAAATGTCCGGTATCGGCTTTTCTTGATATAATAAATATGCCGCCCGGAGAAAATTCAGAAATATTATCAGGTAGAAGGAGCCACCAGATCGAATTTTCGGGACAAGTAAATTCAATGTTTGCTAATTCTTAAAACAAAAGCCGATTGCCTATCATGCTATTCTTTAAATATAGTTCGTAATTACAAAGTGTAAGAACAAATTCTAAAGAAAAACACAAAGAAAAAATAGCACATACTTGCTATGCCCCCAAACGAAGGAAACTCATTTTCATTCTCCCTCACCAAGTTCGTCCGAATGAAAAATATTTTCCCTCTACTTAGAACGACACAAGAAAAACAGAGACAAACGACAACTAAAGAAAATGCGGGTTGGGTAGCCTGTTTCAGGTAGAACAAGCTCTGGAAATAACAAAGAAAGGGCTAACGCACATATTACCTCGAAAAAGCTGCCGATCATTACTATTGCGAGTAGCAGTAGCAGAAGAGCTTGCGCCCTGATCCAAACGGGCCTTCTTGATGGTAGAAGCCATCTGGCGTTTCTTTCTACACGTGTTGTCCTGCGCTTTTTAAATTCTCTTTTCATAGTCCTCGGAACTGTCTGCCAATTCTTCCTGCTCGTACTCCTGGACCACCAACCGACCCGCGTCGCTCTTGTCCCCTAACTTGATAAGTTTTTGTCGCTTTCGAATCAAATCCAGAGACGTTTTTAAGCACTTCTAGGCCCGCGAAAAATCACCTTTCTTGATAATATCGAAAGCAAATGAACTATAATCTTCGATTTCTGCATTAAACAAAAATTGCTTCTCGTTGCCTTTGAATTTAAGCTTCTTGGCCTCAATTTGAATCTTGAATCTCTTAGACTCCGAATCGGGACTGTCATCTTGAGGAGATAAATTACACTTGAAAGCGCCAAGCTTATTGTCAGTATGACTTAAATTTGTCGAAAATTTGATCTATAGGGTCCACGGAAGGGACTAACTCGCTCGAGGTTTCTTCTCGATGCTCGAGGGTAACTTGTTCGGCCGAAGAACTTTCGTCAGACATGATAAAAGGCTAAGTTCATGGCGAATAAAGTTTAGCGTCTCGTAAGTGCGAGTACACCCGAAACCTGGAATGAATATCCCAGTACACACGCCCCCCTTATACGCAGTGTAAACGAACGAACAAAAGTTCGTAATTAGAAAGTGTACGTAAGAACAAATTCCAGAGAAAAACAAAAAGCCAAAATAGCACATACTTGCTATGCCCTCAAATGAAGGAAAATTCATTCGAAATGCGGCATTGATTGCTCAGAGGCTAAAACGCCCAAAAATGTTTGGGATGACAGGAAATCATCGCGTTCCGTCGGGGACCAGGAATTAGTTTAAAAGAATACATCACGTTAGATCACTATGGAAGTAGAGGCTCCTTTTGTTTTCTTACGTCATTCTACTTTTTGAGCTGGCTTGGAAGTTTAAATTTGTTTAAAGCGCGGACCAAACATAATCCAGCAACGTTAAAACACATTTGCATTTCCCCCTTTTCGCTGATGCTTCAACCAGACTCATTCCCAGGGTCTCTCTTCTTCCCCTGCCCTGAAAACTGAGAGAAGACTCTGGAAACGAGGTTGAAGAGCCCACAGGTATTCCAAAAGAAAATGTGATTAAAAAGTAGTGAGCGCGCTGGGACATTGGGAAGAGTGAAAAGGCGGAGGCCTGTCTGATGGTCTTTCCCCCTTCTATTGGTTCCCAACCCCGCTATCAAAGTGTTCTCATCCAAAGACTATTTGTCCCCTATTTTCCCGTAAGATCGTTGGGATTGAGCGTATACTGACTATCTTGGTTTCAAATACAGCGAGGAGGCGGGTCCAGGGGTTTTCAGTGTTGAAATCAAGATGGACGTCGTAAAGATGGGTACGCGATCCCGACAACCTTGCGGAAAAATAGGGACCTGTAACAGTCTATTTCATCAAACCAGGGTGAAGGAAACTAGAAAGACATGTTGGAAATAGAGATTCACATTCTTTCCTTGTCCAACGCTAAGCATTTAATCTTCCCTTGCCATCACTTTTCACTCGAAAATGTCTTGAAAGGAGCTTTCCCCTTTCTTATGATATTGATCCGTCATTCTCTATCTTATATAGACTACGGTTCAGCTGAGACATTCTTTTTCCTTCCGACAACTTTTTATCTTCATAGTTAAAAAAGTTATTTATGGCAAACAAAGATTAAATTAGTTTGAATTCTAAAATTTATTGTAGTAACTAGAACGATGTACATTCGTCTTACTTTGACAAAATCGCACACATTAAAGCTTGCGAAGTAAAATTCTGATATCAGGAAGAACTTGCTTGTGGTGTCACTTTTTCTTCGAGAGATCAAATTGATAAATTGTACCTACAGTAACCAATTCAATTTGGAGGGCCTAAAAGGGGTCTAATGTTAAGTGTCATAAGGCCTTAAATTTAGGACCCGTTTACATGGAGGTGAAGGATCCCAGGTAGGTCAGGTAACCCGCTTAAGTGGGAAAAAACAAGCCATGTTTATACGCAATCTTACAACCCCGCCCCGCCGCACCCCGGGGTGCACCATCTCAAGATTATTGAATGCTCGCTAAGCACGTACACAAAAACATGGCGGGTAAACGAAGTGTTTTGGCGGTTATTCCTTCCTACTCTAACCTGCTGCTCTTGCTGCAACCTTTCAGTGTTTTGGCTTGCTATTGTCGCTTTTAATGAAGCAAAGGTTCCGCTAAAGGCAGTTAGTTGCACAGTCAACGAATTTGATCTAACACGAATCCGACCCCGGCTTGGCGGGTTACCCCACCTTGAAACGTTTACACGGCACAATTTGACCCCGGTTGAGGACAACCCACCTATCATGTAAGAGTGATCAAATTAAAATGAGAGATTATGTGGACAGGCGGGTTACCCCACCTACCTGAGCGGGTTATTTCACCTAGCTGGGGTCCCCCACCTCCAAGTAAACAGGCTCTTGATATTAACTGTTATAGGTGAAGTTACAGTTGACTCTTACAACTCATTCTAGATACTAAATACAACAACTAAAATATAAAGTTTACGTACAGAAGTGATCTGACAGATGAAATTGCCATTACCATGCGAAAAAGAGCATTTTAACGATCTCCATCGGCGTTATAGGACGTGCTTTGAAGATGTAAGAGGTTTTCATTTCAACTTTATTTATTCACTTATTTTAACTGACACAGTGAAAGTCTTAGTGTTAGCTAACAAATTTTAGTGCTATGTTTAGGGCTGATATCCTGACCTCCGCTCTCTCCATCTAAACTCTTCGTTAAAGTTCCTCTTTAATGCCTAAAGCACAGTTACACAAGAGGGAATTTGATATTTGTTTGCTCGAGTACTCGACACGGCGACTCTGTTTTATCGGCGCCAGTTATAGAGAGACAAGCAACGAAAACGGCGACAGCAACGAAGAACTTCAAAGAAGGAATAGGTTCTATGATCAAAACAAAAATTTTCCACGTGCAGAACAATTTTCAGTACATTTCTTTGCCGCCCATACACGGCCATGACGCTAAATTTTTCTCAGTCGAAGTCTTATGGAGGATGTAAACGTACCAGGACAAATTTTTCTTTCTCATGGGTGCTGTTCTCCGCGAATTCAAGTCCACTTTTGGCATTTTGAGCAAGTTGGAATAAACGCGACAAAGTTTGGAAAAAAGCAAATTCATTTTCATAGTTGCGCTCTCGAAGCCGGAACCGTTTTCGTTGCAAAAGCTCCCTAATGTCTCTGAACAGGGGAGCCATACACGACAACCAAGTCGCGAGAAGAGGAGGCTTGGGAACCACTGTCAACTCTGAAGATGCGAGAAAGAACTGTTCACATATTCACCATTTTCATATACATCATAAGGCAACTTTCTTTTGCCTAACAATGGCAATGGTTATGCAAAACTTGAGAGGTGGGGGGGGTTGAGTTGAACAAGGTGCATTATTGTCTATGTGAAAATGGTGAATGGCAATTTTGTTTTTCATTTGTCACTTAGCAACTGTCGCATTAGTTTTTGTCTCTCAAACAAAGACTTAACTATCAAAGCTAACTATGGTTCCCAAGCTCTCTCTACGCCATCGCGATTACGTTTCCCCGTTTGGTAGTCATGCATATCTCTGCTGTTCAAAGACATTTCTGGTGAGTATGAAAACGAATTTTAAGCATAATTTTCATACTTTTGCGACAATAATCAAAAAAGGTCTCAAAAAAATCTGTTCGTGTGACGAGAATTTACTGTCTACAAACGACACAAAACGCGCGAGAAATCTGTCATATGAAATAAAAAAAATTCCCCTTTACAATTTAGGAAATCCCCTAACCGCATATGGGACTAAAAGGAGAAAAGAGAAAATAAACTAACAGGTCGACTCGGGACCAGTGCAAGAGTCTGCTATTTGCTAAAACGAATCTCATGTCTTCGCAAAATTGAAAGTCCATCTGGTTGGCTATGAAGAGCACGAACCGTCATATTATTTTGTTTTTCAATTTCCACAGTCGTTTTTATGGAGACGTGCAACACTAGGACTCCCCGTAAACAACACAGTGAGGGGACTAAGTACGCTGGCACATTTCCCGAGCCTGTATTTCTTATGTACAGCTAGTTGTCCAGGGCTCTCATCGCAGTACATTATGTATCAACTTCATGGAGTGTCCCTGTCGAAATAGTCTCTTGTTTGTGGGAACCTATCAGGACGGTAATCAGAGTCCTTTTCGAGCCTTGTCTTTACTTCTTTCTTAACCTCTTTTCGGTATGCTCCATGGAGTTTGCGATTTTCCTTGGCGGCTTTGGTAAGATCTGAGGGAAGGAGGCGAAAATGGCGTCATCTATAGCCAGAGCGCTCTCAAAGAGTGGGGAGGGAGGGGGGACGCTCTTTTCACACCCCCACTCCACCCACCCCCACGAGGCGGGAGAAGGGTTGGGAGTGATGAAGTGCTGAGGGGTGAGTGTTTACATAAGGTAGTTTCCTTGACCAAAAAGCCTTGCAAGCATCCAGACCCAAGGGGTATAAATTAGTGGCTACGAAACCTACATGGAACGGTAAGCTTTAGAAAAGCGGAAACCGACGAAGCAAAGGTCGTGAGGTCGCCTGGACTCGCGTGTGACTCTGTCTTAAAAGAATCCTGGACACTTCACAGTGAGTTATCTACAAAACTTAAGATGGTCTTCTGGATCATCCCAACCTTCAAGATAAAGTGAAACCTGTCTTTACCTTAACAACGGTTCGAGTTTGCAAACATTCAAATCACTCCCTTACCTTCCATACTCGTCAAAGGTGTAGCCCCAGTAGCTGAGGCGGCTTGCTTCAATGCATCGCCAATGCTGTCCTCGCTTGGAGTGACTCCTCGCTGATCAACCATCTAAACCAAAGACAATAACAATAATATATAGATTTAGCCAGGGCTAAAAGCGAAGCTCTGTAATACGTGTAACCAAAAAAAATTAAATCGTGTAATGCTAAACGGGGATGCGGACGGACGGCCGCCCGCTAGCTCGGTGTACGGTCCCGTGATTACCAAATTTTCTCGGACGGGTAATTTACCACATTTCTTTAGCTATGGGGCTCCGCCCACGCGCGCCGCGCGTGGAGCTCCGCTAAAAATTCTTAAACCTCTTCGTTAACCCTCATCCAACCAAACTCGTTATCTAGCGAACTAAACCACAAATATAAAAAAAACAAAGCGGGGTGAAAGAGTTCTGAAGCACTATAAACATACGGGCTTATTTCTACCTTGAAACAAAACGGTCTAGGATTTACAAAAATGATAATAAGGAGCTTATTTGAATCACATTGTATTTAGCATGAAAGTAATAGTTCAGGATACTATTTTGAAATCTCCTACTGGAGACGGGACCGCAATATAACGTGGTCATCCGAGCCACGCGAAGGTCCGACCGTTTGCAGGGTTAAGGTGGTACCTTCCTTTCTCAGGTATTTTAGGACCCTTAGTATTGGTCCGGACTCGAGAATCCAGCCCACGACCTCCCGCTCAGCAGTGAAGCGCTCTCGCGACTAGCTAGTCCTGCCGCGGTAGGGTTTCCCCTAGTCTACACGTAAATTCAATATTTGATCAGTAAACATGTGTCACTTTTTCAGTTGATCACAAAGGGAAAAAAACTGGAGTGATCTGCGAAAAGAAGGGATTGAACAAGACGCGTGTTAACTAAACAGTGTTTCACAAAGCGAACCTCTGTGGGCATGGTCACATACCTTACGCCTCTTAGGTGGTAGACCGTTGATGTAAGCATCACTGAAAGGTGCCTGAGCAGGCATTCTTCTCTGTCGCACAATGTCTGTGGTGATCACGGGTATCCACTCCTATAATAAAAGGTGAATTGTTGAGGAGAACGACTTGTTAACTTTTAACAACACGACACAAATCAACTTGGTTGATGAATTATCAAACAGGACAACTAACTCCTGCTTAGCTAACACATATTCATTGAATTTTGATAAGGAGCTCTACTTCTACCCTGCTTGACCGGAGAAGGGCAGGATACGCGCGAGGTGAGCCAAAAAAAGTAGCAGCGGAGGGGTGGGAAAAGAACTTCAATTTTTTGCTACTTTTCCCCTTGTAACCTCCCGCGTCTCCTGTGCTTCTCCCGATTGACTCAAAGGAAATCGAAACGGGGGTCCTTCCCCCAATTTTTTGCTCCTTTACACTCCTTGCCCTCGGGCGTCTCCTGCACTTCCCCTGCTTGGCTAAATGAAACGGAAAACACTGCTACGCGGACAACTCTACTGATTAGGGAGCTCAAGGAACAACGACGGCGACGACTACGAAAACGTCACTTAAAAAGTGAATTCGCGCTGCCTCAAACTTTATCGCGCTTATTCCATCTCGTTTAATTCGTCAAATGTTGGCAAATGTTTGGGGGGTTGAATTCTAAAGGACTGTATCAAAGTTCAAGAAAAGAAAAAAGCAAGTTGTTGTCTTGTTTTCAGGTCCTCGACAAAACGTGAAATTAGGCACTTTCACGTCGTAGTTGTGCAACGACGGCTACGAAATGTACAAAAAAGTGTGATGCACGCGCAAAGTTGTTGTTTTGCTAATCTAAGGGCCAGTTTACATGGAGGTGGAGGAACCCAGATAGGTGAGGTAACATGCGGGCGGGTCACCCCACCCATCATGTTAACGTGATCACAATAAAATGAGAGATTATATGGACAGGCGGGTTACCCCAACAAAGCAGGTAACTTCACCTACCCGGGGTCCCCCACCTGCATGTAAACATGTTGCGTTCCAAACACGTTGCGGCGCATTATTTTTCTCGCGTTCGGGTTTTGATTTCTTGCATTCCCCTTGACGATAATGTCATACATCCACATACCTGAGGCATGATAGTTTTCCATTCGTCGTCCCCGTGGTCTTCTTCCATTGTTTCCTCCCCCTCCGGACATTCTGGTTCTATCCGATCCGACTCTGTCGCTGCTACGATCGATCCAGGGGGAGTACTAAAATGCTCGGATTCATCAGAGCCGTGACTGTCCATTTCCTCGTCTACATTCTGATATAGAGAAACAGAAGAGGAAAAAGAGGCTTTGAAAAAGAGTTTTCTGGGCAACTGCCTACCTACCCCTTCCCTAAGCCAAGGTTTTGCCCTAAGTGAGAACTAAGTGATAATGCTGGCTTAGAGGAGGGGTGGGTGGGCAGTTTCCCAAAAACCTAAATTGATCCCTGCTATTTACATTAAAGGTGGGACATTATGCATGCTTTTCTTAGTTGTTTTTCGATCCAAATAGTTTCATAAAATTCGACGTAACTAACGACGATGAGAGACTTTTAAGTCTTTTAAGGGGCAGAATTACCGAAACAGAACTACTAGAAGACTGATACTTGAACAAGAAGACTGATTAAATGAGTCATAGACAAAGGATTATTAAGGGGAAAGTGGACTATAATTTGAAAACATGGTAACGACAATTTCACGTTTGAGTGGCTAAGACACCGCTAAAAAACCATTGATTATAGTTTCTTTCCACCTCGAAGACTGAATATAAGTACTCTGCGAACAGTGGTTTCTCTCTAACATGGCTTTTAACGCTTACAAAGTCGTTCGCGTGGCTTGCCTGTCGCTTGTAAACGCTAAAAACCATGCAAGAGAGACCCTGCTCGCAGGGTAAAAAATAGGGCCATTTATACGACGAAAAATAAGACGCGTCTTACATAAGATGCGTCTCAAATAAGACGCGAACTGTACTATTTATACGAGCATGTCTTATCTAAGACGAGAACAGCCCGTATAAATGGTTAGAAATGGTTCGAAAAAGAGTTTTTGGGCTACCTGGTTATGGCCTGTTTCTGCATCACGATTTCAGGGAGCGTGTTTTCACAATTCAGGCGAATTTTAATTACGTAGAAAGTGAAGAAGTAATAATGGTAATGATAATGCCCCTTAAAGTGAAAGGTTCATATCGTTATCCTCTTAACACAAATCCTTTCTTACCCCATCCACTTCAGCTTTGACGTCAGCGGCAACGGTTTCTTCCTCAGGGTCTGACTTCGGTGGGGGCTGGGGTTTAGAAGGGGCGGGGGGTGTGGGTTCAGGAGGCGGTGCACGGATCATAAACCGCTGAAGCCTGGGTTCACAGTAAGCTCTACTGTAATACATCTGCCTGATGTTCCTTAGCAACAACTGAGTCAGCATCTCTCGGGAGTGATCATCCATTTCTGCTGTCAGGGGTGACTGAGGCTGTCAAAAGTAATAAACATATTAATGCTTGACTTTAGGATGGGCGGGCATATAGACCTTTTTCGCTCACTCAATGTTGTACCCAATTCAAATCTCCCGGGGTTAAGATTCTTTGTGTATTGCATTTGCATTATAATGTGGAAACTCCTGAAACAAAACGTTTTATTCCAAAGGGTTTGAATTGGGTAGAATATTGGGTACAATATTGAGTCTATTAAAACGGGCAGGTCAGCCCGTGACAATGATGATGATGATGATGATGTTGACGCTGATGATGATCATGGTGATGATGTTGATGATGATGATGATATTGGTGATGACAACAATCAGGAGCCCATACTCCGGAGCGGGCAACTATCATGTACTTGTGACACGGCGTTTTCACCAGCCAGTTATTTTTTCAATCCCGCAAACTAGCCATCAAAACCTACAGACCTAAAAATGACAGACGGAGCGGAGCTTCCACTTTCCTGGGATAACGTACTCTAACATGTATCGAAAGATACACCGGTCCGTGAAAACGCCGTGACATAGGTCTAGTATGGGAGTTGCTCTCTCGGGGTTATGGGCTCCTTTAACGGTACATTATTATGAATTAAAACTTGATTCCAGGGGAGGTGTCTGCACAGGGAGGTATTCACTTACCACTCTATTTCTCACGACTTGCTCCACTCCATCAAAGCCATCTCTGTATGAGAACACTAACAGTGTGAAGAACTCAGCAGCTGTGGTCTTTATGTGATCATGAAAGTATTCAGCAAATCTTGGATTGTCGTCTGTTGAGTACAACAAGGTGCAAGGAAGTGAACAACAATACAAAAAAACTGTACAAACAGTAGTACAGTGGAAGACGTTTACCCCGCTTTTTAGGTGATAAGCATTATCATCATTGATTTTTTGGCTTTCGCCTTGGTTTCCTTTAACACGGTATGTCTAAATAAGCGGGAGCCGGTCAGGGTGTCTTCAAATCACTAAATGGAGACCTTTAGAGTCCAGGTCCCAGTTGTTCAAAAGGTGGATAACGCTATCCATCGGATAACTAACTATCAACTGGATAGCGCAATGGGTTTCCCTAATACTTATCCGTGGGATAGTGATTAATCCGTTGGATAGCGCTATCAAACCTTTGAACAACTGGGGCCAGGACGAGAACGAATTCGAGGACGCGATTTGGCTTAAGACGGAATCCATCAGAAAACGGAGTAATTTCAATTTTCATTGGAAAAACACTTTGTACCAGAATAATTTAAACACTATTGTTTTTTTTACATTTTTCAAGGGCTATAGATATAATTAGTTATCTGTAATAACACCAAAGACTATTTCTCAAGAGAGCCCGAGGAAACAAATGTCAAATTTCACCAGAATTGTGAAAACATAAGTAAAATTCTTAAAATTGCATGTGTAAGATGTCTTTTTGTGAAATATGACATTTATTTTCTTGGGCTCTCATGAGAAATTTTCTTTGGTGTTATTACAAATAACTAATTCCATCTGTAGCCCTTGAAAGTGTGAAAAAAGAATGCGATTTTCTTTAAATTATTTTGGTACAAGGGTTTTGTCCACTGAAAATTATAATTAATCAATTTTCTGACGGATTCCGTATTAAAGTTTTTTTTTCTCGTATTCTGAAATATAACTCGGCATTATACTTGGTACATTTGAAGTTCGTCGTCTTGGACAGGCCTTGACATCCAAAACAAAAGGTTTCTGTGAAGACTTTCACTTCCCTTTTACTTAACCCAATTCTATTGTTTTTCTCCCCTTTTTAGAGGCAATTTTTTGTCTCTAAGACTCTTTTTATCAAAGTCAATGAACAAAATACGTTATTTAAAATTACAATAACCATGATAAAGCCTGTTTCCTTTTCAACAATACTGTTTCGTATATCAGCAGGCTAACGGCCACTTTCGTTTTTCAAGCATTCGAAAGACGAAAGAAACATACTAATACTAATAATAATAATAATAATAATAATAATAATAATAATAATAATAATAATAATAATAATAATAATAATAATATCATTCAATTATATTTGTATTTCCTTGACTCTCTTTGTTCATTATTGTATTTCAATCGGTAAACCACGTATAGAAATGGTAATACTGAATAAACTTGTTGTTTTATTTCAGAACTTCTTTCTCAACCAAATGTTTGCGGCTCATCAACTTAACCGCGACACACACAGGTGAAAATAACGGCAGACTGCATATCAAGTACATTTTTGGACGTACCTGACGATAATACCAAATCCACAGCAGATCTGATGTAATTCTCGAGAAAACTCTGAGCTGAAGCAGTGATGTCGATGTTGTCTTTGGTTGGAACAGTCCTCTGCAAGTTCAAGTGACATTGTCTGTCAAGATACTTGTAATTACACTTAAAACGCATCTTAAGCAGTTAATCATCTTCACTTTTGCACATTCGTGCTCCCATTTAGCCTTTCTGTAATTCTCGTGTTTCTCTAGAGTTTGAAGCAGTCATTTTGATATTAATGATGGGAACCGATCTATTCCCTTCAACCTATTGCTCCCAACAGTGACCTTAGGACCAAAATTTGACAAAATGTCCAAATATCTTAAAGTCAAATAGCACCATGCAGTGCCGGATCCATACCTTGAGATTAGGGGGGAGGGGGTGGGGCGGTCATCTAGACCCTTAGATAAGCGGGGGGGAAGGTCTCCAAAAAAATTTTTGCAGCCCTTTGAGCCTCAGTTTGGTCTAAAAATAAGGGGCGGGGGGCGCCCCTCCCCTGACCGCCACTACCATGTGAAAGTACTCGCAAAGAGGACTCATTCGAATGGTCACACCATGGGATTTTGTCCACTGATTCAAAAGTCAAAACTGCAAACTAAATGAAAAGCATCATCAGCGTTAGTCTCCCACGCTGCCGTTTTTGTCTCGTCACGCAACGCTCCTTGGGGCGGAGCGTTGCCTGACGAGACAAAAACGGCTGCCAGGGAGACTACACCAGTGTGAAAGTACTACTGAAGAGGATTTCATTCAAATGGTCACAATGCAGGAGTTCGTCCACAGACTTAGGAGACTCCATCGTTCACTCTGGCAGTGAAAGGAGTAACATCTGTAAACCTGAAGAAGGCTGGTATGGCCAGCCGAAATATTGTCATGAAAAAGCAATACACGTTGTTATGATCAGCTTTGAAGTGGAGTGAAAGGGGTAACCTACCAACGATTCAGCTATGCCATCGACGATCTCTTTCGACAATTCCTCCACTCCTTTCTGCGAAAAAAAGGAAATCAGAACTAACTAAATCAATTGGACAACAGTACATTAACGATGTCTATGCTGTACCTGAATTCCATTTTCAGAGTCAACTAGAGCTCTACCCTTTTTAATGGGGTTTTAACCCTGGTACAATACTTTGGCTGACCTCTGGTTTAACCTGGGAACGGATTTTTCCTTTCAGGGTTCCTATTCAGGGTTCTTGATAAAGGACTAATAAGCTTTTCCCAAGAGTTTTTGCTGAAAAACGTTCTCCTTCGTGCATGCCATTTCTGGCTGGATAGTTTTGATTAAAAGTGAAATTCTCATTAGGACGGGAATGGTCTGGCCGGTCAGTTCTGACAACTGTAAAGCGTCTTAAGATAATTACCAATCATTGACCGAGGCGTAGTATGATGTGAAGAATTCTGCAAATCGAGGAGGATGTTATGAAATGAGACCGAATACAGAGGTGGATAACAGCCTCCGAGATCTGCATAATTCTTCACATCATAAGAAAGATGAATTTAATAAATGCTTTATTATTCATTCAAAATATTGCAAAGTTCTAAACATGCTTACCTCCAGTTTAAGAAGAATAAGCCGGGGGTTTGAGCCCATTAGAAATGGCAAAATATTTTGAACCAATGATAATAATATCCCCAAAAAGTCATTATTCATTGGCTGAATATCGTACCTTAATGTTTTCATTAGTGTCTGGTTGTCCACGCAGCAGATCTTCTTTAACGTACAACATCAGTCCTGGCAGCATCTGTTCAAACGGATCCTCTGAACCTAACAATGAAAACAGGAGCAGCGATGTAAAGACTTTCTTACAATCGAATCTCCATGTGCGACCACCTACACACAACTCCAAAAATTTCCTAAAATCTTTTCCCGCCAAAATAAAGCCGACTAAATGCCCAGCAAGAGAAACAAAAATGAGGCGAGAAAAGCCAAAAAAGAGAGGAGGACAGAAAGCGAAAAGTCAAAAAATGAAGTCAAGATTCTGCGCAAGCCCGAACTTCGCAAGCTAACAGTTTGCATCTGGATCAGAAGGTCGCGAAGTGTACGACCTGTAAATGGCTTGATGGTACGTTTTAGCTCTTTATAGCACGACAGTGACCAGAAAACCGCTCGACTAACTTAAAAAGGCGTTTTTCGGCAAAATTTCCAGGACCGAATGGGTTAAAGTCCTCGTATTCACGATACTCGCCATCTTTGCAAACGCTTTAGGATTGATCGGATAAAAGCAATGTCACGTGGTTTCTCAGGGGGGCAAACAAGTGATAAAATTTGCAAGTGCAGGGAATCGCGGATCTCTGTTTCTGATTGGTCGTGGCGCGAGTGAAATTTACTTCAACCATTCAGAAGCACTACCTACAATCCTGGTCAAAACGTTTGGGACACTTTGCGTTTTAGGTGACGAAAATGTAATTCAAGTTGACCCCCCTCCCCCCCTCAACAGTGTTGGGTGTTACAAGTCAAACACCTTTTACATATCTTGTACACTTTATGGACCTCAACTTTGTTTAGGAGGGTGGGGGAAAAATCTTGTTAAGGCCGTGTTTATGAGTGTGTATCGCAAGTTAGCTGCAAATTCCATACAAAACCAAGTGAAAAAGGGGAGGTGTCCCAAACCTTTTGGCCAGGATTGTAGATCTGGGTAGTGCCGTAGCCTGCAGAACAGGCATTATTTTTTCGCGATTCTCAAAACTAGAGAAGGCAAGGGCGAAGCGAGCGAGGGCGCAAGACACGCTACCCCTTACCCTGTCGCGCGGGTCTCGCGCGCTCGCCCGCTTCGCCACGCTTGCCTTCCCTCACTTGAAAACGTGAAAAAAGACCGCCTTTTTTCACGCCAGAAGTGACAGGTAACCAGTGTCGACTTTCTGCGTTCTTTCCTCCCGTGATGGCGCGGCGAAATGTCGGCTGTTTTCTCGAGCGAACATCATATAATCAACTTACCCATTACTACACCCATCATGTCTTCAAGTGTCAACACAGCCGTCAGACGCTGAAAGAGGGCTGACACCAGTCCTTCAAATATAGATAAAATTAATTAATTAGTACAAGAAAACAAATATATAATTATAAGATGAAGGCTTCGTTTACAGATAGCTTTTCGTTTGGACACGAATAAAAATGGAACGTCCCAAGATTTCCCCCGTTAGTTTGCGTAAATGGTAATTGCCGTAAAGATTCGATTTAGCGCCCGGGGCGCTTATGTATTTTACTTTTGGTGCCTCAAGGGAGGGAGCCTATTCGACAAAGGGTGCTTATTTCTTTTTTGAGAAACAACCGGATGCTCAAAGCAAAACTTTAATATTTATTAAAAAAGGGACAATAACAGAAACTGTAACAGTAACAAATATACAGTGAATGTTCAGTTAACGTGAGAAACTCAGACGAAGACCACTGTTTTTGTAATGTGGTATTACCGTTCGTTTGTGAGCAAATAAAGGAAGATGAACCTCGGTTGATACGTTCCCGTACTCTAATATAGGGGCGCTTAGCAGATTGGGGGCGCTTATTAACTAAAACACCTTCGAAGGGGAGCGCTTATTGGAAGGAGGGCGCTAAATCGAATCATTACGTAGCACCCATGGCATACATCCCGAACATCAAGGTTAGATATAGTTCATTATACTCCAAATCATCATAAATAAGACAAAACAACGACGAACATACCCTCTTCGTCACGAATTTCTATTCCTCTTGATCGCATGGTTTGGATCAGCGACTGTATTGTTTGTGTTTGGGCTGAAAGGACAACAAACAAACCAACCAACCCATAAGTAACATGTTTTGTATTTTGAAAATTGTCTTAACCATCTGGGCCCAGTTGTTCGAAGGCCGATTAGCGCTTAACGCGGGGTTAAATTTAACCCGGGTTTCTTTTTCTTGTGTTCAAAAGCATTTTCTCGGACAATTTTCCGTGCTATTTTTAGAGCTTCCCGTCATCAACTTGTAGACAAAAAGAATTAAAACTGAAATGCTTTGTAAGCTTTCAAATCTGAATTCAAATCTCGCACTAACCCGAGGTTATCTTAACCCAGCTTTGAACAACTCGGCCCTGGACACAAGACCTAACAAGAGACAATTTCTTTACAAATAATGGTTTACTGCCTTGATTTATTTCCAGGAGTCCAACTATTTTTCCTTATCTTAAGTCAGAAAAAAAAAAAGATAATGGGCAAGCTTTTATTCCAGATCAAATCAACTCCCAAAGACCCAAACACAATCAACATTCATCAACTAATCTGCAAAATGTCCACATCAAGTAGTCTCCAGAATTTACATAGTTAGCACAAAAAATGTTCTGTTAGATGTGTCCTTTTTACCACGTTATCTTCTCTGTAATTTATGACAACCTCCTTAATACAAGGCGCTCCTGATTCAGAAAGTTATTATGGAGTGTCGGTTTTAGCCCTGTTACTTCCAGAGATTAATTAGGAAGTCACGTCTGGAACCCTAAAATCTCAAGTCTGTGAATGAGACCTTGTGACGTAACCATTCAAATGAAACTCTTTCAGAAGTATTTTCCAATGATCCCGCTTGCTTTTCAGTGACAAATGAATTCAATACAAGATAAAATACAATATTGTGAATATTTTTTCTTTGATTTCACGTCCAAAAGTGCCTGAAGCAAACGACAGAAAGAAATTGCATTCATGCTGTAAAATACAGAGATACAAATAGCACCATGTGAAAGTGCTGCTGAAGAGGTTGCATATGAATGGCCATATCACAGGATTTTGTCTACAGACTCCATAGTTGCAACTTCAGTTGAACTTCCATCAACAGCCACCTATTGAGCAACCAGTAATGGGAGTCTGAATAAAATAAACACTGGTTGGCATTATTTTGAAATAATTTTGATAGTCATAATTAATCAACAAAAGCAGCTCACTAACTTCCTTCACTGTGATCTGACATCACATGGTCCAAGAAGTCCATCATGGCTCTCCTTGCATCTGAACCTCTTGACTGTTAAAAGAATTGGAGTAAAATTTTAAAATACTAAAAAAGGATGTACATGCTGTGATCTATCAGTGAGAAAAATGTCATGATTTTACCAAAAGGAATGTGGTTGGTTTCATATGTATGCCAATTCAACTGGCAGTCGAAAACAAATGGATGTGACAAATTTGGATGACAATGCAATAGAAATTCCATCAAACCACCAACATTATTGTGAAAGCTATTCAAACATACATGTAACCACCATACATGTATCTCCTCCATAAAGTTTTCATAAGGAAATTTCACCTCACAGCCTTGCGGGGACAGACTGCTAAAGAACATACCAAAAAGCTTGATGCATGTACAGAGCTGTTCTGATGCTCTGTATACCTACAGCGTTCAGTCAAAGCCCTCCTTGGGACCACTCTCATAAGTGACCAGATCAGGTTACAATCACCTTTGTTAAACCCTGTTTGAACTGTGACTTGAACTTTGTAATGAAAAGCTCTTGTAAGTGACCACTCCCTAAGCAGTCGCAACCTTTAATGTTAATTGTTTGTTGATAGAGATCTTGGGGTTATTTTGGTCTAAAAAACTGGACATAAAGTTTAGCTGTGTTTATATCAGATATAAAGACACTCACTAATTAATTTCTTTTGGTTTTTCTTTACGAATTATTAATGAGTTTCTGAAGCTCTTGTAAGGGATCACCCTTCATTGTTTTACTATGTGCTTGCTTATGAGAGCTCATTCCCGCAAGTGACCAGTTCTAGTTACGACCACTTTTTCAAATTCCCGCAGCTGCTTACAAGAGCCTCGGCTGTATTCTTTTCTTGGTTGTTATTGCAATCTTCATCATAATTACTTGAGCTCCCTGTTATCATTAATTTTTTTTTAAATAACGAAAAGTGTAAGTACAAGTACCCTTGGGCCTTGGCTTGGCATTCTTGGTGAAAATAAACCAGCAGGAAATGATGGCATTCCTCTTGCACCAGTGCGTTGATCATGAGCCATCATCCCCAGTATTCCTTGCAGATCAGCAGGAGATATTGTGCGATCACGAACTGGAAAGACACATGAGCCATTAAGTAGTTTGACACTTCATATCACAAGATACCTTTAATTTGCCCTCAGTCATTTAGATCAAACTACAATGGTAATGGCATCTTGATTACAGTTATCTTAAAGCAACCAGAAAAGAGTGGCCACCCTGTAGTAACAGCTAATTCAAAAGTAGTAATGGAGCAGTTACTTGGGAATTCTGTGGAAACTTGTTTTGCTACTACCACTATGGTTACAGTGGAAATAAAACAAGCCTGGAAAAATGTGTTTATTATGGGGTGTTTATCAAGGTATTACCTCCACAAAATTACAATAATGTGAGTGAAAGATACCATTCATCAATAATGGTGTTTGGGAGAGAAAGGGGCTATTATATTACCACTCCACTGGACTGTAAAAGTATAAATCAGTGTAGTACCTCTACTTCTTCGTTCTGGCCGTGGTCTTGATGGTTCAGTTGTTGGCTGTGGTTGTGGTGGGTTGACAGGAGCAGTAGTTTGTGTTGGAGCTTGTTCTGCAGCTTGAGATTGGGTGGTAGTAGCAGTAGCTGCAGCTGTGGTGGTTGCAGATGGCTGGGTGGTGGCAGCTGGCTGGCTTGCTTGCTCAGTCTGGGATCGCTGTGCCTGGGGTCCAAAATGAAATGACTGGCAAGGTAAGGATGGGTCAGGGTGATTGGAATTCGCTGCACCCATTCCAGACATAACATTCATGGACAGTGCACCTGGTAATCCCTGGGGTCTTGGTTGGGCTTGTCCTGTTGGTGCAGGTGGCACCCCAGGTCTTGACACTGGAGTAGATGGCTGGGGTTGTGACTGACCTGAGGGGGAAGCTGTGCCTAACACACCCTGTCCTTGCACCTGGGGCTGGTTCTGAGTCCCAGCCTGAGTTGTCAGGGGGACCTGTCCCTGTGCTGCTGCAGCAGCAGCAACAGATGCTGGAACATTTGAAATTAATGCAATGAAATCATCAACAATGATACGAGTCCGTACACTAGGCTGTCCAGTCTGTGTGGACTGAGTAGAACTACTGCCATTTGTGTTTGTACCCACAGAAGATCGCTGCTCGCCAAATGAACTTGAGAAAGTCTCTCTAGCTGCCCCATTATCTGCACTTGCACTCATCCGTGACCCACTAGTGGATGTTGTTGAAGAGGATGGCTGTGTACTAGCAGGAGCAGTAGAGCCCACACGTGAAACATTTGATATGATGGTGGTCAAAGAGATTCCACCTTGGGGATTGACATGAATTTGCAAGTTCTGGTTGGTTCCCTGTGGTAGGGATCCTGCAGCTGGGGTAGCCTGTGATGCTGTAACAGGAGGATTCTAAAGAAAAGACACAAAAACTGCACTGTGATGATCAGAAGGTAACTCCTCACTACCAGCAACCTGCCAAACATTTGTGCAGAAAATATCACTTCCAGAAAAGTGGGTACAGGGAAGTGTTTGCCTTACCTGTAGGTAAGTGTTAACTGTTGTTGCTAAAACAGAAAATCCAGAGGGGTGTAGTAGACACCTACTGGGGTGGGATCCATACCCCTATAATTTTTTTTTGGTACTTCATAAGCCAGAAAGAGAACTATGTGATAACAAAATGATTTTGTTCACGTTTAGTTTGTCAAATCTGTCTGAAACTCAAGTAATGGTTCTACTTGTCACAGACACCACTTTTGGCCAGTTTCTGTGTAAATATCAAGGAAATCATCCTTGGAACAGACGTCACTTGCTAAAATGGTTAGGTCTTTCCTAACTTTATTTTTAACTTTTTGGTTAGTACAAGGACTGGACTGAAAAAGAGCTACGGAAAATCCTACTTTGCTACTGTAGTAGGAAAAATCTTCCTAGCAAAAATATGCCAGTAAACTAACTAATAATTATTACTCTTGAGCCAGAAGTACAGAAGGAATTAATAAAATAAATAATTTCCAACTTGTAATCTTACTGTTGCTGATTGGGTGGGAACCAACTGAGGTGCCCCCACAAAACTAGACAGCATAGGTACTTGTGGAATGTGTGGAGACAGCGATGTAAGGACACTTGGTCTCCTCGGTTCTGGACCTCGGAAATTGAATGTGAGATCTGACAGGGCATGATAAGCATGGCTCAGACTGTGCAAAGCTTCAGCTACTCGGTCGGGCAATGTTTCCTCTGAAGGTTCCAAGTTCTGAAGAAACAAAAATGGATGTAAGTAAAAAGAATAATTCTTCCTGTACAAAGTTGTGAGGACACATCATGCAGCAAGAATAACAAAATGAGCATGTAGGCACTAAGAGGTACTCTTAGGTAAAAACGTTTTCAGTGGAATACAGTACTGGATCAAATAAAGGATACTGAAATTTACGGCGTAGCATTTTTATTGAACCTGGTGAGAACACTACCAACTGCTTGGCATACGACTGCTAATCAAAAAATGCCAAATTGGTAATTTTCACTGAAATTTCAGATGCCAAAATTACTTTAGTTGCCATGACGACCAAACAGCTGCAGCCTGGAGTGCTGCATAGAGGTGTTGATAAAGAAATGTTGTCTGTACACCTACCTCTGGTGTGTTTGCTTCTAGAAGAGACACATATCGATTCATGGCTGTTTGTATAGATGTCATCGACTCCCCTGCTTCTTTTAAGATCTCTGCCAATGCTGCTGGGCTGAAAAGCAGAAGCAAGTAAATACAAACTGTTAAAAATCTTTGACTTTACTCCAGAAAATGCTGAGAGAACATGCAAGAAATAAAAAAGTCGAACATCACTGAATATCACATAGCCTAGGAAAGTAGACGACATTCTGCAATGCCACCTAGGTTTTCCCACAAAATGACGTCTGAGAAATGAGCACAGAAATTCCATACTGATAACGCGTCACTACCCAGATCTGGGTAGTGCTTCTGATTGGTTGAAGCAAATTTCACAAGTGGCACGACCAATCAGAAACACTACCCAGATCTGGCTAGTGACACGTCATCAGTATAGGAATTTCTGTGCTTGTTTCTAAGACAACATTTTGCGGGGAAACCGATGGTGGCGTTGCGAAATATCGTCTGTTTTCTCAGGCTAAAGATCACATTGCCAACCATACCTGGAAAGGGCTGGTGTTCTTCCAGCTTCAGCAGAAGTACCCTGAGCTTGGGAAGTGTTTGGAGCATCAGAAGATTCTGAAGTGTCCATTGGAAGGACACCTTCACCCTAAAGTTACAGTGTAACATTTACATGAATACATCATTCTCACTACCAAAAAAGGTAGACTGCAAATTCATAGTTATGTGCAACACTAAACTTTCGTGCCAGACATTAACTAGTAGTTAAGTCACTTGGGATCTTTACAAAATACAACCAAAAAGCTGATCGCTTGTGATCACATTCCTTTCTCATTGCTGACTTTCTTGTTTGCACAACAGAGTTATAATGCAGTAGAAGGCTGCAACCAAAAGGACTTTCAATGACTGAGTTTCTGCAAACATACATTCACCTTCTTTGGTTGACCAAGAATGCCATTTTTCAACTTGGCCTATTATTAGGGTCAGGAATGTGAGCATGTGAGTTCACCGTTTTGGTTTGATAAACAAAGCCACATGGCCTGAGTCGTTCAAATTTGGCATCAAAATCAACTGTCATGGGTATCTTAAAATACTCGGTCTACCTGCTTCAATGCTATTTAAAAAAAAATCTACAAGTTGAATCCATAAAAATGGAAGCTAACTCCAACAATGACAAGGACAAAGTGTCAAAATAACTTGACAACTGTCGATAGTTCCTTGGAAGAAAAACTTCCAGTTTATTAGCAGAAACAACGTTCATTTATTTGCCTAAAATAAAACTTATAGGTCAGAATGAAATTCAGGTTAAAATGGCTTCAAACTAGTTTGAATCACAATTAATTTTTCTTTGACTGTGTATTCTCAAACTCATAAATAACGCATAGGATAATACAAAATGAATTAATTTTTAATGAGTGTTTGGAATTCAGACGAAAAACTGGTCATTTTTGCATCCTTAATTTCTCCTGCTAAAATCAATTTATTTGAGAAGTAATATCAAGCATTCGACAAAGTGTTTCTTCACCAGATGAATCACCTTGAAGTTCATCAAAAATACTCTGCTGCGCATCATATTTTTACCTCTCTTCTCGGTGTTTCGTCTGGTGATGAAACACTGTGTCTACGCTTGATATGTTACTTCTAACCCTAACTATTCATGGTGTCTCAGATTTTAAACTACATGAACCACATCAACTTTGACACAGAAACAAAATATAGACTGATGTTAAATAGAAACTTTTTCAAAGTTCATTGCTACATGGAGTAACAATTAACATTATTACCTCAGTCCTATTAAGACAAGAGGACGCTTTTCTTATAAAATGCCTTGCCCTGTTGATTCTCTGGGACACATCATTTCCAGGCTAACAAAGACATAACAAAAGAATAAGAAAGTTAAGCCCAATGTTTCTCGAAGAAACCAGATAAAACTGTGGCTGAGCATTGGCAGGGTATAATGTATTTTAAATAATAAGTGCGCGTTAATTGAAACACAACATACGTTGTGTCTTCACTAGGGCGATTAACTAGCTGAACATTCTTTCTAGGATTTGTTTACAAACAGACTTTTACTAGTTAAACATGACAACTGTTTTCACTGTGAAATTTAACCGGCAATCTAAGCCACTAATTCAGAGGATTCAAATTGCAATTAGCGTGCCATAATTAAAAATGAAAGGGGACGAAGTGCTTGTAATGACTTCTCTTGTGATTATTTTCGCTGTATTTTTGTGAAGGAGAAGGAGTTTCATTCAGGAAATGAGGCTTATGTCCTTACAAATGAGGAAGATGTGACAAAATCTTTTAATTCTGTCAATCCAACAATGAAACAACATTCAGTGCCATAAGTGGGATAAGTGCAAGACTATGTGGGTTTATCCAAGACCACAATTTTGGTTTAATCCAATGGGATCGGTGGCATTGTAAATCGAAAGAAATGACAGTGGGAATTGTCTGCCAACAGTCTGGAAAATAACATTACCAGATTATTTGGCAGGCATCTGTCACTACGTGAGACCCGACTGGCTACGGCGTTTATCAGGACAAGTATTGCGAGGTAGTATAACTCTGCGTGAATTTCCATTCGTCAAGGCGAGAAAATTCCTTGTTTTTGCTTGTGAAAACAGCTGGCATTTTTTAATTAGCTAAAACCAAGACGAGGTGTTTTCACTCTATTTCCGGACTTTTCCGGCCTTATCTAGTTAAAATTGTCCTAGTGAAAACACAACCATACACACTGTACACCATGTACAGGGATTTTACGATATGTGTTTTATGTTGTTGAAACCTAAAGACATTGAATTAAGAGATTTCTATATTATATTATAGACAAGGCTTTCAAAAAGAAAAGTTTACCTTCATGTGTAAAACAATGACCCATTTAATGGTCATCTTGAAACTCATACCCCCGAAAAAACTCATCACTGTTTGGATAGTTTGTATTAAATTGGCAAATCCACTTACTTGAGTTGTTGCTTGAAGGTTAATATGGACATTAACTGAAGACCCATCATCCTGCAAGAAAGGAAGTGCAGTGTTACAGTTGTAACTTGTGAGTCTGACAAGGGTGACCATTCAGATAAAACCTTTTTTTTTTCAATACATGTTTTGTTTTCAAGCAATTTACACAACAAAATTTCAGTATTGACTTTAAATCTTGATTCTATAGAGTGAGTAAAAATAATCTGAGCTGAAGACAATGATAAGGTAGAGTATCATTCCATCAAGGTTATGAAAGTGTTCTGCTCAGAAACAAAGTTACACGTGTAGCTATCTACTAACAATGAAAAATTCAAACAAATGATGCCCACTATGATACTTACAGATGACGAGGTGCTGATGTTAGCATGGGCTGAGTCTACACCAAGCTGATTCACCAAGCTCTGAACTATTTGCTGAAACAATAAAAAGTAAAACTTAGACATTAAGGTACAGTTCAAACATTGATCTTAATCCGTGAATTAAGTTTGAGTGGCCCACATGGAAATTTTGACTGTGGAACAACTCTGTTCAAACTTTTTCAACTTTTTAAGTGCTGAATCTTGTGCAAAAATTGGCTGTTTTCTTGTAATGACTGGACATTACCAGCTAGGTGTCCAAGGTATAGATTATACAATCTGTGTTTAACTTGATAGGGGACATCCTTATGGACATCCATGTTATGGTCAGTTGGCAGCTGTCAACTTGATTTTTCTTGCTTCTGTTAAAGCTGTGATGAGTAATATTATTTGCTTCTTGTCAATATTTGTTATGTTCTTGAAATATACTCCGTTTTCCAGGGCTTATTATTTTTTTAAATTTACATTACATCGGTGTGTCTTCTCACCTGATATATTCTGACAATTTTGCCGGGAGAGTAAAACATTTTCTCGGCCCCTAATCCTCTGGTCTGTTTTTTTGTGCCAATTTCTTTCACTTTACAGAAGCAATTCTTTTCAATTTTGAATAAAACTCTTCTTGAATCTTCATACTTCGGTGCGCTTCACTGCATTACAGCTGACACTGAGTAACGCATCTTCCAGAAATGCATCACACCTAGCAACTGGTCACGTATCAAAATCCAAGGGGGCTATAGAGAAGTCATTTGGCATTTTCTTAGGCTTCCACGAACATTTTACACAGCGGTGATTCAAAATGGCGGGCAAGAAGGTCTGTGATGGTAGTATCGAGCAAGAACAGTTGATTTTGAGAGGAAAATAAGCTTTTTTACACTGGAAAAGCGTTAATTACTGTGTGACCGATTTACCTTGACTTACGGGAACCAGTTTTTTGGAGGAATGGATCATTATTTCTTCGTGAAATTTGGCAAATACACAAACAGCATGTTAATGAACAGATCTGTGTTTGACCAAAGGTTAGAATTGCCGTACAGCTGAGTTATTGATGTCAAAATGTGGACCAAATTACAAAAAAGCAAATTGTACCCTAGAGGGTGGATTAATTGGAGCTGTGTCGTGGTCAAACACAGAATTATTCTATCTTACATCCTTATTTGTGTTACATTTCTTCTTTAACAATAACTCTAAGGATTCTTCTGACATTTTGATTTTTCTCTTTCCGTGCCACCCTAGGGGGTAATTAAATTAACACCTTTTGGGTGACATAACATAGTTTATTTTGATATATTCTAGTTCCTCAAGAACTGAGGAATACTGTCAATGTAGTGACATATAGATGGTATCCATAAAATAACCACTAAAAATGATGCAAAAATATGCAAAATTTGCCGGTGCAGATACTTTAACTGTGGTTAATATAAGAAAACTCAAACCATCCCTAAACGTGCAGGCAGACTCGATTCGCGCAAAGGTATTCACTTGAAGAATTTGTGATCCTTTGTTATTATGCTAATTTGTAGAGACTATAGAAATCAAATCTTTGCATTACTTATTCATTTTGCCTTGAGAATGGTGTCATGATGATACCGAAACGCCGGTTTTTAATGTTCATATTCGCTTGCTTATATCTAGAGTCTTATTTTAAAAAAAATTAACTATTTAAAAACTATTAACTATATTTAAAACAAGTCAAAGTTAAATGAAAAATTTACTTATTTTACCATTTTATGGACTTAGTACAAAAAGCTACGTAACTATTCAAAAGCTATTATAAATGTTAGGTATTGAGTTCAGTACATGAAAAGCTTGGCATTTGAACTGGGCCTAAAGTTTCTTTAGCACATGGCCACATCAGCCTCTCAGATGTACTTTCCTTACCAGTCTGTCTGATCACACAAACATAACAATTTGCTTGTGAAAATTGCTTACATGTAAAGAGATGGATGTCTAGTCACATACCTGAGTAGCTCCCACTACATCCACTGGCATGGAGAAAGCTCCCATTACAATGTTGGGAGGATTAAAGGCACCTCCCTGAGAAGATGAACTGGTAGAGGTGCTTGATCCATTGGTACCATCTAACACAAATCACACACAAACAAAATTAAAAGCAGAAAATCCCACAAAAAATATTTCTCCATCAATCTTGTACCTGTATTTTCAAGTCAAACTGCAAAATCAGCTAGCCCAAGGATGCTGGACACAACTTTCTCTACACACTTAAAAAGCTGTTCATGTACACTGCATGTTTTACCCACTAATTGGGTACGATGAATGTGTACAATACATATTTACATATTTACATATTTACTACAATTTGTGAAGCTAGTGTATGTTAATGTATTCCTTCCTTAGTGTATGTTAATGTGTGCCTTCAGAGGAATTCATAATTGAGAGGAAAATGAACAAACCTTGAGAGCTTGCACCCCCCGTTTGAGGTTTTCTTTCAACAAGGTGAATCACACAACCATCAGCACCTGAAATGTAAACACAGGGATTCAGGACTCAGTGTCAATATTAATGGGGTTTGACTGTCCAGTTGAAACGCTCTCTCTCCGGAGGGTAGCTGCTTAAAAGAAGTTTGGCTGTACCACATTAAGCTTGATCAAACACTTGTAAAAAAAAAAAAATGTAAATTGCTTTTTTACCCACAAAGCACTTAAGGGTTCATGTGAACTCGTTTAAATGTGTCAGTGCATTCCAGATCTAATTGGAATTTGGAGGTGTTGGTTTTTGAGGAGAGGAGAAAACCGCAGTACCCAGAGAAAAACCTCTCAGAGCAAGGGAGAGAACCAACAACAAACTCAACCCACATATGGCGTCAGCGCCGGGATTTGAACCCGGCCCACATTGGTGGGAGACGAGTGTTCTCACCATTGTGCCACCCTTGCTCCCCAAATGTGCAAATGGTGATTTGCGCTTCTTACATGTAACAACTCAGATTATAATAAATTCTCAACATCAGTTCTGTAGAAAATATGTGCTCAGCAATGCAACTACATTTACTGACATCAATACTAAGGGGCTTTACAAAAAAAGTGGTGAGAGTGAAAGGTGATTTGCATGTATATGTTGTTCATGTAGGTAAAGTCTGTTCCAAGGTCAAACCAAATATTTTGTTTGTCTCCTGCATGCCTGAGTAAATACACTGTAGAGCAAACAAAAAAACTTCTGAGGTTCTGGTTTAACCTGACAAAGGATCTTACCTAAAAATGATTTTATTGACAGAGTCACTGCAACAGCATGATGCCAATTACTGCGGGCCCATAACAGTCCCTCCCCCATGAGAGATAGACCACCACACCGGGGACTACGTCCCCTACTATTTACGAAAACAGTGTGTGGGTTCTTTAACGCCCCACAGAATTTATATATGCAAGGACTGTGAGACGGGGCCTCCGGTTTATCGTCCTTATCCGAGAAGACTAGAAAGTCTAACCGTTTGCAGATGTCTTTACAAAGGCAGCACTTTCTCCTCAGTTATTTAAAGACCCCGAGTGTTGGTCCGGCTGGGACTTGAACCAGCGGCCTCCCGCTCGGCAGACTGACGCTTATCCAACTGAGCTAACCAGGTGGCGGTTCAAGTTGAAATTAAAGTAGACATCGTATAGAGGGCTTGAAACCCAATTGTTGCATCCAAGACACTTGTTTGGAAAAGAGATTACAGTTGAACCTCTCTACAACAGCCACCTTGGGGACAGAAGAAATTAAAGTGGCCATTGCAGAGAGGTGGCCAATAGTGAAGGTTTGACTGCAGTTGTCATATAAAAAAATTGGTTCAGAAATAATTTTTGAGCACTAGACGTCAAGGGCAATGAACTGGCTTGTTGAAGAAAAATTGGAATGAGAGTGAGGTACCATAAAATTCTGAAAATAAGTCCCTCCATGTATAAGCCCCTCCAAATGTAAGCCCCCGAAACTCATACTGCAAAAACCCTCCGTTAAATTGCCCCTCCAAATATAAAAGTCCCCCAGGGGCTTGTACTTGGAAACTGCCCTCAAATACAAAGTAAAACAAAGAAAAAACAGTAAATTTCCTTCCACCTATAAGGCTAGCCCAATTGATTTTGAAATGCAAATTGCCCTCCACAGATAAGCCCCTCTGAGTATAAGCCCCTCAAAAAGGGCCTTTGAAAAAATATAAGCCCTGTGGCTTATTTTGGGAATTTTACGGTATATGAAAAGAAAATTATTCTGGAAATGTCAGGTTTGATTTCAAAAACAAAGTTACATCAATTAAAATTAATTGTACATGGAAATGTGCAGAACAACAGCATCATACCATATTCTGAAAGTTTTTTGTCATCTTGTAAGACCTTTCCTTTGAAAATAAGTCTTTGTTTATCAGCAGGTATGTTCTGAGGGAGTAAAACAATATCATTAAACACAGCTCTAACAAATAAAATAATATTATTTAAAGTGTATCGGACTTGAATTTTTTTAAAAACTGATTTTGGTCCTAAGATAACTTGAAAAATAGTCCTCCGAGAGGACATGAGCTTGCTGGCAATGAAGTCTGTACAAAAACCACGTGCTTGCAAAACAAATTCATTCTTCAAGGCAGTCATGTTGTTGTGTACCAACTTCTTACCTGCACATGCACTTTTTGTCACTGTTTGTGATGTGCTATACATGTAAGTGCTTTATGGCACGAAAGGTTGGTTCAGCGGCCACAGCTAAAGTTAAAACTTTTACAGATACGGTTCTGGGACCATTGTAATTTTTTTCCAAGATTATAAAGCATGCAAATGTTGTCACGCAATAACCATAAGATGAAATTTTCAAAATGCAAGTTGTTTACTTTAGTTTTAGTTTAGTTTACATTCATTCATTCATTCTTACGCAAATGATAGCATACAGTGTTACTGGCTGTAAGCCAGTAAGCTCGCTCAAAAATGTGTCTTCAAAAATATTTCTTGCATTTTGGCCATCCAAAAACATCTTGTTCATTGTTCTACATTTTGTCATACTTATCAATTTTTTTGGCTGCACGATAGGGTGAATTTGCGTGTTTTGAAAAAAAAACAGAGGTTTTGCAAGATATTTGATTTAATTTTGCATACATATTTTACACATATTTCAGAATTAAAAACAACAACACAAAACTGTGCCATATATATTTTAAATAGAAGTGCCATTATTTTTTTACCAAGCACAGGAACCTTTCTGTTTCAAGGCGTACGATACCTGCAAGGACTTGCTAGCCGTAGTTGCATGTAGAAAATATTTTCTTGATCATAAAAATAATGCTCCAACTTGGACAGTAATAACTGTTTTAGTGATACTTACTACTTCAGATGTTATGTGTTCTTTGAATTCTTTCACAGTGATCTGATAAAGAAACAAAGAATAACACTTGAATAAAGGAAGGTTTATTTAAGGTATTATTTCCTTTTATGTAAAAGTTCACATGCAAGTTTTTTGTGTGGATTTTACATGGAAATCCGCCATAATTATTGCGCGCAATTTATGCACGTGTAATTGCTGCAATGCCCGTGGCCTGTATTTTTTAAGTACAAAAAACAAAATACATGTCACAACATTCTTAGCGCAGTAAATATTCATTTACAGTAATTTATTCCATGCGTGTCCCTGTTTGCTTTGTTTCATGCAGAAAGCAAAGAAAAGAAAGGAGATTTCTACACTCATGCTATGCATGTCTATGTTACAGGTCTAAATTGATGTTTTACTGACATCCCCTCCATGCAATGTTGTGCTGCCGTTCAAGCTACATATAGAAAACGAAAAACACCCCTACTTTGAGTGGAGGGGAGAGGGGGGGGGGATTCTTTTGTTTTCTGAAGTCATCCTATTTGAGTACGCCTCACAATTTTGTCAAAGATTGTGGGTCAAAAAATTTCAACCACCATTTAATTTTGACCTGTAACATCTACATCTTCATCCATCTGATCAAACACAAGGAAACCCCAGGCTGCCCTTCCCCTGCTCCTAGTTTTATGATTGCTTTCTGCATTCTTGACAAATACCTTTGGGCATCTCACATGCTTCTCCCGCTTGACTTAAAGGAGAGAGAAATGACTGCTACACAGGCTACATTTATCTTAGATACAGTATCTCTTGACAGGTGAAGGACAAAATTAGGGAACCATCAGTTGAGAAAACATGCCATTTTGTAGTTTGCTTCAAGGCATGAATGCTGGGGGAAATTGTCACTTTTGCAATGCATCTAATGCAACTTGTTGGTCAGAAATGCTCGTAGCTCTTTAATGGAACAACCCATCCCTGATTTCATTTACATGTAACCATTATATTGTACAATGTAACACTTATGACACACAAGCAAAACAAGTTCTAACATGTAAGAAACGACATAAGGGAAAGAACTAGATAATTTCTTAGAGAGGCAAGGCCACAAAATTTTGAGAAATTTTCTAATGGTAAAGGAGATCTACTTTTATCTATTATGCCTCGTGTTCAACCGTCCAGTTACAATCTTAGGAAAGAAACTTGTTTTAATCCTAAGATTAACACTATGCATTTTAAAAACTCTTTTATTAACCGTTTAGTTTTTTAAATATGAATTAGCCATGTAACATACTAGATTTTTAATTCTTACTTTTGACCTTTTTAAAATTTGTTACCCTAAAAGTTATGTATTTTTATCTTTTGATGAATAAAGACTTTATATAGGCACAGACCAGGAAGTTCCAGAAGTTACTCATGCACAAAAAACACAACAACTTGCATTTCTCATCAAAACAAAGATAAGAACAGTTGTACATGTAGGCGTGGACCAGGAAGTTCCAGAAGTTACTTGTGCACAAAAAACACAACGGCTTGCATGTCTCATCATAATTATTCAAGGTGGCTGCTCAACTTGTCCCCCCAACAATACCATAAATAAGCACGCGCTTAGTTTGGATACCAGGCTATCACTCTTTTCTGAAGTGAGCTACGTGTCACAGTTTTTGTTCTATCAAACAACCACAAGGGCTTACAAGATATTTTACATTATTATTCATTCAAAATATTTGTTCTTCAAACACATTTAAAATATTATGTGGAAAATAAACTTAAGCAGACGGCAGACGCTTTTGACGACCACTACGACCAGACGGAAGTTCAAAGTATCTTAGCTTGATTGAACAACTTTATAGGATGTTTGACAAATCAATCAGAAATGATTGACAAATCAGAGTCTATCTACTGAGCAAATGCTTGGTGGATTTTCGTGGCTGACAATTATTATTTGACTTTTGAGGAGGTCGAATGGGTGATTTCAGAAAAAAGTATACTGCAGACTGATTTCGAGGGGGAAAAGCCTGCAAGGATATACACTGTACGTGGGAACAATAATATCCTGCACTGGAAAAAAATATTGCTCATGATGAATATAATGCTGAGAAAAAAATCTTAAACTCTTATACATGTATGTCAGGGAAAAAAATCAGGACGTGAGGATCTTAAAAAATGTAAGATAAGTCGAAGTCATCTTCCTTGATCTGATTGGCAAATATCAAAACAAAAGGTTTTACATCATGGAAATCATTTTGTCACTCATGTTCGCAAGTGTTATTTTTCAAAGATTTCTTAATCAGTCAAGGATGTGTCTGTACAATTGATTCACCACCTTTTGTCAGCGTTGGTTCAATTGAAATAAATCACGGGTCTGAGCCAGATATAATTAAGCTATGTTATTTTCCTTTTGCTGTAGCGATTATTTTGTCCAGGTTTTGTTATGTTACGTACTACCATACTGTTTAACGTGAAAGCAAAGGCCCACATCACATACATAGCTTAAGGAGCTGTTGCTTCACAAAGAAGTCAGTATTCAACATCGCAGGAAACCTTGTTATAGTTGTGAAATTCATGTTCCAAATCGTATTTGGTAACTCTCACCAAAATCCAAGACATACCAGCATGCGAGGTGGTGATGAGTCACTAGAGCTGCATTATAATTATTCCTTGATCTGATTGGCGAATATCAAAACAAAAGGTTTTACATCATGGAAATCGTTTTGTCCCTCATGTTCACAGATCTACGTTATTTTTCAGAAGCGACGACCGGAAATACGTTTGCTGTTCGCGGGCTACCTCTAAAGGTGAACTGATGCCAAAAGACTCCTTATTTCTTTTTTTTCTGGCTTAGAGTTCATTAGTTTAAATTTGATTGCTTTTATCTTAAGTATAGAAACGGAGGATTCTCTTTTAGCCCTGGCTAAATCTATATATTGCCTATGCAATAAAAGAAAACCTAACCACAGTTTTATTTTCCCAATGCTTTTCATATGATGTTAGTCTAGAAAACTGTTTCTCCTAATGCATCATTCATGAAAAGACAAAAAGGTGAATTCCCTTGAGAATATCACATGACCTACAGCTGTACAAAATCGCAAAAACAAAACACAGGATCGGAGCTGGTTGTAAAGAAGTCTCCTGTCTCTACCACTCCAAAAAAAACCGCTTCTGTTCTACTTTATGTGTTCTACTTAATGTCAAAGGAGTTGATCGATGGGTCGCTGGGTATTGGTATTGCATGGTGGCTCACGTTTTCTTGGACCTTCGAGAGACGGCCACCCTAAGTTTTAATTTAATTTATTCGTGAAATTATTAAGTGGTCCCTTTGAGCTAATTTGACCGGCGTCACTAACTACTAAACGATTAACAAAAAGCTGAAAAGGGGAAAGACACAAACTTGCTTGCTTTGCAGTGCGGAAAGTCTTAAAAGATAAAACTGAAAGTGAACTTCCTTGAAGGAACATTACTAATCTGCTACAAATATCCATATAGCAAGCGACTGACAACGTAAGCTTATGACTGTTATTCGATGCTTCCTGTATATACACATACAACGTAGTGTGAGTTTCCTTGCAGCAAGGGCAGATAGGTATTTACAGATGGAAGCTTACAAAGCAACGATGCGCTGTTAAAAACACCAATTTAAACTCCATTTCAGTTCAACAAAGAACCTCCCGAAATACCATGAAAGAAATGTACGTGTGTAAAATAAACGTATAAATATCAAATAAAAGAGCGTTGCTTACTTCTTCGGAGACGGTAAAAACCTTTGTCTGTGAGTCGAGCGTCTTCACAGAAATCTTCATACTTCTAAACAGCTCCGAACTTTCACTTTTTCGAATAAAACACACTGCTTAGTCACTCAATCCGACATGGCGGTGCCTGAAGAAGGCTTGGTTTCATTGCTTTTGAATAGGGGTCGGGTGGGTACGGTATATACTTCATGGCAGAAAGCCACAGGTGAGCCGGTGACAGTACTCTGTGTAATGAATTGTATTGTGTCTTCTCTATTTCTAGTTATTATTTATTCGAAATATTTTGCCTAAAATCACACGCACACTTGATCTTATTAAAAACTGAATCATTGGATAATTCAATTCTAGAGCTCTGATTGGCTTAGCCATCATGGTATAATTATGAGCCATAAATTTTGATGGTTTTCACAATGACATCATCAAATTGCAAAATCAAAAAAGCGAGGTTTACGAATTCTTGTTTACACTTGGTTGAAGATAAATAGAAAATAAATCTTTTTTCAAGTTTCCAGCCCCGAAGCATGTTTCATTTCGAAAATACAGCAATTTGAACTTCCGAGTTTTCACAGTGCGTGACACCAAAATAGGAATGCTTTCTCATTGAAAAAAGTCTCCCCTCTTGATTTTCAGAAGTTTAACCATTTCAAGTATTAAAAGATGTGTTTAATGCTCACGTAAGCTCTCGAGTGAAAAGGAAGAGCTTTTATAGAAAAAGTGAACTCCAGATGTTTTTGTTGATTACCGGCGGCCATATTGGTGCACCAAAACTGTCCACCAATCCCGGGGGTGGGGGGGGGGGTACTTCTGGGTGGGGATGTGCCACTGGGACCCTGGAACCCTTAACCTATACCAGAGCTAGTTCAGCTGAATTTTGCTGCCCTATACAATACTAGAGTAAACTCCCCAAATCCCCCCTATCCTAGAGTAGCTGTTTCCCTAGTCTAGATGAAATCTTCAACCAACTGATCAGTTTCCTGAAAAATGATACCCTATTCTAGACCCAAACGCTGTGATTTATATACCCTATATATCCTAGAGTAAACTGCTTCAAAACCATACCCTTCACAGTGGCACATACCTATATAGCCCATATATGACAGGCAGTACCCCCCCCCCTCCCCCCGGCCACCAATATGGCGTCTCCATACAAAGCTCTACATAGGTCCGTGAAACGTTTCAGCAAATAACTCTAAAACTGTGGGCCACAAAGACCTGCGATTTGGACAAATTGTTTATATATTAGTCCTTTTTATAACATTTCATTTTTTTGGCTTTTCCACTGGAAGGTTTCCAATTTTTTTTTGTGCCTTGTTTATTGCGTGACAGTGAAAACGAAGAATACCATGTGCCTGGACAAAACTAAAAACAAGCTGAAAATTGGGAAGAATTATTGATATCTTGTGGACATTTTTAATAAAATAATTATTTCACTCGCGCCTGTTGGATATGAGATGGCTATCTACCATCTCATATCAAACGCTAAAATATCCAACACGCACCCGTGGAATAATTTTTTAAATCACCAGCTATTGCTGACCAAATTTGAAAGAATTTTGCCATTTTGAACTGATGATTAATCAAGTGCAGCAAAGCTGCAGATTGCATACATGCCAACCCTCCCGGATTATCCGGGAGTCTCCCGGCAGGACTTTTCCGCGGGTGGGGAGTGACGGGTGACGGGTGGCGGGTAGCGGGTGGCGGGTAGCGGGTGATGGGTGACGGGTAGCGGGTGACGGGTGACGGGTGAAGATAGCGGGTGGTGGGTAGCGGGTTAAAAATATATATGAAATAAAATATTATAACTCGTATAGTGTAATTGAAGATATAACTGTATGTTGCAATTTTAAAATAATTTCAACGTTTATGTACTTGTCTTATCTACTTACGCGGACTATTTTCAATTTCTCAAATATGGAAAAAAAAAAGGAGAAATCATGCCTGTGAAAACAGTCACCTCTCCTAGCTCCGCACCGCAAATGACGTTTCGCCAGGCTACACGCCGTGTGTCAAATGAAAATGGGCTATGTCAAGCAAGACACATGGCACGTGTCGAAGCGAATTTTTTGGTACATGCATCTCTACCATGCCTTGTTAAGTAAGCGGACGTGTGGTTAGAAAGACGTCCGACTTCTTAGCTAGGTATAAGCTTCTGCAATAACGGGTGTGAAAGATAAATAACTGCGAGAAAGAGACTACATTTACTGTATATAAAACAACGTGGCCGGTCTATTATGATTATGGGGGGTGCGGGGTGGGGGTATGGATATTTTCTGGAACTACACAATTCAGAAAAAGTGTAATTTCCCCGCACAAAATATTGTTCGATGCTTATTATTAATAATGATTGTTGACAAGTTTGCCACACATACTTGTATATCAAGGCACACCTTGTGTCTAATAATAACCACACAATTCACTACTGATTGAAGAAATCGTGATGTACAGCGTCATTTCTTTGTTAATTGTTTTAATTTCTATAAAAGGCGGAAAAGATCTTGTTTGTCTAGTTTGCTTTTTCTTCCATATCAAGACGAAAGATGATTGCACTTCCCCAACTGTTTAGCCGTGTTTATAACAGACTGCAAGAGATTCGGCCTTCCGTGTCGTAGCTCAGTTTTTGCCCTAGTATGCGGCATAATTGCTATCCTAATAAGTATTTTTAAGTAGTATTTAAAAAATGCAGATCCTTTTTGTATATATACAACGAGATCAGTTCGCGTCCGAGACGCCACACGCGGCGAAAACGGTCCATGCTGTCTCAAAACCGTCCTTCTCTGGTACGCATTAACATTGACAGCTTTGTTGTTTTAGTCTCAGGAAAATTTCCTTGTTTTCTCGAAATAGACATTTTGTTCATTTTAAACTACAAGTCGGGAACCAAATTGGCAAAGATTTATTCCACATGCAATGTTTATCCCAACTTATAACAAAAGAACAAACGCACTTGTCAAAAATCTGAGACACTGTTCAAACATGTCGAGAAGAGAATGCGATCTTTAAATAGTTATCTGGTCTCAGGATAAATATTACTTTAATTTTTATGAGTTCCTCAAGCTATCTCGAGCAAGCGATATCGTGTAGAAGAATACTGCTAAAATATCGCTTTTTGTAATGTTTATTATCTTTTTTCTTTTTTTGGTTTCCACTTTTTATTTTTATTTTATTTTTATTTTTGTCACCCGCCACCCGCCACCCGCCACCCGCGGAAAAGTCCTGCCGGGAGTCTCCCGGATACGACACCAATCTCCCGGTCTCCCGTACAGGTCGCTTTATCTTCCGGATAAAATCATCTTTTGAGCTTTTCTGTGCCTTAGTTTGAAATTTAGCCCATTTTTAGCTCAAAACTTGAATTTTTCTTATTTGTAACTGTAGTACGGTTTCTGAGGCATTTTACACCTATTTAGACGCGAATTTGGATAGTATCTACTTCATGTAGGACTTGATATAATGTCCTAAATTTCCGGGGTAGGGCGCTAGTGAAAAACAGAGAGTCTCCAGATTTTAAATCTCTAGAGGTTGGCATCTCTGAGATTGCTGAACCATGAACCGAGAAGACCTGGGGACAAGGTTGTGCTATTTTGGTAGAGTTGTGACCAGATTGGATACCCCAAAGCCAGATTGTCATCTTCACTACAAATGTATGATAAGAGTCCTATAACTTTAGTAGTAAATGAGAGAAAAAAGAAAACAGAAGAAAACAGTGAGGTAGTATATATATTATGTTATGGTTTATGATCCCAGCCAAAATTCATTGTTTGAATTTTAAATTCATCATTTAAATTTGTAACCTTGGTTCTTGAATTTTAGAGCCGAATTCAAAATTTTACACTCTTGCTTTAGATTTCGCATCACTGGAAAACGTTTTTATGCTTGTCTTTATGTACGACTTGATCCTGCATCATTTGATGAAAAATTCTTGATCCTGCATCACTTGATGAAAAATTCACATCCATATCCATGACTAGACCATCATTGGCCTGAAGGGCTAACTTTTGAAGCCGGTTAATTTTAATGCACATTACATGACATTAATAATTACTTGCTAACCATTTTTAAAACAGTGCTTAACCCCAAATGGTGTGGTTCTTGATTGCTATACCCAAACAAAGCAGCTAAGATCCTCTTCAAAGAGAAAATTTTAACTGTAATTTTTTTTAAATTTTAATCTTGGTAAATTTACTATTTTGTAAAGCACCACAAGCTTTTAGGACATGTTGTGCTATATAAATACTTACTATTATTATTATTATTATTACTACTATTATTACTATTATTGTTATTAACCCTAATCACTTAACCTGAGATCAGGCCCAATTTCACCAGTTCTCATACATTCCCTCTAACGGCTACCACTAAAATTCCGCCTTGCCCGCCGGAATGTTATTTTTAAAGTGAAACGAAAATAGAGCCTGATCTCAGGTTACTAATCACTGTACTTCAGTGCTAAACCCTGTATTCAACCCTTTTCCTTGGCAAACCCTCTTACTCTGATTTCCCAACTTTTCTCAAAAATGTGCCCAATAAATTTTCTTAAAAATACAAGTATAGCGTTGTGTAATAAACATGAGGTGTCCAACCTTCACAGGTATCCATTTTGCTCACAACCGGTAGTATTTCTACTTTCCCCAATCTTCCCCAGTCATAAAATCATAAACAAGCTTTCGCCTGCCCAAAATAAACCTTAACTTTTGGGTACATGATGTCAAGGAAAACACAGTCCGAAATTTAAGTTTAATACAGATGGGGACCAGTAATGCTGCCCCTGCTGTGTGTTTGTTTCTGCTAAAGATGTTTTATGATGATATTCTATTGAGTGGCCAACCGCCATGAAGCGGCCACTTGCCGGTACCCTGAGGGTGGCCACTTAATGTTGGTTTACAGTGAAACTCACAAAACTGTGAACACCAGAAATATTTATGGAATGTTATTGTGTTGTGAGAAACAAGCCAATAATAATAAGGCTTTAGATAATTAAACTGCAAACAGAAACGTTGATTAGTTAGTGGTTCTGAGGTTTGATCATGTGTCCTGAAGTTTATACAAGGATCAACATTCCTGAAAAATTTCAGGTGTTCACGGTTTTCAGGGTTTGACAGAATTCAAAATATTTCATGCAGGGTTGGAGCTCTATATTCCAATTGTTTCTCAGAAAGTATTTAGCCATCTATTTGCTTTGGAAGTTGAAAGCGGGCAAATTTTGAAATCAAAACCAGTTGAATAGTATCACAGTCTCACAAACCAGTCAATTTTGCTTCGTTAACTGATAGTTTCTTTGTATCATTTTCAAAATTATTGAAACTTTGATCTTGAATTGAAAAACGACAAACATAAAACAGCTTTTCAGGCCCAAAAAGTAATCAGGACTTTTGAGAAATGGGTCCCTGAAGTCAAACAATGCAAAAATATAAATGATATTAATAAATAATGGTAACAGGACTGAGTTCAATTCGGTCTGTAATCATACAGTCAAGTGTTTAACAAACTCGGACAACCGGACAACCGCGTAGCCGGAATCCGAGTTGTTTAATCACAAGAATGATTACAGACTGAATTGGACAACACGAAGTTCTGTTACCAATTAATCATGACTATAGCAAAAATTTGTAATATTTTAGGCTTTTTTAAATCAAAACACGTGAAATTCCGAGTCCTTTTTGCAGCACTAAAAAAAAGCCTTTTATGGGCGAGGGTGATGGCGCGTACTGTCCAATTACTTGGCTATGACGTGTACTGTCCTATTACACTGTCCCAGCCAATCAGATTTGAGAATTTTGTTATCGTTATGGTGATAATAATAATCATAATCATAAGGAATGGTAATAGGACTGAATGGAGTATAATTCAGGGAGTAATCAGGCAGGCAAGTAATTTTAAATTTTAAATTACGAGCCTATAATTACCCTGAATTGTTCAACACAAAGACCTATTGACAATAAATTGTGTCTGCTCAATAACAAACCACAAGAATCTCAAGATTGGAATATTTATTAAAGTACAAATTAAGATCTTATTACATCACGTCGCACTCGAAAAGTTACTGGGCCTTTCGAGAAATGGGTCCCTGGAGGGCAAAATATCAAAACTAATGATCCTAAGACCTACTGACAATTAATTGTGTCTGCTCAATAACAAACCACAAGAATCTCATGATTGGAATATTTATTAAACTACAAATTAAGTTCTTATTACATCACGTCGCACTCGAAAAGTTACTGGGTCTTTCGAGAAATGGGCCCCTGGCGTGCAAAATATTAAAACTAATGATAACATCAAAATAAGACGAAAACGGCAAATGAGAGTATCCAGATTTTGGATCCAGTGGTTGGCATCTCTTGGTGTGTAAATAGCAAGCATGTTTAGAATTATTCAACTCTACGTTATTTCCTTTGTTGGTATATAACATCATCCATTTGTGCAAAATTTTACGAGAGTTCAATGGTAAAAACAGCAGGCATTTGATGAAATCTTCAAGCAGCTCCTGACTGTTGTGTCTTGATGAGGACCAATATGGGCGATGTCTCAAATGCTTAACTGTGTTAACTTGACTGTATTACTTTTATGTGCTAAAGGGAGAAAAAGAGAAGAAAATTTCAGTGGCAACAACAAACTAATATCTTATATTTTATGCAAGTAACAAACTAAAAGCTGCGATAAAGGCCCTAACAAGGCCGGTTCGTTGTCAAGACAGCAAATTTCAATAGGACAATTGCAGATGATGTCATCTAAGTAAAGTAATGCCATATTTTCTTAGTTAATACTACAGCCGCAACGTTTATATTTTGACCTGGCCTCAGTTGTTCAAAAGGTGGATAACCCTATCCATCGGATAAATCTTTATCCAGTGGGTAATGCAAATGGTTTCCCTAATACTTATACATCACTAGATAGTGATGGCGCTATCCAATGTTTGAACAACCGGGACCTGGAGAGTAAAAGTGTCTGCTTGTATCTGCAATTTATTCGCGCTTTTTTTTTTATGAAAGGCACCACAAAAATGTCCTATCCTGTGGCTCACTATTATCTTGGATTCGTGCCTTATCATGAAATGAGAAATTCAATAACAGTCTACTTACTTGACTTTCAGCAATACACCAAAAGGCAAACCAATCCACATTGTGGCAGCCAGTCGACTGTGTTCAGAAATGTGCTTTTCACATCCGTACTCAACCATAGAACCAAATGTTCCACTCCTGAAAAATTAGCAATGAAAAGATGCAGTGATCAGACAATGAAAGGAAAAGAGAAAATTTATTACACGAAACCAAAGGTTCATGAAATGTAAGTAATAGTATAGCCTGGGAAAACAGCCGACATTTCGCGATGCCACCACTGGTTTGCCCGCGAGATGACTTCTGAGAAACAAGTGCAGAAATTCCATACTGATGATGTGTCACTACCCAGATCTGGGTAATGCTTCTGATTGCATGGTTGTGTTGCATGGAAATTTGCTTCAACCAATCAGAAACACCCAGATCTGGGCAGTGACGCGTCCTGAAACAGTACACACTTTCTGCACTCGTTTCTCAAACGTGATTTCAGGGAGAAAACAGTGATGGTGTCGCCAAATGTCGGCTGTTTTCTCAGGCTAGTTTTATTCACCACACCAAAATTAGCCCACGTGTGATGAAAACTCAACCCTCGTCAGACACATACAACAGGTTTTAACAGATCATTAATTATATAACTTTGAAGATGAATTTAAATCTGCCTTGAGCAGTTGAAGGGATCATCACATCGTTCCTTGCTCCTTTCTGTGTATCATATAAAGGTTTTAAAAGTGCTTATTAACTTGCTCGCAATAATGAGGCCCAGGGACTAGGCAAATCAGTAATAAAATCTTCTGATCAGTGGATGGTTTCGCATAAAGGTTCTATGCCGTATACCACACCGAAAGCACACAAGAAACTAATGGGCCAAACACTGGTGGCAGGGAAGTGCTTTAGGGGTAAAAGGACCAGGAGGGAGGCCCTTCCAGAGGGAGACAAGATCGAGTGGTACAGACTTAGCCACCCTGGACAGGAGTCCTCATCAGTATCCGTGGATAAAGCCCATATCCCCCAGGAACTAAGGGGAACCAGGAGGGGACCCTATTGGGTGGAGTACAGACCAGGTGGAACCGGGGATCATCCTGGAGTGGATATTAAACGCAGAGTACCCTCCAACGTCAGTGACTGATATCTTGGAGACTGGGTGGATCTAAGACAAATACAAAATGTACTTGTGAAACAATAGAAGAACAATTAATACATACTTTATAGTGCCTTTAATTTCCATGTCCTTCTCTGTTTTTCTTGTCTATGAACCTGATACAAATGAATTTAGAATTCCAAACTGTAAACAAAAAAGAAAAAGACAAAAACAAAAACAAAAAAAGCATCATTAGATTACAAAACAGTAAAGCCAAGTAAAGTAAAGGAGCTGCAAATTTTTGTCTTGCAAGGGCACAGAAATAACTCAATTGTGACGAGCTAAGACATCTGAATTTAAATGTTTGGAATTCCCCCATTCTGAATAAAAATCTTTGGAGTTTAAACATTCTGAATTGAAATGTTTCGAGTGATGACATCGGAAATCAAATTTTCGAAGTGATAAAATTCGGAATTGAAATGTTTGAAAAGATAACAATTCGAATTTAAATGTTTAATGTGATGACATTTGGTATTCAGTTGTAGGGAAGAATGACATTCGATATTCCAATATTAGGAGAGATGACATTCGGAAGTGAACTGAGTGAAGTTATGACATTCGGAATTCAAATGTATGGAGTGATGACATTCGGTATTCCAATATTAGGAGTGATGACATTCGGAATTGAAATGTTTGGAGTGATGACATTCGGTATTCCCATGTTAGGAGTGACGACATTCGGAATCGAAATGTTACGAGTGATGACATTCTGAATTTAAACGTTTGGAGTGATGACATTCGGTATTCCCATGTTAGGAGTGACGACATTCAGAATCGAAATGTTACGAGTGATGACATTCGGAATTTAAACGTTTGGAGTGATGACATTCGGAATTCAAATGTTTGGAGTGATGACATTCGGTATTCCAATATTAGGAGTGATGACATTCGGAATTGAAATGTTTGGAGTGATGACTTTTGGTATTCCCATGTTAGGAGTGACAACATTCGGAATCGAAATGTTACGAGTGATAACATTCGGAATTCAAATGTTTGGAGTGATGATATTCGGTATTCCAATATAGGGTGTGATGACATTCAGAATTGAAATGTTTGGAGTGATGACATTCGGTATTCCCATGTTAGGAGTGACGACATTTGGAATCGAAATGTTACGAGTGATGACATTCAGAATTCAAATGTATGGAGTGATGACTTTCGGAATTGAAATGTTTGGAGTGATGACATTCGGAATCGAAACGTTTGACGTAATAACATTTAGAATTCAAATGTATGGAGTGATGACATTCGGTATTCCAATATTAAGAGTGATAACATTCAGAATTGAAATGTTTGGAGTGATGACATCCATTATTCCAATATTGGAAGGGATGACATTCAGAATTGAAGCGTTTGGAGTGATGACATTCAGTATTCTAATTTTAGGAGTGACGACTTTTGGAATCAAATGTCGGGAGTGATGACATTTGGATTCAAATGTTTGGAGAGATGACATTTGGGTTTCAAATGTTTGGAGTGAACACATTCAGAATTCATATGTTTGGACTGATGACATTCGGAATTCAAATGTTTGGAGTGATGACATTCGCAATTCAAATGTTTGGAGTGATGACACCCAGAATTCAAATTGTAGGAGTGATGACTTCCGGAATTCAAATGTTTGGAGTGATGACATTTAGTATTCAATTGTTTGGAAGAATGACTTGCGGAATTCCAATGTTTGGAGTGATGACATGTGGTATTCAATTGTTTGGAAAAATGATGTCCGGAATTCAAATGTTTGGATTGATGTCATCTAGCATTCAAATGTTAGGAGTGATGACATTCGGAATTCAAATGTTATAAAGAGTGATGGCATTCAGAATTGAAATGTTTGGAGTTATGACATTCTGAATTCGAATGTTTCGTGTAATGACATTCTCAATTCAAACGTTTGGAAGGATGACATTTGGAATTCAAATGTTTGGAAGGATGACATTTGCAAGTCAATTTTTTGGAAGGATGTTCAGAATTTAAATGTTTTGAGGAATGACATTCCGAATTCAAATGTTTGGAAGAATGACGTTTGGAATTTAAACTATTGGAATGATGACATTCTGAATTCAAATGTGTGGAAGGAGGAATTTGGAATTTAAATGTTGGTAATAGCATTTGGAATTTAATCTTTGGATGGATGGGATTCTTAGTCCTAGTGTTTCGAGTCATGATCTGGGGAATTTTTATATTTGGAGAAACGTAATTTTAAGTTCACAAATTGGAGTGAGTTTGTAGTGATGACATTCAGAATTCAAATGGTTGGAATGATGACATTTGGAAGTCAGATGTTTTGAGTGATGACATTCTGAATTTAAATGTTTGGAGTGATGACATTCTGAGTTCAAAGGTTTGGAAGGATCACGTTCGGATTTCAAATGTTTCAAGGGATGACATTCAGAATTCAAACGACTGGAGTTATTTGGAATTCAAAGGTTTGAAATGATGACGTTAGCAATTCAAATCTTTGGAGTGATAACATTCAGAACTCAAATGTTTGGAAGGATGACATTTGGAATTTAAATGTTTGGAGTGGTCAAGTCGGTTATGTCTCTCCTTCTGCCGGTCAACCATGTTACCCCGGTACAACCTGACTCTTGGGTCAAGCCATCGGGGACAAAACCAGCAACTTAGGCTTCGGCCTAGGTGATGGTACAACTGGGCACCCTTATAGCAGGCAATACAAGATCTAACTGAAGGTCTTTGGTGGATCATCCCCAGTAAGGTGACCTGTGGCATCAACAAAGGGTAGAGATAAACAGACCTATCCACCAGCCAGCTACTGCAGCATGGCATAAACGCTAACATGCCTTGGCCTTTCATTGCCTGCGAGACCACACTTTTGCCCTGCTGAGTAAGCAACCCTAGTCAATTGTAAAAGCTAGTTTTACTAAAATTCTTTTGCATGCAGCTCTAAGTCATAAACGGCACAAAAAACAGGCTCCCATCCAAAACACCGGGATCAGTTCAACAATAGTGACAAAGAGCTGAAGCCTTAATTTGAGGAAAGAAAGGCTGAACACTAGATCAAACAGGGCATAACTGACTGGCAACAGTGAGATTCGGAATTCAAATCTTTACAGTGATGACATTCGGAATTCATGTTGGGAAAGATGACATTTGGAATTTAAATGTTTGGAGTGATAAGATTCAAAATTCAAACGTTTCAATTCTGACATTCGAAACAGTAATGTTTGGAATGATGACATTCGGGACTCAAAGGTTTGGAGTGATGCCCTTGGGAATTTGAATGTTTGGAGCAATTACATTTAGAAATCAAATGTTTGGAATGATGACATTCAGAATTCAAACGTTTGGAGTGATGGCATTCAGCATGCAAAGCTTTGAAGTTATGACATTCAGAATTCAAATGTTTGCAGTGATAACATTCAGAATTCAAATGATTGGCATGATGACATTCGGAATTCAAATGTCTGGAATGATGACATTTAAAATTCAAATGTTTGGAGAGATGACATTCGGAATTCAGATGTTTTGAAAATGATTTTCGGAATTCAAATATTTGGAGTAATGACATTTGGAATTCAAACGTTTGAAGTGATGCCATTCGGAATTCAAATCACTGGTGTGATGACAATCGAAATTCAAATATCTTTGGAAAGATGACATTCAATTCTAATGTTTCCAATAATGACATTCGAAATTCAAATGTGTGGAAGCAAAACACTCATAACCTAACTGAACTGGAAGAATGAAGTTCAGAATTCAATTGTGTAAAAGAATTCCAAGTTGAGGATTGTTATGGTTCGAAAGACTAACTTTAAATAATTGAAAACATTAACTACAGCAAGGTTGACCTTCGTAAAACTTAGAAGGATGAACTTCGTAAAACAAACACTTAGAGGAATGAAGCTCAAAATTCCAATGTTCAGAAACAAAAGGTAAGAATTGCAAGGTATGAAAGAAGAACGTCAGTATTCCAATGTTTAGAAAATAAAAGTAAATTTACAAAGTTTGAAAGGTGAAGATCCGCATAACATTTTATGGTAGAAATGAATAAAGCCTCAAAAATTGTCCAATATTTGGACAAATAAGGACATAAATCCAATGTTTAGAGGGATAAGATCTGAGTTCCAATGTTTGGAAGAATAAGGTACAAGTTCCAATGTTTAGAACGAGAAGGTTTAAAATCCAGTAATTGAAAGGTAAGATCAGAATACCAATTTTTCTTAGAATACCGTCAGAATTCCAATGTATGTAAGAATAAGGTCCGAATTCCATGTTTGTAAGGCTAAGGTCTGAATTCTAATATTTAAAAAAAATAAAGTCAGAATTGCATTGGTAAAAAGGATAAGGTGTGAATTGCAATGTTTCAAAGGATAAGGTGCAAATTCAAATGTTTAAAGGACAAGGAGCGCATTCCAGTGTTTAGAAGAATAAGGTGCAAATCCCAATGTTTCAAAGGATAAGGTCAAAATTCTAATGTTTCAGAGGATAAGATCAGAGTTTCAATGTTTCTAAAGATAAGGCCAGAATTTCAATGTTTCTAAGGATAAGATCAGAATTTCAAAGTTTCTAAGAATAAGATCAGAATTTCAATGTTTCAAAGAACAAGGTCAGATTTTCAATGTTTCTAAGGATAAAGTCAGAATTTCAATGGTTATAAGGATAAGTTAAGAATTTCAATGGTTCTCATCAGGCAAGAATTCCAAACTTTGAAAGGATAAGGTCAGAACTCTAGTGTATAAAATGATAAGGTGCAAATTCCAATGTTTAAAAGAATAAGATGCAAATCCCAATATTTCAAAGGAGAAAGTCAGAATTCCAATGTTTAAAACGATAAAGAGCGAATTCCAGTGTATCAAAGGATAAGGTGGGAACTCCAATGTTTGTAAGAAAAAGGTTCGAATTCCAATGTTTGAAAAGATAAGAAGTGAATTCCAATGTTTGAAGGAATAGGGTGCAAATTCATATGCTTGAAAGGAAAAGGTGCCAAAAAGGTGAGAATTCCAATGTTTAAAAGAATGAGGTAGGAATTTCAATGATTAAAAAGATAAGGTAGCAATTGCAAAGTACGAAAGGATAACGTGAGAATTCCAATGTTTAAAAGAAAAGGAAGCAATTCCAATGTT